GTGGTTGGCAGGTTGGTGAAGCCTGAGGTGCCTGACTGCCGGGCGCATGTTGATTTTCCACTTCAGTTGGAAGGCAGGAGGTATGGTGGTAATGGTACTGTTTTTGCCGTTGGTTGCACCTGCCTGCCGTGACCTGCATCGCTATTGCCTTGCCATTACTGCTGCAATTGCCCCCAGTGGCTCTTGCTCTGTTCCGAGTGTTGCTCTTGCCTTCCATCCATCAAAAGGGTCCGCGATTTGGGCGCGCCTGCCTGGCCAAAAAGTAACCTTCTTTCCAGGTTTGCGTGGTGTTTCTGTCTTTCCCCTCATGTGCCTTGCCTTCCCCAAAGGTACCTAACAAGGCACTTACCTTACCTCACTGCACCAACATCTCACCTTCCAACCGCAACCCTCCACGCAGCCCCCGAAAATAAGTTACCGACTGCCGTTCCGTTTGTCTCCTCTTCGGCTCCGTCATATCTCTCCTGCTTGACTCCATTTTACCGGTTTACCTTTTCCTTTTGTTTCTTTTTTCTTTCTTTTTTCTGCATCGTCTGCTTCTTCTTATTCACTGCTCTTCCGACTGTTGGTTACCCCCCTCTTCTCGGTTGACTCTTGCCTCTTCCCGGCTTTCATCTCGTCACCGAAATCAAAACCAGACCATACCGTCATCATCAAATCTCCGTCCTCCCGTTCTGGACGCAACCCTGGCCGGTGTTATCTTACCTTATCCCTTGGTACCACCTTCACCACCCACTCTCTGCGACTGCAACTGCGACTACGGGAATCCCAACTCGACCACGCCACCCCCCGTCGACTGACCGCCTGCCTGCCTCGTCCTCGCGTCGCATTGCCTACCGGTGCAGTGCAGCCAGCGACCGTCGACCCTCCACTCCTCACCCAATCTTCCTGCCGCACCGCAACACGCCGCTCCCGCACCCGCGCCCGCCGCACCGCCGCCCTGTGCCTCGCTGCGTTGCCCTGCGTGCTTGCGACCCTGCGACCTGCTTGCTTCACCTAAAGCAACCAAGTCAGCCTTTTTGCGCTCCCGCCCGCCCAAACACTTTGTCAAGTGTCCGGCGCCCGTTTCATCCATACACGACACGCCAGCATTGAGTCTCGGTGTCTTTTGGTCTCTCTGCTTGGGTCTGCTCTATTCAATCGTCTCTTCACTCAAAGACCCCCTGCGGCTGCATCTGCGACTGCGCCTTAACTGAACCGTTCACCTTCTGGGAATATCTCGGTCCGCAACTGTCAACAGCAGTCTGCAGTCTGTCACTGTGGTTTTTTTTTTCCCCCGACTGCCGCCATTCGCTCGGCCATCCATCGATCGACACCACCCATTCTTAACTGCGTCCTCTCGCCAACTCCTCCCTTTCACGGCCCCATTGGACCATTTTCTGCCGCTGCGCACGCGACCGACCGCGTAAAGTGGCTTGGTCAAGCGAAGCGACCCCAGCGCAGCGCTACCGCCACGACTAGACTGGACTGGACCACTCCCTCCCAGTCCCAGACTCTCAGCGAACTGACTGGATCGCTGGGCCGCTACCTACACCTGGACCTGGCCCTGCCCTGACGAATACGGCGGCCTGCCTACCAAAACAGCTGCTCATCATTGTTGACCCCCCCGGTCTTGGTATCAAGGGTCTCTGAATTATTGGGACTTCATTTCCCCCACCATCGTCAAAGCAGCCCAGGCCAATCTCCCTTCACCTTCCAGTTTTACCTCCCGCCTGACAACCAATTCCCGCCAACCCCGACGACATTCGACGCCTTCCGATTTCCAACCTGCCATGACCCTGGAATCGCCGACTTCACCACGAAAAACTTAGCTTTTCGATCTCACTTCAACCATCCAGGCGACCATGTCCGTTTGCGTCGAGCAGTCCATGCACACAAACGACGACGACCACCCCGACGTCACGAATAACGTCTCTCGAGACCGAGACCCCTCCGGTATCGATAGGCGACCGTCGCGAGACGACTACAATGGTAACGCCAACGCTACAGAAGAGTTAACCTCGATCATGACTGCCTCAATCATCACAACAATCCTCAACACCGCTTCCAACCCCGTATCTCCCGGACCCTCCAGTCCTCCCCTCGAACAGGCCAAGAGCAATGACTTCGTGCCCCCGACCCGCCCCAGCAGCACTCCCTTCCTCCACCCCGATCAACGAAATTCGGATTGCTGCTGTCCGATGGCTGAGGACACCGAGGCCTACGGAGGCCCGGGTATCACCACCCATCCCTACTCCCTCGAGACCCCGGAGGCCTCGCCCTCACTGAATCTGAACGATCTTCCCGCCGAGATTCACGAGTGCATCCTTGATCATTTATTCGGATACCGCGTATCCACAACGTCAAAGAGTTCGGTGGGCATGCCGAGCGTGACCAAGAGCTGGGGAACCGCGCTGCGACACTCTCGGCGCAGGGAGTTGTCAGAACTGGCCCTCGTGAGCCCCGTATGGAGAATCCTGATTCAAGAGCGCTTGTATCGCCATATCAAGATCAAGGCGACAGTGGAATCCCTCGAGATGGCCATGATTTACTTCAGCGAGCACGACCACCTTCGTCGCTACGTGAAACACATTGAGATTTGGTTCCCGGTGTTCCAGCCCAAGTACGGACCGCTGGCGCTAAGCACTACCCTCGCCCTCCCAACGGTCACCATGGACGGATTGACGAATGCGACCTACACCCTCCCCGCCAACAACTGCAGCCTCGAGGAAGCCTTCTCTTTCGTCTCCCAGGCTCTGCCTGACGTTTGCGTAATGACGATTGAGGGTGGTGAGAGAAAGAAGGCGCCGAAGGTGCAGCATAGCTGGCATAGGCGGCCGGCTGGCTGGCATCTTCCCACCCTCGAATCGGTGCGCACCTTGGTGACCAAGGGCCAGTGGAATCTCATGCGCAGCGACTCCGATTTCGCAGCCATTTTGAGTTCCCTCCCTAATCTGAACGAGTGGCACGGCTCCTACAGCAAGCCCAAGTCCAAGAGCTACTTAAGCATGGCCAGCATTCTTCCCAAGCTGCCGACAAATTTGACGTACCTCAACTTGTGCCTGGAGAGCGACTACAGACGGGAATTGACGTGCCCTCCGTTCTACATGAAGGTCTCCAACCAAGTACACTTCTGTACTCGGCTGGCGGATGCGACGCCGGCGCTTGAGCACCTGGCATACACTGGTCGTGTGTGCAAGGCCTTTTTCAACATGGCAGCCATCAGATCCGACCCGAGAACAACCCGGCTCAAGACGATTGACCTGACAGTCAAAAACTGCTGCCGGCCGGTGCCACAGTTCCACGACTCGGGAAGTGGAATTCAAGATATGAACTTTATCCACGCGTTTGAGATGCTTGTCCTTGCAGGCATCCACTCCATGTCAACTCTGAAGGCACTCGACTACCTGCGGATTCGGTTTGTGGACTTGGGTATGTATTACCTCCAACACCATGCAATGGCTTTGTACTGACGAGTTCTTAGATTCTCCCGTTCCACCACTGAACCCGTACTTTGTCCTCCGCGACGGCTGGTGCTCAGGCGTATGGAGCGACAATATTCTAGCAGAGTTGAACCGAGTGCGACCAAATGCGAAGTTTGAGCAGTTGAGCGAATCCTTTGGCGAAGTCGGGTTTAACAAGGACGGCCGCATGATCATCAGCCCTGATTACCCGCGCTCGAGAGTCCTCTCACTGAAGCTGGCCAACTATGCCTTGCTGGCTGGTAGCGTCGCCGCATTGCCATAGAAAGCCACACATCTGCGCACGAACGAAAAAGCAAGCAAGGTGTGAAAGACATCATACGCTTCCTTTCTGCTTTTCTTTATATCACGACAACAATGAACTTGCACAGCAACAAGGGGTACCGGAAGGGGCGTTAATTCGAGGTCTCTGCGCCATAGAAGCATCATACCCCTAATCTGATTTGGAAAAACCTGGGTCCATGACTTTTCTTATCTCGACGGAGTTGGGGGCATGACACATGGAACGATGGGTTAATATGGAGTCTGGACGGAAGGGGGGCAAGAATCAGCAAGTTCGTTTTGAGGCATCTTTGTCTTTTGGCTCTGCATCTGGAGGAAACTATTCCTCCTTCACTTGTCCACCGGTCGTATATGGTCAACAAAAATGGTTTCTCTTTCTGCTATTGCGTTCCCTGGTCCGTCTGTGCATGATGTAGGGGCGGCTGTTCCCACGAGCAAGTGGGCCAGCATGCGTGGACTGAACTTTCATCATGAGAGATAAGTATCTTTGCAACCTTAAACTGATTTTGTGTATGCTTCAGCGAGAGTCCGTGGCGGGTCGACGGTCCGAGTTTTATAGATAGCTTGGTGGTGTGTCCCTCGAGGTCTCGCTTCCGAGGAAGACGCGGACCAAGATATCACACCCTTCAGAGTCGACGAATCCACGCTAGAATATTCGTGGACTCCTCGCAGAGTGGCAGTAGCTCTTCCAGAGTCTCAAATACGGCGAGGGCTGGGCTCTAGGTCAGCACAGGGTGTAACATGCCCACTGCCGAAGAGACATTAATGCAACCACCGATGCAGTCATGCGGCTCAGCGGTTCAGCCCGTGTCCAGGCTGCACGGTAAACTTGTCGTTCGAATGTTCGTGGTGACGTTGCGCTGAGAAAAGGTGAGATGGTTTGGAGCAGATCCCGCTTACCCTCAAGTACATGCACGTCATGACGCGATTTGAATCCCTAAAGTCGCATCAAAGGATCTGACTAAACGAGAGACGAGGGGATTTAAATTGTAAATGTAACACCGTGTTGAATAGTTTATCTGCATGTCAGCCTGCTGCCTTGCCTATTGGTGTTCTCAGTGGAACGGAAGATCCTTTCTTACGAAGGCCTGGAAGTGGCAGACTGCGGTAGTTATAAGAACATTGAGCCCAATCTTGGATTCGAGGAGTATTTTCCAATCTCTTGGTATCAAAATTACCTAGTTACGAAGCGTACAAAGCTTTAGTAAAAAGCTCCCAGATCTCGCAACAGCCAGTCGACGGAAACACCTCCTCAAAATGCGCACCTCAACATTCGTCACCACCGCCGCGGCCCTCTTGAGTGGCGTGGTCCAGGGATATCTCCAGACAATCGGCCTCCCGCAGACAATCAAGCCCGGCGACGTGTGGGACGCGCCGGTCACGACGGCCATCATGCAGCCCAGGCAGGACCTCATGATCTGGGGCATCGGCGATACGTCTTCCGTCTACGCGGGAAGCATTAGTCGCGAATTCCACCGGACCAATCTGCGTCGTACGTAACTCTCCTGCAGCTGTCCTTGTCTTTGCCGAGCATTGGATATAGATCATCAGATCGGCAGTGCTGACTTTCGCCGATGTAGAAGAGCTTTCCGGCGGGTACAATGACACGATCCCAAACATCTCGATCCCGGAGTCCCTGAACCTCGCGCCTGGAGAGTACGGCATCCAGGCTGTGATCTTGGAGTGGGCCGGTGCTGCGAACACTCCGTCGCTGGAGACTTGGTTCTGGAATGTGACGATTGGAGACGTGACGAGCGAGGAACGGGTGTGGCAGAGTGCGCACGGGGTGAATTCGAAGCGTTGTAATCTTGTGTAGAACCGAAAGACACCTCATTTACATATATTGATAGCTAAGTATCGTTTGACCGCTCAAGGTAGTCAACAAAAAGCCAGGGGTATTTATCATATAGTTCTTGTTGCCGTCGCAGCCGCTCGCGCCGCAGCTTGCACAACTGCTCGTGAAGGTCGTCAACAACGTAATTGACGCCCTTGCAGGAGCAAAGCTTGAACTCCTTGAACATGTCGGATGACCAGGGATAATGTGTCGTTGATAGGCCTTGGCAGGAATAGGACTCAAAAATTCTCAGGTGGGCATATGGGTTTTGGTTTTTGACCCAGAGGTCGAAGCGGAAGTTGGGGTTGGGGTTGGCGTTGGCGTTGAAGCATCCTTCGCTGTCGCACCACAACACATTTCTCGATAAGCTCGTGTCGATTTCGCACGAATCCGGGTCCATCAAGCGCACCTTGAGGACTCGACTGTAGTTGTTCTCAATCTGGGCGTTACTCCATAGTAAACGACGCCTTTGAACGAACGTTTCTTTCTCTCCTTCCTTTGTTGAAATTGAATACTCGGAGTGGCAGCTCCCGCACGTGAAGTCTTTACGATACTGTTTGAGAGCTTGAGTTCGAACCTTCGTCCAGGTAACATGAGGACAAAGGAGCTGGTCGTAGCTATGTTGTCCAGGAGATTCGCCGTCGACAGCTGAAAGAGGAACCATCCAGCTTAGTTCAACCTCGCGCTTGAGTCTCCCATTCGTGGACTGCTCCACAAGAAACTCAACCTTTGGGGGCTTTGCTCCGTGAACCCCATCGAAGCATTGTTTGCACTCAAGAAAGACAAAGCCGTCGGGCTTGGGATTGTGTCTGGCCTCGACCCAGTGGCTGACATGACCCCATCTGAAAGAAACATGAGAGCACAGCCGCACGCGTCCTTCCCAGAGGATACAGCGCCTCCGCTTCCGCCTGTGAAGCTTGAAGAGCTGCTCCCTGGAGAACCACAGCCTTTGGTGATCCTCTCCGCAGCCAGAGCACCTCAGTTTCTCCTCGAAGCGAGCCAGGTGGAGCTCTAGTTCCGTTCTGTCTGGGATACGCTGCAGACATGGTTGGCAGAGATTCTCATGGCTCGCTTTGAAGAGGAAGTGCGGTGCTCTGGCCGCAGACATGAGCACCAAACGTAGCAGCTTAAATTGCACTTCCTGCTGGCAGGTACAACCCTCGTGTCCTGAAAAGTGGAAGCGGTACGGTGGCCTGTCGCTTCTGAACTTCGAGAAGCGCTTCTCTCCAAAGAGTCTGAAGAACATATGGGATACGTGTCGGATGTAATATAGGTCGGCTTCTCGCATTTGATACATGATATCGGCGATGACTTCCTCGGGAAGAGCACAGAGGCGGCTCTGTACCCTATTTTGGTGCTCCCGATCGAGCACCGCCGTCATGAGGCTCGACTCCTTCGTGCCGGTAGTAGTCATTTGTGCGACGGATATGGCGAGAATGAATGTTCAGCGTAAATTGATTGGAGAGCGCCTGGTTCATGCGTTATTAGTTGAGCCGTTGTTCTCAATGACTCAAACCGGTGACTCCGATGGCGTCCGAGGACGAAGAGGTTGTCTATTTTCCGCAGACGCTATGGACAGCGTCGAGAAGCTTTTCTCAGCCTACAAAATTTCCAAAACCTTCCTCCTTGCTCTTCTAGACTTGGTTTCGTCGCTGTTGTTCACTCGAACGACGTGTGCCTTCAGCTCTGATAAAAAAGAAATCAAACCTGCAGTCACTTGGCGAGGCGATAAGAAGCAAAGGCTAAGCCTCAGACTCGCACCTCGTTTTTAGTTTCTGGAGGCCAGTTGCCAGGACTTCTGGCTGTCCCAACCAGGTCGTTAGTAGGGCTGCGTGGTGGGCACGCAGCGACACCGGGGGCTCGAAGTACTGGCAACTGGTTCCTAGCATCTCGTTTGCCAGGTCCCAGAAGCCAGCTGCCAGATGATGCAGCTGTCTCAGTACCGCTTTTTTAGACACTTCTTGCCCTTTACAGCCTACTAGAATCACACAATACGCCTACATGCCGATAGCTTTAGAGGGCCAGATAGGGCAAACTACTGGCTAAAATATTGATACGTCATTTTCTTCTCGATGGCTGGGGCGGATTCGGGCCTAAGGTTTGCGCTTGGAAGGAGGGATTCGAGGTCTCGGGTGTTCCTTCGCTGACGTGATATGCTCATCAGGGTCGCCGTGACTGAGAGCCGTCGTGTTGGCAAGACCAGTTATTTCCTTTCTATCGTTACCGTAATCGAGGTTTCTGATTCTGCCCTCGTAACAACAGCTTGACTGTTTAGGCACACAGATCAAACTTCACTTCTGGGAGTGGATGTAATTTCAGGTCAATTAGGTTCAAAACTTCTCTTCAGTTGAAAAGAAGATCCAAATGTTTAGCAAGTTCGGACTCCTGATACCTGCGTAGACCCTGTCGTATAGACCTGACAAGTTCAGATTCCTGAAGATGTGACGTTTAAGGCCTATCTTTGACCAAAACCTTCCGGCTATAAGCGTAGGCACTCATAAAACCTCATATTCTGCTCTCATAAAGCCGTCAGAATATCGCCACCAGGTCTTGTTGTCAAAATGTCCCCCCTGAATAGCTTAGCCCACCTGGGCACTCGATGTTTGGTCTTCGACAGAACATATAACATGCAACCTCTCAAATCTCCCAGTGATTGTAACGTAAATGTTTTCTTAGAATGATATGAGCAGAGAAAAAGCTTGAAGAAGCTCACGGTCTCCTAGGAAATGCCAACTTTGAACTTCAACTCTTGTCGGTCAAATTTGTGTGCTTTCGTCTAATTACAACTGCGCCCGAAGGGCAGCATATGGAAAGGTAACACAAGCCACCGCCTCGTCAATAACCTCACTTTTCATTCGTCTGGCTGTGGACATTCAAAATGAGGAGGCCCAATAGCGCAGCTGCAAAGTTTGTCTTTTGCTGACCAGTCCAAGTTAGACTTTCTACATCTTCGCAAAGTTCTTCGTAGTTCGTCACACGAATATGTGTTAGAAGAATCGCATCGGCTACAACGAGAAATGGAAGTTAGCAAATGTTCTACAGCTAAAGGGAGGGACGACCAAACGTACTTGGGTTCTAAAGGGCGGTAAATGAAATTTTTATAGGATTTGCTCTTATCAAGGATGTTCCTGAAGTCACCCTGAGAGTTGTAACACCCTTTGGTGTCGCACCAGAGGACATGCTTTGAGAAGTTGTGTGTTTTGTATGACTCTGGATCTAGTAAGAGCGATTTAGAAGGAGGTTCGAGATCATCGTAGGTTTCTATTTCCTGAGATGCCTGAATTCTTTGAGGTCTCCAAAGAATTCGCCATCCCCGGATAAGCGTCTCTTCTCCCGATTCTGCTTTGGTCCATGAATACTGGAAGCTGCAGATAGAGCACTCCAATAATCCCGGAAGTTGACCTGGTACGATATGCCTCAGGATCTCTGTCCAGGTGACATGCCGGCAAAGCATGTTGTCGTATGTGCGTCGCCTGGAAGAGCAGCTCTCGATAGGAGAAGCGGGTAGTCTCCAACTCATTTCGATCTTGTAACGATTTTCCTCCTTGCCACGTTTCGTCTTTGTAACCTCGGCGAAAGCCCTCACCGCCGGGTTTTGTGCACCACTGACTCCAACGAGGCACTGGTGGCATTCGAATATGCTCCCGCCATGGGGAAATTGCGTCTTCGGGATTTCCAGTGGTTGATATCCGTCTATCTGAAAGAGAGATGGGAACATAGTCGGATACGTCCTTCCCAAAGAATACACCGCCTTGAGCCCTCGGGCTGTTCATGTGGCGACTCATGCGAAAACCACATCGCCTCATGGTTCGACTTACAAACAGAGCACCAGACATCTTTTCTATAGTCAGCTATCAGCTCAGCCAGCTGATTTTCGTCCGGGATTTGCTGCGAGCATGGCTGGCAGAGAGATTGACGCCGCAGAGTGAACGCAACTTTCTCGCTACAGTTACACCATTTCGAAAACTTGTCGTACGGAATCTCAAGCGGGTTTTCGCCGATAGGGGGGTGGATTTTCCAGACGTACGCGTTAAAGACTGGCTGAGAGTGACTGACTACGTGTCTGTTGTCATTGTAACGGTACCTGTTGTAAAAATTGCTTGCGGAATCAGATTCTTTGGGAAAGCGGAGTTCTCGAAAAGGGATTGCCCCAGAGAGCCGGAAGAAGAGATGGGACACTTGGCGGGTGAGATAGATCTCGGTAAGTCGCATGCAAGACATGATTTCTAGGACAAGTTCCTCGGGAAGAGCGCAGATGCGGCTCTGCAATCTGTTCCGGTGCTCACGATCAAATACCGTCATCTCGAGACCGTCGGCGGGCGCTGACTGATGAGTCTCGGCGTGCGGTTGCTCCATGCTGATAGCCGTCATTTCTGCGGTGGGTGATTGCGAGAAGAAATCCGGTGCATGCGCTATGGGAAGCGTCATTTATAATGTTTTCACCGTACGGCGTTCTTTTTCAATGACTCATATTCAAGCCGAACCTTGGAATATCAGCGCAGCCGAGGACCAAAAGGTTGTTCATTCTTCCAAGACGCTAGTAGCACATCGGCAACCTTTGTCAGTAATTACTGATTGGACTGCTCTCTGTCGCTGTGACTATGGACTATCTGTGAAGGCCCTCCTCATTGCTCTCATGAACTTTATTTTCTGGCTTTGATGAACACGAACGAAGTCTGCCTCTTCCGCTGATGAGAACTCCAGGCCTGCAGATATTCGACGGAACGACACGAAGCCCAGGCTAACGTTTGAGTCCAGGAGGGTCATCAGTTAGAAAGAGGGAACCAAGGCATTGGATATCCCTTCGCTGACTTTAAACGGCCATCAGGGTCGCCTTGGCTACAAAGGGAACAGCCGTCGTGTAGCCGAGTCGATTAGATCAGTGCCAATTAACTGTCCCGGCAGGAAATCCATTTACATGTGTGAGTTCCGTAGTAACAATCTGTGTACTGCTTGTGTCTGCTCAAAATTTCTCCATGCGATCTTGATAGCTCTTTTTTCTGCGTGTGAACGGCTGTGTGGCTGGTGGCGAACAGGTACGCCCAACGCTGTGGCTGAAGCTGACGAGAAACACCTCCTCATTTTTCCCATCAGCTTTAGGGTCTGATATCCTAGAATTCGACCCATTGAAGATGGTTACTGTAGTTGCCGAAAACAATTGGTGGCTCCCCACTCACGTCATTCCGCTTTCGCCACTGCAAACGTTAGGAACGTACGGCTTCATCGCGTGTGAGACATCTAGCAGCTTGGCACAGAAGCCCTCCGATCGCCAGTGAGCGTGGAGGCTTCTAGGGACGTCCCGAACGTTGGTACCCGCAATGCTCGATTCCTAATCGGTGTTCTTTCTCCGTCCCGCGTGTTGCGATTGAGCGCCTGGCATGTGCTCTGCGACACTTGTTCCGGTGGAAGGAGCTTCATCCGAAAGACTTTGGCAGGTTGGCACCTCTGTCGTTGAGAACATGTATGAAGAGAAGAAGATGCTCAAAAGTCGTTGAAGGGAAACACGCAATGGACGAACCCTCAGTCATCTTCTGCTGACTTTTGGCGATCAGTGCCCATCCAGTTTCTTGGCCAAGACGCGGCAGATCTATCATGGAAGATTCCACGGGGATCTACATTGCCATGTCGGGGGCTAGAGAAATGCTAGTCCCGCAATTCTGTGGCGTTTCGGCCGGTCTTCTCAACGCGGAAGTGAGACAACCATTGCTCTGGGTTCTTCCTGCAAGCAATCTTGGGCTAAGCGATGCGAGAACGGCGCCCGTCGGCTAGAGCCGCCATAATAGCTCCATTCTTGAACCCATTCCGAACTTCAGATTCTGATTGGTAGGGAACCGTGAGATGAGTGTGAATCAACGTCCACTGTCTGAGTCTTTCTGCAGCTAAGGTCTACCGAGACAGGAAGGATCGACTGATGCTGTCCCGCGGATCGAAAAGCTTGACATGTTTTCGGTTTTCACTGTGTTGAAATATCTCGCGGGGAAGAATGTGGCTTCTGAGTGGCATTGACGTTTCCACAAAACTAACTCGTATCTTGCCGGATTCGGAAACTTCGCACTTCAGCTCCGGCAACTTCAGCTACCTACGCAATGTGCTTGGGCCGAATCAAACTAGACAGGACACGCACTTGTAGAGGCAACAAATGAGAAACAAAATCTCATCTCATATAACCAGCTCCTCCTGGCAAGCGAAAATGTGGAAAGCTGAACCAAAGCTCACACTGCTAAGGAGTTCCTGTCAATGAGCGCCCTAACCCTGCAGTATAAGATCGGGAACCGGCAAACTGATTGAACGAAGTATCATGAGAAAACACCCACACTGCGATTAACTTCCACAAATAAAATGCTCATCGGCTTGGCGTCCAAGATCATCTCCATACCATTCATCCCCATCAAGATACTCAGAAATCATCTTCCGTACCCTTCTTTGCCTCCTTCCGAACCGAAAACCAGCCAGGGCCCAAAGAACCCCTCTGCTTCGACCTCAAATCCCACCAAGATGTACGTCTATCTGGGCAAGCTCAACTGGAAGGGTGCGGCGGTGGCTGAGGACGAGACTTTCATCGTTATACTGCCAAATGGAGCTGTTCGCACCGGTGACCCTGCCTATGTCTTCTTCCAGTGGACGCGGGATGAATACGGAGTGCCGAAGGCCAACTGGTTTCAGACAATCTCTATCGACAAGGTTTCCAAGACCGACAAGGGAGACGATGTCTTCACTCTGAAGCACCCGAAGTTCTCTTGGAAGATCACCAGCCAGCAAGCCTACGAGAACATCAAGATTACCATGTCAGATTGCGCAAGCCATGAGACCTCGTCGAGTCTCAAGCGTGTTTGGGGTACTCACTCTCACGGCGACAAGGCCAATGACACTGTCCGAGTCTGGACCGGAAAGATCAACTGGTCCACCTTCGCCAAAAACGAGATGGCTGCCTTCATCGCTCCTGAGGGCTTCGGCCAAGGCAGGCCCATCATATCTCTTTGGCAATGGACGAAGAACTATGCTGGCAAAGCCAACGATCCGTCTCTCCGTTGCGAATACCAGAAGATTGAGGCTGAGAACGATGACGTTGTCAGATTTACTTACACTTCCTACTACGACTTGGACTGCACCTTCAACCGGCAAACCGGCAAGCTTTCCGTCCGCATGAAATCACCTCAGGATAGTTCCGCCAAAGACCTTGGCGAGTTCACCCTCGCTGGTTTGATCGATCGCCACTCTCAGTGAGTTTCAACGCCTCTCATAAACCTGCAAAACTGACACATTTGACTCAGCGACTTTAATCCGCCTGAGTCAACCCCGAACAAGGCGGAAACCGAATTCAGGCTTCCTCAGCCTCAGCCCTCGCTTCCTCGCATTGTTGCACCGATGCCCTTCCCTCGAACATTGGTCGATACTTTGACTCATGCAGCTGCATTCATTGACCAGGCTGGATACCAAGCCAAGTATGCTGAGCAGGTAAGCTCTCAATAATGTCTAGGTGTCTTGCAAAATATGGTCTCTAACCACCACTTAGCAATTCAAAGCGCTAGACTCCAAGCTGCACGACAGTGAATACCAGCTTGATGCTGCCAGAAAGCAGATTGGAGACCACGAAGCTAATGTCAGGGCCTTGAACGCCGAGATTGCTGAGGGTAAAGGCAAAGTCGCTGCTCTGGACAAGAGCCTAGTGGACGCAAAGAAGCAAGCAGAGGCTAAAGAGAAGGAGCTGAGTCAACTGATGGAGAAAATTTCGGCACACGACATAAAAGATCACGAGATCATCAAGGAGCTCCACGAAGAGCTGGACAAGCTCAAGGCTCATATCAATCGCCTTCAGGAGGACCTTGTTGCCGCTAATGTTCAGCTCAATGCGACAGATGCCCAGCTTCAAGAGGAGAAGAAGCAGAAAGCCCGTCTCGAAGAGGATTTGCGTGTGCTCGGGAATAAAAACTCGATTCTAGAGAAAGACAACAAGAGACTGACGGCAGAGATCTGTGTGGTAAAGTCGAAGAACGGAGATTCGGAGAAGCAACAGCAGGCACTCCAGAAGCAACTGCATGACGCCACGGCTAAGCTCAAGACTACCCAGTCTGAACTCACTTCGAAGTCCGACGCGCTCCTGAAGGCTTCTGAGAAAATCATACTCCTTGAGAAGCAGCGAAAAGACCACGATGAGATTGACAAGAAACACGAGGAAGATGACAGGAAGCAGGAAAAGAAGCGCCATGATGACGAGGTCAAGCGCATCAAAGCAGATGATGAGCATCGCAAGGCTGACGACAAGCGACACGAAGAGGAAGAGAAAATCCGCAATGAATACGAGGACTTCAAAAAGAAGTATGCGGATCACCTCGAGAAGGACAAGGTGTACGACAAGGCCCGAGAAGATGCGGCCAACAAGTTGGTCGCAGATACCCTAGATTTTGCGAGGAGACAGATGGGAAGTCTGCCACAGAGGGGTTGAGTAACCGGCACAAATTGGCACTAGAGCATGATTTCTTTTGCGTTGGAATTTGCTCGTCACATGGTTTAAGTTGGCTTTTCCATCTGAGAATATGCCGTTTGAACTTTGTTTTACTTTGACCTTGTAGCTAAGGGTCATAGTCCCATCAGCACTCATACACAACCGGTTCAACGCAAGTTCTTTTCACCATGTTTGCCGCCTGGAGGTGCACCTTTTTGACTGCCGTATGACTCTGACGGGGAAATATGTGAGGTCTTGGTTGCTTGGGGTCAAATGGACGGCTCTTGTGACTTTGACCTTCTCCGGTTGATGACGAGCAGGAGAAGTATCCGACTGCAGCGAGGCTTAAACGAACCCGGACTGAAAATTCGCCTACCGTGACGTCGCCCCAGCAGTTGTCTCTGAACTCTCATTGACCGACGTCCACATCACCTAGTCAACAGTGTAATCAGCTTTTCGAAACAATGCTTAACCCTAGCCAAGGAAATGCCCAAAGATCACCTCTAATGATATAAGTAGGGATTATGCGTATCGAATGCAAGGATGGAGTAATTGCGCAGTGTTTCGTTTACTTTCTTTTGGTCCCCGGTTTAATTGTGAAAACGGAAAGAGGTTTGGGCACTTGTCATAGGGTGAGGATTACTCTCTGAGATCCATGAAGAACCACAGTCATTTAGATTCCACCAGAAACATTCAAGTTATTGGCGAGTTATTATGAGCTGCAATTGTTAATCCACGAACGTTCAAGACGTAGATCTTGTGTGTTTAAGTCCTACGGCCGTCAAGGCCAAATCAATTTATGTAAGAGATACGTCAAGTACTCGCTAGATATACAAAGAAATTTGTCAAAACATGTTGACGGCAGGTACTCCCTCGCCCATTTAGCAGCTGTTCTTGATACCGCTAGCGTACATGGCGAAAGTGTCCGCATTGTTGAGCGACTGAGACGCGCTGATGGTGTCGACGCAGCCCTCGTATCCGTAGCAAACATCGTCAGTGGCGCCGATTTCAGACAAGTGAGTAGCCTCGTGGATCATGAGGTAAGCCAGGTCCATACCGCGGCATCCGGCGCCAGAAACAGGGACCTCGAAAGAGTTCTCGCAAAGGACAATGTAGCCGTCGAGGCCGGGCTGAGAAAGCTTGTTAGTACTTGCGTCATTAAGGAAGAAAAGTTCAAGATGACTTGCCTGAGCGTAAGCAGCAGCGTTGGCGCAGAAGTTGCCAACATCGGAGCAGTACATCTTGGCGTCCGCAGTCGAGCTGCCAAGATAGTCGGCGACCTTGCCAAGGACATCAGCAGCCTTGGTGCCCGACGACTTCGAACGGAAGTACTGCTCCACGCGGGTACCTGCCTTGGCCGCCGTCTGCGCAGCGGCGGCAAGCTTCTGGCCCTCGGCAAGGCCCTTGATAATGGCCGTCTTCTTGCTTCCGGTGCAGTCGTTCTGGACGTTGGCGCGCTTAGCAGCCAGGCTCTGGTGGAACGCGGCGTGAACCTCAGCAGCCTTTACTCCATCGACCTTAGCGGTGAGGACGCCCGAATCGTAGACAATCTGGCCGGCAATGTCGTTGCTTCCCTCCTTGGCGTAACGGAGAGATCCGACACTCGAAACGTTGAACTCGCCGCCGGTGCTAAGGTCGTGTACCTTGGCGGGATCCCACTGGACCTCGACCTTCTCACCAGCACCAATTGTCTTGAAGGCAGAGTCGGGGAGGTTCGTGTCACGGACATAGACGCGGATGCCGTTGAAAGCAACTCTGTTGACTATTGGATTCATTAGAGAGGCCCATCCTAACAACCAACTTATATGAGAAGCGTCATAACAAAATCTAGTACTTACCGCCTTCAGTAGAGGCGGTCGTGAATTGAGCCCTCTCGACGGGAGTGTCGTCAAGGATAGAACCGGTCTTGAGAACTCGCAGAGGGCTGCTACCGGTGTTGGTGATGGTGGCCTTCAGTTCGCTGTTGCCGACCTGCTCAATCTTGACATCAAGAGGGCTTGCGTCTCGGCGAGCAAGGTTGATAGCGGCGCCATTAGCAAGGGCCGCAAGGCAGGAAACAACAGTGGCGGCCTTCATTTTGGCTAAGGGATGTGGAAGAAACGAACGTAAGAACGAATGAATAAATGAATGAATGAGCGGATGAATGAATTATCTTCCGGACTTGGTCGGTAGCAGCTCAGCTGTTGAATTGTGACTAGAATATCCTTCCTTCGTCAGCGGAAGAGCACGACTTTATTACTTCACATCCTCGTGAAGGAGCAACCCGCCGGCCCCGCTGTGGGAGGCTGCATTCAGCCTGGACCGAAACATGAGTCGTATCGTGGAGAATGAAATCTCAAGGTGTAGATGCTTTTTTCCGCCACTGAAAACGAGCAATTTTGGGATGGGGCTTGAAGACAGCTACTTTTCCGACACGTTCGTCGGGACAAACTGAGGCTGATGGACAGCGATCTGGGAACAGGGGTCGAATCACAATTGTCTGTGCCTTCGAATTCCAGAGAGGCGGCACTTTGGCCAACACTGACTAGTAAGCATATTGGAGGATTGAAAAGGAAAGTCACAAGTTGGTCCCGGCCCCTCTTCACGGAAGATTATGGTTGTTCTGAGTTGTCGATCACAACGAGTGATGGTGGGGGAGTTGCCTGGTTTGTAATAAGTTATTGAAGCCGTGTGTTGATTTAAATCCTGTCTTCTAATTCGCTGTTTGTTTTCACAGCCGTGCACCACCAATCAGAAAATGTCTTGGCTTTCTTGGCCGACTTGGCACAAGTGAGAAGTTGATTCAAGGGGTACCGACTTACCGACTTACCCTTTAGCGAGGCATGGCAAGGCGAAAGATTCTAGGCTGGTCTCTTTGAAATGAACTGGCCTCATCAAGAATTAGCACAAGCTTGCCCCGCACGTGTCGCAAGTTTTAATATTCTGCAAACGTCGCTTAAACTTGCCGCTTGCTCAGTTGCCTCAAGTTGCGCCTCTCATATATGGATTTCTCGTATTCCTCAGCCTGTTAGTTACTCAACAACGAACCACAAACACATCATTAAGGAGTTGCAGCCCCTTGAAAATTCGTAAAGCGAGAGTGAACAATACGACAGCCTTCTTGTAACGGCAACTTTTCCCGCTTTCAATGGCAACATTTCCTTCTTAGCCTTACAACGGCAACTTGCCTTTCTCATCTACCTGCATATATCCAGTCTTAGAGTTGAAGGGGCCCCCAAAAAGCCCGTCACCAATCTTGCCGCTCAACTCACTCAACGTTCAACCGCAGAAAAAGCATTCGCATCATACCAGTCTGTTACCAGCCAGACACGGACAGAGCTATTACACATGATCGCCCAGCAGCGCAGCCGTGGACGTTTATCGCTCCCAACCGCCTTAGCTATAGGCGCTTTCATTGTCATTTCTCTCTACTTCTTCTCGGCCCAACCAACGCCCACGATGGTCGACTCCGAGTCGTCGTCCTTTCCCCATCTGCAACTGAGCCTCTCCCAGACCGTCGCCTCGAAAGCCCCCAGCGTCTCGGTATCGGTCAAGAACACTAGTCCTGACACTCCTGTGACGATCCTGAAGTGGGATTCTCCCCTTGATGAGGCCGCTCTTGGCTTGGGTCTGGTGTCGATCACGCCCGCCGGGGCGTCTGAGCCTATCCACATCGACGCCGTCAAACTTACCCGCAAGATGCCACCAAGTGCCGAATCCCTAGTTACGTTGCTTCCTGGTGAGAGTGTAAGCAATGTCATCGAGCTACGCGAGCCGAGGGTTTCAAAAGATGTGTGGAAGGCAGGCCACGCGAAAGTAAAGATGACAGGGAGGTGGATGGCCGTTTGGCCCGGAGTGACTACAAAAGAATTGTTGCAGCAGCCGGAGAAGCTGCAGTCTGTCGGCGCTGGTGCTGGTGGTTCGTTGACTGGGGATTGGAAGACTGAGACAGTGGAGATTGGCCAGTAGTGGACTCGGTCTCTGAACTGCAGCTCACTCAATAAACACAAACAACATGGTTAGACGTCTCCTCTCTAATGGGGGAAATTGATTTCCTAAGAAAACGACCAACTTCACCACCAGCTGTTTGCGATTTGACATTGTTTGCAAAAGTATGTGTTTGCCATGACTTGAGCCTGTCGATACTTGGGGGCTCAGGTCCAGGCTTGAATAATTGTGTCAAAATCCGGTTTAACCAAAGCTCCTCGCTCAGGAGACTATTTCTAACTCGCTTTTACAGAAGCTTCCGTTGTTGATGAACTTTCATAGCACATAGAGTATGGGCGATTCAGTAGGTAGCACTCTCCGCGTTCTGCTTTGAACTAGGAGGAGATTAATGAAGAGCCCTTAAACTTTACCAAAGTAGGGCTTGGTCCTTCCGTTTGAGTTGCGACTTACCTCGTGTGCTATTTATCGGCGTTTCAATGTTCGCATTGCTCATGCCGAGCTTTCCGTGTTGAGGATCCGGATCCGCGAAGCAGCAGCGTCTCACGACACTCCCGAAGAAGCTGTATTATGAAGGTGAACTTGATATTTCAAAGCTCTATAACCTACAAGCTTGATTAGGACTGAGAAAATGTAAGGCAATGGCGATAAGGAGCTATACCTACATTTTATTTGTCATGAGTCAAGCTGTGGTGAAGAACGCCGGGCTGGAGCTAGGAATTTGGAAACTTGTTAGTTGAAGTTGAATTGCGCAACCATTCCTTTCACAAATTGCTTCTCTTCATTAAATAATAAAATAAAAAGAATTCCTGAGATTTGTGCGCAGAGTTAAGACTGGTACTTGCCTAACTTAATACACGCACATGCTGGTGGTTGAAAACTTTGATATCATCATGTCTACACAAAACTCCCCTAAAGACAGTCGATATCCCAAAACAAGACTGCGATGCTTTCCGGAACATATTCATGTGAACAGCTATAAAAGCTTCCTGGTGCCACGGAACCCAGAATCGAGTTCAACAATTGCGAAGTGTGATGGGTTGGGCTTGATGTCCTTTTGGTTAGAGGAAAGCATGCGAATGACTTGAAGAGATGCTTCAGTCCCGATCTCAGCCGAGAAGTATTGGTACATTTTTTCTTCTTGGATATGATGAACAGTCTGCTCGTATGTAGTGAATACATCGCGAACAGCGATGATCAATAATAGAGAGCCAGTTAACAGGTCGATCACCTGGGCGTTCGGACCAACTTCCGTCAAAGAGAAAGAAAAGTCCTTCCGAAGATGGTTTTGCATAGTACTGCTAAACGTAACGTTGTGGAAGTGGCCATAGCTTCCGGAATGTACAAATTGTGACACGGATCATCTGTCCAATACTCTTGTTTCACCGCTTGTCTACATTTGACTGCGGTGAATACATTCAAAATGACGAAACACACGGAAAGCTGCCTCCTTCACAAAGATTTCAAGGCAACCACTCTGAACGGCAACTCATAGCCCATTAGAATGATACTGCGCTACCTAACCGCCCAAAGGTATCGCATGGATTGGCCCATTGCCTTTTTCGTGTGCACTTACAGAATTATTTGGGCTTTTAAATTAGTATGTCGTCTCGTTTCCATGACTTTCAGGCTTCAAGTCTCAAGCATTCCCCCGCGGAGCAGTGGCTTAATAGCGTTAATCTACATGGAAAGTTTATGAGAGATGCCGGATAAGATGAAGTTCTTGTTCCACCCTCTCACAAATGGGGCACAGCTTCTAGATATGGTCGAATGGGTCTGGCACCGCTACACAAGGCTGACTGGCGCCGATCAGCAAACGGCGATTACCACGAATCACGAGCAGCTTACAGAATACAATCTTCTAAATCAACCAGTGACTTTCATAGAGGTTTCTGTCGTCTGAAAGAGCTGCAGTGCATCATACATGAATAGCCCAGAGAAAACGGGGGATCATAGTGTGACTATACAACCCCATGACAGCGACCATGCTATTCTTACTTCAGAAAGCTTGCACCGAAACAGGATTCAAGCTTGTGTAGGCGATTTAGAGACAATGACTGGCAATGCTATCTCTTGTTGAGACGCTGTGTGGGTGTTTGGGATCATTTATATCGATGTAGTGCAATCACCACCGTCGATATGAGGTGTCCGCAAGTGGCAGAACAGCAGATCTCTTCTCAGCACTTGCTATGATATCAATCAAGCAATAAATGACCTGAATGTGAACATAAAAACCGAGCTTCCTCAGTTTGACGGTAGACAAGCCAATGCGACCCTTTTTTGTCTCAGATAGAAACAGGCTACTGAAGGCAATCGTCATAGGAGTCTCGTCACTATCTATTGAGAGGGATTCCAAAGCTCGTCAAGAGTAAGGAGAAACTCATCGGTGTCTCCCCAGCATTGACTATGCGCTTGGAATACACCCGAAGGCAAAGACGACAGACCCACGCCGGCGAGTCCCAACCACAGATAGAGAGCGGCCGACAACGTTAGTCAAAAAAGTCAAAACTTACGTGGCATGATCTCTACCTCGTTAACAGGCAGCCAAATCCTCGGAAAGAATCATTTCTGGTACGTCTTCGTTTCTCAGCAGCCATCTTCGGCCTCTTAGAGCTGAAGCCATGCCTTGCGCGTGGGCAACCACCGGCGCTGGAGGAGAAGAGATGCCTCAATCCCAGGCGCGTATATAAAGAAAGCTGGACGAAGTGTTTGGTAGAGCATCAAGCCAATGGCTTCTTCGCATTCTCATGGCATTGAGTTCTGTAAAACTGTCGTCATGAGATGGTGAAAACCTCGATGCAAGCGAACTCAACCACGATACGTGCCACACGACGCAATGCATAGGAGACTTCTCCTCCTCTTTTGAATATCGTGGGATGATTTTCTTGAATACGTATAGGAAGGCGCAGGACAATGCTGAAGGGGCAGGAGCCGCGCAGTGTCGACCATCTGACACCGCTCATCATGAGCATGCCCTTGAGTCCTCCATCGAGATGTAGAGTTTGTGGAGTTCGCAATGAGGCTGGAATATTCGCCGAGATTCATCAAAGCATCCAACTTGAACTGTATTCAACGAAGGGTGGCTTATTTTATGCCCAATTCCCACACGCAGCCTTCAAGTCCTCTGAGCAAGCCGACATCTTCTGCAAGAGAAACTCCCAAGGAACCAAAAAGGTTGAAGCCCAACCGCCTTCCCTCGGATAATAAGTTTCAGAGCCCAAGAGTAAAAGAACATGTCGTCACGGAAGCCTTTGGCGCGAATAATAAACGGCAGTCCGCACTTACATGGTGATGGGGACTGTCAATCATGTTCCATCCATACAACTGACGAGGAGCATCTATCGACTTCGAGTCACTCGCAAAGAGCAGACTAAGACATGAGCTCTACCACGAATCAGTCGAAAAAAGAACGAAATGGGTTCGTGGTGTACCCCCCAAAGAACGCCGCCTCAAACACCACACAGCCTAACCCCACAGCAGCTTCAACACCAGCACTCACACACTGACTGACATGACGAAGCCACTTGCCAACTAAACAACCACCCACAACCAGCACCAAGCCCCAGAAACCCCTCAAAAGCATTAAAAAAAACCTCAGATCAATCCAAATCTTGACTAAAGACAAAACAGTCGTCGGCAAAACCTCCGCGCCCAAACCAAAACTAACGCCTGCACCCCGGCCAAACTGGACGTCGGCTCCACACCGCTCCCCAGCCATCCTTAGTCCCAAATATAGAGTGTCGTCTCCAGCGCCTTGTTGGCTAAGTGGTATAGCGCCTCACTAGTAATGAGGAGATCGGGTGTTCGATTCACCCACGAGGCAAGCAGCCTCCGACATTTCCGTCGGCCGAGTCTTTTTGCATTTTCTCCTCACCCTCTTCCTTCCTTTTTGCATCGCCATCCAGCATCTCTAAATGCACAATCCTCCCTCCACCGAGTATCCGCAATCCGGTCGGCTGCCTGTTCACCCATAAAACCCCCCTCGCTCCCCGTCACCTCCGTCTCCGAGCCGAAGGCCACGCCCCCAGTCAACCTCCTGTCTCACCCCCAGCCAACAAGCTCCCCTCCCTCCCAGGACACATCGCAATCACCCAAGCCACGCTCTTCAAAAAAGGAGGCTCACAAGGGCCCGACGCATTGTCTCTGCACCTCCCGTATACACCCCTACCACCCGTAATTGAGACCGTTGAGCAAGACATTCACCGCGTACGAAAGAAGCAATACCTCGGCCCCCTTTTGCACCCATGTGGGACCTGATATTTCCGTCTCCCATCCCGATCGAGACAGAGTCCTGGTCCAGAACCCTCAGCCTCATCGCCGCCCAGCCCTCGGAACTCCCCGCTAGGTACCCGGATGGACCCCTGATCTTCACATCTGACATCACTCACCGCCAAACGCAAGAAGCATGAACTTGAAATCATCACCAGAGTCTTTGACTGGTCTTATTTGACTCGAATCGATATTATACACATCGGCTCGTCATCATCTGCATGTTCCCCTTTTCGTCTCCTCCGTCTTTCCGTCTTGATTCTTGGTCTTCTTCCTGCATCCCCTGCTCATGAGCAGAGATATCGCAAGGGTCGAAACTTCCTCCCCAAACCAAGCGCAGGCGAAAAAATCAGTTGTGGTCGCCTTCTTTTTGGACTTCAAATCCCACTCGGCCCGCCCTTGTATGTTCCGTTCTTTATATGTAAAGTTGCTTTGGGGTATCTGTTGGTACACAAAAACGTGTGACAAAGGAAAACCGGTTTGTTTGCAGAAAATGAGCAGTCGCAGTGTTTCTACCCTCCCTTTTCGGGAGGAAAGATGATGCTTCGCCGATGATGTCGTTCCTTTCGTTAAAATGCCGAAAGGCCGAGTAGACAAATGAGAAAATAGAAAACGCCTGGTTCCGACTAATCCTGTCTCCCGATGCAATGTTTGGTGATTTTGTGAAAGGAAAATGTTCCGTGAGTGGTGATGTTGTGCGATGCCGCCGCAACGTCCAGGCCGCGACGGGAGACCCGGTCTGCTTGAAAGATTATAATGTGTAGTATTGAAGGCGCTGTTATGAGCCCTCCGTCGGCAGCTCGATACCGCTATCGCGGTCCTGCGGCTCTTTGCTCCAGTTTGGCGTGAGACTCCTCGGGGAATCCACTGGACTGCTCGGTGCTGACGCTCCATCCTTGCGAGACTCCTCATCCTCGTTGTCCCGCAGGTAAGCCGGCTGGAGCACACGTGGTGGCAGCTTCACCTCGCTGGGTTGGACCTTGTACTCGAGAGCCTTCTTGCCCTCCTTGATGAGTTCCTCCGTCCAATTCAAGCACTTCTTGATGCTCTGATTGATCTTCTGACTGTCGACAAGCAGCTCTCTGTGCTTGGTGAGATCCAGCTGAAGTCGCTTTTCGTCTCGTTTCCTCCGCCGAGTGTCGCGCTCGGGGTCCGACTTGGCAGAGTCCGTCTCGTCAAGCTCCGATGACTCAAACATGGAATCCTCGAGGTCTTCTAAATCGCCTTCGCCCTCAACCCCGCCTTCACCTCCAGCTTCAACCTCCTCCTCCTCCTCACTAAGGTCCGAAAGATCTAAAACACCTTCGATACCAAGACCCGTGGTCGGCTCGGACGGTTCCTCCGCTGGTGGCGCGGTGGGAGCCGAGGACAGACGGCCAGACCGGGACAGTCTCTTGTACCTCCTCAATTCAGCCGTCTGTTTCCTGAGCTGCCTCTCGAGCGATCTGTTAATGGCCTCCAGGGAAGCGTTTGTAATCTCCAGATCCTGCACCTTGCGTTCCCTCCTGGCGTGCTTCACCATATCGTTCAAAGGGTCGCCGTGGTTCGACCGGGTCGGGCTGTGGAGTTCTTCCAGATCCCTGGAATCGTCGTCGTCATCGTCCTCCTCCTCTTCCTCTCCCTCAGATTCGCTCAGCTCATCTGCTGCCTGCAATATCGAAGCTATCGTGATCGGCTGGTTAGGGAAGAAGCTGGCCATTGTCGGAGACGACACTCCGGAGGGAGTCGGCGACTGAGAAGCCATGAACTGTGACATGATCATGGCATCGGTAGGTGCAGCGTCAGAGCCGACGTGGCTCGCGGGCCGGCTGTTGACATGACTGGCTACCTGAGAGACGGCGTCCATGCTGATTTTGCGCTTGTGCATCGAAGGCGCCAGGGGCGGCGGGCTGGTCATCTGGGTCCGAGTCTGCGGTTGACTATTGCTCTTAACCAATGGCGGAGCAGCTGGAGCTTGTATCGGCTTGTTGGGCGACATGGGCCTAGACGCAAGCGATAAACCGCTTGCCGAGCCAGCTGAATTCCTAGCCTTCTTTCTCGACTCTGCGATGGTCGGCCCCGTGCCTGAAGCTGCAGACGACGGCCTGAAGCCTGGAGCCAGATTTGGAGCTCCATTTGCATAAAAGAACTTGCTCTGCGGCGGCTCCGGCGTGGGCGCAAGTGTCGGTGATAATGACGGTGCCAGCGAGGGAGCGAGCATCGGCGTGAAGCCTACGCCGGCGGACGTGGGCCGATTCTTGTCTACGGCGCTGCCATTGGCGTACAGGAAGGTGGAAGCTCGCTGTGGGGCGGCAGGAGCAGCAACAGGCTGCTTGGGCTGGGGAGCGGGCGCGGAGGGTTTGGCGTCGCTCGCATAGAAAAATTTGGAGTCGGCATCGTGGCGGTTGCCAGCGGTGGAAGGCACAGGGCTGAAGGTAACGACCTGTCTCCTTACCGGCTCAGCCTGGAAAGTGGGCTGGTGATCCCAATCGTTGGTCCGGTCGGGGTTCGGTGTGCCGTTGGGAGTGCTATTATTGCTGTCGACGCGGTTCTGGCGAGGGCCGGATCGCGGTGTGATATTATTGCCCAGGAAGGGCGCAGGACTCGTCAGGTCGTCCTTGGCTCCTCCCCCAGCAGTGGCATGTAAAGTCGGGTGTTGGGTGTTGTTATTCGTATTATCGTTGCGGCGGCGGCCCAGGGGGGTCACGACGGAGGCTGGTTTCGCAGCAACTTTCGGGGTGAGGGGAGCTCGATTCATTCCCTTTGCGGTGAGGGAGGGCATTCCCGGCTGGCGGGTAGTCGTGCTGCCCCCTTTGTCGTAGGGGGGCATTGTGGTGGGCGTGGGAGAGGCAGATGCTGAGGCGGATGCGGATGCGGGTGTGGAGGATGAGGTGGGCGAAGGTGTTGGCGACGGCTTCGCTCGCGCAGCGTTGGCAGGACGAGATGAGGGGTTCAGGACATTTTGGTCTCTGTTGCGGAGGGGAGAGCGCAAGCTGGAGGACAGTGCAGGTTGCTGTCGTCGGGCGGAGGCAGAACCCTGAGGGGAAGTAGCAGGAGTTTCCGCAGTGGTACCCGCGTCGTCGGCGTCGGTGGTTGTGGTAGTGGTGGTATTGGAGGCGGTCGCGGGTGGTGGTTGCGAAGAGGATGTTGTGTTTGGGTTTGGGTTTGGATTGGCAGCAGTAGCAGTAGCAGCGGCGGCGGCGGCGGTTGGGTTGGCGGTTGCGGTTGTAGTGGTGGAGTGGGAGTTTGATGTTTTGGTGGTGCCTGCGCCAATTGTGGTTACGGTCACAGTACTTCTACTTCTAGTGGTGGTAGCTGTGATGCGTGGCCGGGGCCCCGTTGCGGTTGGTGGGCCAGTGGCAGCAGTGCGAGTCGCAGTCGCAGCACTAGTTCCAGCGGCAGCGACAGTCTTTGGTCTGCTGGTTGGAGTGTTGGTGGTGGTGCTGGTGGTGGTGCCAGTGCTGCCAATGCCAGAGCCAGAGACAGACCTTCGCGTGGGCGTGCTAGCGGGATTATTTGTGGTTCGGGCTCGAATCTGGGCGACCGTGGGTTTGCGACCCGCGGATGCTGGTGCTGGTGAGACGGGCCGCAAGGGCGTCGAGGTCGGCGAGAGCAGCGCAGGCGAAGAGGCCCTGGACGATGCTGCTGTTGATGCTGCTGACGACAGGGCGGGGTTGCGGGTGGCGGGCGAGAGCGACGATGGCCTGATGTTTCTGTGAAGCCGGGATGGGTCGGGCTTCTTGGGCTTGTTCTTGGTGAGGTCTTCAGAAGCAGTCGACAGATTGTTGCAGCCGGCCGGCGTGTTGGCGGAGGTGAGCGAGCGCATTTTGGGCAGCAGCAGCCGCTACCTATTTGCAGGTGACTGTTCGGTTCGGGTTCCTGGCGGCGGTGGTGGACAGGTGCTGGTACAGGTACAGGTACAGGTGCTGGTACTCCTGGGGTTCCTCCTCCGTCCTCGGCTTCTCACTGGCTACCATGGCCGGGAAACGGAAAACCACATTGGACGAACACGGGCGCTCCCTGCCTCTTTCTGTCGTCGTCGTGCACTCCTTTCCCAGGAACGAGGCTGCAAAATGAAAACCTGCAAAAGATGTGCAAAGAAAAATAGAAGCCAGCAGGGATGGGCGCGGTGGTCGACTGTCGAGGTGCCCAGTTTACCGGTGACGGTGGGCTTCGAGGAAAGTGGTTCGCAGGGCCTGCAATTCCGCTTGAGGCAGTCGACGACGATGCCGGTTCTCTCGTGTGTGTATGACTGTGCCCGTCGTACGCACAAGTGCTTGCTTGCTGCAGGTCGGGGGTGCGAGAGGGGGGGTAGGGGAGGGGAGGGGTTCGTCGTCGGTGAGGCAAAAGGCGGTGATGGACCACTTCGCCGCTTCACCTTTTTCAGCTTGGGGTCCCGTCCGGATAGGAGTCAAAAAAAGGAGGCAATGTGCTTTGCAGCCCAAAGACCAAGACCGAGAAAGGAAGAAGAAAAAGAGTTGTTGGTTTGTTGTCTCGCGCTTGTCTCTCTCAAACAGCGTTGACTCGACACGAAACGGTCCCCGATTGAAACATGCAGGTTGATGATCAACGGCGTAGCGGTGACACAGGGCAGGTAAGGTAGCAGCAGCAACCAACCGCGAACAGACGCGTCCAAGGTGTGTGTGCCGGAATAGGGAAACTTGGGGGATCAAAAACGAGACAGACCACGAGTGGTGAGTGTGACTGAGAGATTGGAATGGGCAGCGGCGGCGGGGGGGAGGACGCAAGTTGAAGAATGTCATTCACGATTCCACGAAACGGGGGCGTCCAGTAGCAGCCCAGTTAGCCGCAAGCCTCAAAGTTGCATATTCGACTCCTCTCTCACGCTTGAACCTCACCGAGGATCCGTAAAAAAAGAGGAGAGCGCAGGCGAACCTGGGAACGGGAATGGCAGATAATGCAATATGACATGTTCGCTATCGTCCACAGCAAGGCACAAAACTATCCATGGGCCATCGTCCATTGGGCCATGTTATTCCTGGCGTGTTGTCATTCTTCGAAACCGCCCGTTGGATCCCCCTCATCTCGATTGGCATTTGTTTATTTATGCGTCCCAACCTGCACAAACCCACTCCACACGACACAAGACAACCAATCCCGGATATCTCAGAGGTCTGCCGTCGTGACATTTCGTCTTGTGTGCTGTGTGATTTGGTTCGAGAGGTGCAGTGTGCAGTGCTTGTCTCGAACTCTTGCCTGCCTTACGGATACCTACCCTTGGTCCATAACACCTTGGGTATATATGAATGCAGCTTAGCGGAGACTCACTGCTCACAAGAGATAGAAAATAAAAAAGGAAAAGAATATCGCCAAAGAGCGGGACAAGGGCGGCAGGGCGGGAAACGATTCACCTTCGGGACGGCGGTGACATTTCGTCTCTCCTTCGGTGCCTTCCCCCTTCAGGTCGGACCCTTCCCAGTCTGCTTTATTTTTGTTTTGGGCCCTTGACAGCGCCCATCTCGTTTATTTTCCTCCCCCCCTTCCTCCCGTGATCCCGGGTTGTTGCCCGGCCGGGCCAAATTGAACGTGGGCACGCGCTAGCGGAACGTCGCGGTACGTATCTGTTTTCCCTCCTTCGCGACTTTCCATCTCGAAATCTCAATCTCGTAGCGCGTCATTCCGCCCTCCGAGGCAACACTTTTGAACCCCACCAAAAGGGGACACGGTGCACCCCTGTCGCTTAGCAGCCGCCTGTTAAGGGAACAACCACCACACCTCTCCAGCTTCCAGTGCGGGCCCCGCGCCAGACAGCTGACCACTCACCGTGACCGTGGAACCCGCTGACAAAGACCGAAGACGCTCGCAGCGCAACATTCTCCAAATCCCATCACGACGTCAACCTCGAACTGCCTCTCTGTCAGGACCCTCACTCAACAAACGACGACCCATCCAACCTCTGTCGCGGCCCCCCCACGGCCTCTCCAACGCGACGCCATCAAGGACAACAAAAAATGGGCTACATCGGCGTCTCTCTCATCATCGCCTCCGTCGTCTGGGTCATCGTCGCCCCTCCGCCATGGATACACCCCTTCATGCCGCCCTTCCTCCTGACCTGGCGTCCCTCCCCATCCCTCCCGGCGCCACCAAAGACACGCTCAAGTCCCCCGCCGGATGATGACAAGAACCCAAGCAACGGCACCGCCGCCCCCGACGAGCAAAAGCGCACCGCAGCCGCACCTGCCCCGCCATCCATCAACTTCCCCGAAGACCCCGACCTGACACCGGCACCGGCACCGAAGAACGACGGCCTCGCCATGCCTCCTCCTCCCACAATCGTCCGCCGCCCGAACGCGACCTCTGCCCCGGCCCCGGTGATATCAGAGCCAGAGGAGGAACAAACAACACCCAAAGCCAACCCCTCCACCCCGCCCGGCCCAGCCGTACCCTCGTTCTCCCTCAACGAACCCTCCTCAACCGGCCTAACCACAGGCGCGAACCCGACCCCGACCCTCGGCCTCGGAAGCATGCCGCCCCCTCCAGCACCCGGGCGCGGCAGCATGCCTCCTCCCCCGCCTCTCTTCAACAACACCTCGACAAACTCCCTCCCAGGCCGCGGGAGCATGCCTCCCCCACCACCATCCTCACGAGGCCCCGTCCCACCCCGCCTCGCCGCTTTCCCAGCCGCAAACTCCCCCCAACGCGCCCGCGGCCCCGTCCCCAACCGCGGCCCTACCTCCTCCTCCTCCTCCTCCTCGCTCCTACCGCCGCCAACACACTCCGCCAAACCCTCCAAACCAAGCCGCAAAGTAATCCTCACGCCCGGCCACTCCCCGCTCGACTGGGCGCGCATCTCCGCTCCCAACGCCGACCTGCGCAACCTGCCCCCCTCCACGCCCTACCTCAAAGTCACCCCCTCCATGCTCAAGAAGATGACCGGCCGCAAGGGCAAGGACGCCTGGATGGCCCTCGGCGGCCGCGTCTACAACATCACCCCCTACCTGCCCTACCACCCCGCCGGCGAGCCCGAGCTGCTCCGCGGCGCCGGGCGAGACGGCACGAAGCTGTTTGGGGAGATCCACCCCTGGGTCAACTACGAGACTATGCTTTCGGCGTGTTTGGTCGGGCTGCTGGTGGACGAGGAAGAAGGCGCGAAGCCGAGCGCCATGGATGAGATGGATTAAACCCCTTCTTTTGCACATTTTAGAAGAGAGAGACAGGCACATACGGTTACTACGCTGTGTATTAACAGGTCGACCCTGCATACAGATACTGATAGAGTGATACCCCATAATAGACGCACCGCTCACAGCGACCGCAATCATACAAACATCGCTAGTTGGCCTCCTCGGCGCCATCGTCCGCATCCTTCTCGCTGGCGTTGTAGTCAACCATCTCAGCGTCGCCGTCCGCATCATTGTCGTCGGCCTTGCTGCCCTCGCCAGCTTCGCGGGCACGGCTTCTTGAGAGCCTTCTTGCCCGACTTCGCGTTATAGCTCCCTTTGACTCGTCGCTCCACTTGAACAGCAGGCCTTCAGGATCAGCTTTGGGCTATCTCAGCGTCTCCTAAACTTGAACTTCAGCCCGTCGTCGTCGTCACTCTCATCGCTGTCAGCCACCTCTCGAGGTTTCCTCGCCGCTCGGGTCTTCTTCGCAGGTGGTTCGTCGGCCGGAGCCGGAGGCGGCGCTGCTCTCTTGCCGCGCGTCGTCCTCTGACTTTGGCTAGTAGCTTGAGACTGTGTCGTCGTGGCGCGGGAGCTTCTCGATCGTGATGGGGCGGGTTCTGGCTCGGGCTCGGGTGCAGGCGTCTCATCCTCTTCGTCGCTGCTGACAATGCTAATTGTGCCCCGATCTTGAAGTAACACACGTCGGGAAGCGGCAGACTGACCAGTACTCGTGCCACTCTTCTGACTAGTATTCCTGCCGCTTTTCTGGATGTCGTCTTTCTTCTTCTTCTGACTATCGTCCTCGAGCCAGTACTCATCGCCAATGCCATAATCCTTCTTCTTGACCTCCTTTAGAGGGACAATGACTTTCTGGCGCGGTCGTCCCGTGAGCTCGCCACGGGGTACGAAGCCTTTGAAATTCTTGCGTCCATTCCAGGCAGGGTTCCATCTGCCGCTCGCTACGTCTTCCTCGTGAGTCCTGGTTGCCGGCCGTTGACGTACAGGCATAGCCACCGTGGTTTGGTTCCGACCAATCTCTGCCAAGTCAAGGTCGGCTGGCAAATTGCGAAGGTCATCCTTTTCGGCCTTGGCCGCAGCCTCCAGTTCTTCACGACGTTTGCGAGCGACTTCGAGGACATCAATCTCTTGCTTCACCTTCTTGGCCTTGGTAGCAGGCTTCGGCTCCGGAGCCTTTGGAGGTTCGGGCTCCTTAGGTCGCGGGTCTGGATCTTCTCCAGCCTCAATCCGTCGTCGCTTGGCTGCGGCTACATTTGGGATAATATCATCCATGATGCTGTCATCCTCTACTGGAGGCCGCTTCCTCTGTGACCTCCTGGTTCTCGTCTCTTGTGACGATTCTGGGATTTCATCAAGTGCGGCCGCCTCTTGCGACACGAATAACCCCTCCTCGGTCTCCGGTTGAGTGTTGACAGGCACGCTCTCTGGTTCTTTGGGAACCACGGGATCATCATCGTCGTCGTCATTATCGAATCCAGCAAAACGTCTGGTGGCTGCCCTTCGCACACGAGCTGGTCTCACTGGTGGAGCAGACGGTGCAGACTCTTGGGGTGTGTGTTGTGAAGGGGCGGGCTGGTCAACATCCATCGAGTCACTGCTCGAAGCCTGCTGCGGCGCTGTGCGTGGAGGCTCCTGAGTAGGGTCAATCTCCAGACGCCGACGCAGAATACTGGCGTCTTTGACGAGAATCGCCTCAAGGAACTCGTTCTGCTCAATGGGCCTATGGTCCAATCGGAGTGAGACTTGAGTGAAGAATTCTGCATACCAGGCCATGGCATCACCTTTGCTAGGAGTATAGCGGACGACAACAACACCTCGTCCCTCGCTGCCATCTTCAAAGCACCCAAGCCCTTTCTCGCCTGCTTCTGTTTTGACGTACAGAATGAACTCGTCGACAGTAGTCGCGTTGGGGGTCACCTTTGTGTAAAGCGCCTTGCCCTTGCCGTTGATGATGGGCGCGCGAAGATTCTCAAACTGGCCCTTTTCGTAGAAAATGAACGTGTATCCCTCAAAGATGCCGCGGCGACCTTCGTCGGGGGCATAAGCGGCGTTAGGACGCTCGACAGGTTCGCCGCCACGTGGAGGCAAGTGGGTTAAGGCATCGGGCCAGGAGCTGTCGAAGTTATCCTCCAGCGCACATATAGCTGTTGGCTCCGAAGTCGCTGCCGCAACAATCGCATCGACAAATGAGTCCGTCACAATGTATTTCCCATTAACAAGAGCTTGAAGGCCCTTTGACGTATTACGCTTTTTTACCACCACGTGTGTCGTATGCTCAACATCGTATTCGGATGTAAGCTTGATGTCCAGCTGCTCGACGTCGGCTCGCAGTCGGGACAAGGGGTCGGCTTGCATTTCGCGACTAGAGAAACTGAAGGTCAGCACCACCGGGTGCCATGTCAACCTAGAAAATGGTCAGCAGCAGTTCACTTTTTCGCGACAGAATGCGACCGTACCGGAAGACTTCCGTGCAACCGCCAATCTTGATCTCTGCCGTCGCTTCGGTCACCACATGTTTCTCGCCCTTATACTTGTGTCCATCGACCGTTGTGCCCGCCTTCGTGTTCAAGTCTTCGATCGTTATCGTCGACCGACTAGACAGATTTTGCTGCGAATAAGATCAGCAGAGTTGCCTTACGTATACCCAACTAGAACGTACGCTGTCGCCTTCGGGAACCTTGTCGACTTGTATCGTCATGTGCTTGCGCGAGATGGTCTTGTGGGCGATCGTGAGGGTTCCGGCTGCAGTTGTCAGCAACGTGAGTCATTCGGGAGTCAGTTGAATCGCATACGTTCGACATTCGCGGATGTTCGGCCAAAGAGATACAGTTTTCCGGGGCGCAGCCAGATGCGCCGGCCTGGGATCAATCGCGTTAGCTCGTGTCGCTGGCAGCTGTCAGCAGGAAGCTCAATACGAACCCTCGAGCGCGTTTCCCTCGTTCTCTAGCAGCCACATTGCAGAAGTAAGTATCTGATCCACAGGATAAAATGTTTGCAGATCGTTGCGCAATGGGAGGACGTTGTGGCGCTGGGAAAAGTCGTTGGGTGCTTGGCCTGCAAGGTGCGAAATGGTGGGGAGAAGTTGCGCGACTGGTTGGATCGCGTTCGGACGTGCTCCTGCGGGAAGGTGACGCCTAATCACGTGGCCACTTTCCAGGCAACAGCACCTTTGAACCTGGCTCGATTGCACCTGAAAGCTTCAATCAAGGTATTGTCTTTGACACATTTGGCGATTGTACTTTCTCAAGTTGAGTTGCCGGAAGGGTCGTGCTTGGTTGCCTGCAAACCATTGACGCCGAATCGACCGTTTCACTCAAGCCAACGGTGAGAGCCACACTTTAATTAAATCTAGTTTTATTCAGAATGAACAGGCCAGTGTTGCCATGTATTGCTATATCAACTCTTGGCCTCGATGGCCTTGACAGTGCTCGCTGCCTCTGCTCCATCACCAATGATGACACCTAGGATCCAGCAATTGACCAAGAAGAATCCCACCGAGGACGCAAAAAGGCCCGGGAAGAATGTACTGTATCCCAAAAACTCGAGTTGAAATCCCTGCTGCAGCCATGCAGCTTGAGAAACAACCCAGAGACCCAGCGCCGTCACTCCCAGCTTCGGGCTCTTCAGAAATGCCGAATTGGGGAGATAGAGCGGGAGGAAGACCATGTACCAGAGGAAGTACTGACTGGTGCAGACTTTGTTGAAGGTAACAAATGCAAAAGTCTGCGCCATCATTGATGTTGCAAGATCCTTCTTCGCCAGAACGAGAGGGATGAGTATGGTCGAGAGCATAATCTGAGGGAAGAATGCCACAGACTCAACCTTGATGGTCGCTGTGGATGGCAGTGCCGAATTGAGGTAGAGAAGGATGTTGTACGGACTGAAATTATGCCTGTGGTCTATCCTGGTGACGTGATGAAAGTAGGTATGCACCAAGAACGGGGTGCCGTAGCTGGAGGATCTTAGCATGGCAACCAAAGAGAGTTTCATTTAAGACTCACATTTCGAACATGGCAATGTTCAGACCCATGAATGTTGCAAGACTGACGACTGCCAGCTTTATCCTCTCCGGATTCAAGAAGTTGACGAGGACTTTAGGAAGAGACTTCGCACGCTCAGCCCCCTTTCGTCCCAGGGTCTCATCATCCATCCACCAGACGATTGCCGGTGCGTAGATGAACGGGTAGATCTTGAAATGCACCCCAAATCCGAGCAGAAGACCGGCCAATGCCGTCCGCTTTTCCAAAACAGCCCATAGAAGTGCCATCACCATCACACCGAGCAGACCCTCGGAGCTTCCTCTCGTGCTGATTGTCGCAACCATTGGGTTGAGAAGCCAAATGCTGGCAAACTTCAGAGCCCTTCCCTCATCGACGCCGCGACTCTTCAGAATACGCACAATCAGCCATCCTGCCAGGAGATCTGCCACAGCAAAGACCGCTTTTCCGAACGAAAACCATCCATCCCAGGCGGTCGGAACGAGCATCCACGCCAAGAGAGGCGTGTAGCGGTAAGTCTCGCGGTCGTAAGGTGAGCGCCCCTGCGCCGTGAAGCGGGCGGCATCGGTGAAAACCAAATAGTCGATGTCGGTGTACTTGACTGCCGAGTTGGCGTCCTGCCAGAGACCATAAAAGAGCATGCCGACGCGGAGAAGCGCGGCGGCGCCGAAGAGCGGCACGGGCCGGAAGAGCGCATTGAGGCCGGCCATGGTTGGGCGGTGTTTCAATCCTCCCAGTATTTCCGGTAAGATGTGACACTTTACACTGCCATTGGACACCGTGCAGTATTCGATCGCAACACCCGGGCTCCGATTTGTTGATGTCGCGTGATTATTGAAGCTTCAAGTCGTAGCTTCCCCTTCCCAACTGGGGAAATTTGAGTGACGTGGGCATAACTGGCAAGCCCCTGGCTGTCGCAGAGACCCGCACCCGCCGCTACACTGTGTATGGACCCACACCCGGGGGTTCTGCTCCAATCAACCCCACCATCAATTCTGACCCTGTGCATCAACCATCAAACTGCATCACCGACTTCATCGCGGAGGGCACTTTATCAACGGCACTCAACAATCGCTGCAACAAACTCACGATGTCTAAGCGCGATCGTGATGGAAACATGCGGTCCAATGAGGCCAAGCAGAAGCCCGCGGCACCCGTGACGCAGTTTACACCCATGTTCACCAAATTCCGCGACGAGCTGGACGAGCACCACGACCGGAGAGAGCGCATCATCAAGGCCTCGAGAGACGTCACTGCTCTGAGCAAGAAGATGTATTTTTTTCCTCGTCTGAACAGAATCAGAATGAATCGGCTAACACTTGGACAGAATTTTCACCTGCCAAAGGTACCCTCGCCCCTGCGCATCCAGCAGGTGCACCACTGTCCACTGACACAACACAGAGTCAACAAGCTCGGTGAACTCCCCAACTTCGCACAGAAGGAACTCAACACCCGCATGGAAGAGATCAAGAACCACCTCACCTCAATCGAGGGCGACATCCAGGGCATCAATCGCTACCGCTACGCCTACTCCCTTCGCTGTCTCGAGGAACTTGTCGAGGCCCTCTCCTTCACCCACTACCTGCGTACCCAGACCCTCATCAGCCCAGATGACACAGCAGCCGCGGTCCCGGCAAACGTGCCTCTGACCGAGAACGACTACATGTACGGCCTCTTCGACCTGTTCGGCGAGATGATGCGCTTCGCCACCGTCACGACAGCCCAAACGGGACAGCTCGCCGGCGTTGAGGGCCGCAACATCCTGCAGGATATTCACGAGCTGAGCAGCTGCTTCGAGATCCTGCCAGAGATTCCGACCAAGGACTTCAGAGGAAAGATGGAGGTTATGAGGCAGTCGGTGCGCAAGGTGGAGAAGCTGGGCTACGGTCTAGCGATTCGGGGCACAGAGAGGCCAAAGGGCTGGGTGCCTGATATGAAGGAGGACTTTGACCCCTCTTCTCTGGAGTGAGGCAGACATTCTTGTCTTTGGGCGCAGTACCAATAATTATCAGGCATACATGACGAAGTCAGAGGGTGTTCCATTTGCAGTTACCGGCCTGAAAGGCAGGAGGGCCGGCGTTCAAAATATTGAAGGAAAGACTGAGTTTTTATGGATCCATTCGTGCGAAGGGATACGGTCTGCTGGTTTCACGCTGAGATCGTAACTCATCCCAGCATCTCCGAACTGTTGTTCAATTAACCTCGCGGCCGCCCACCGACTCTACGCTACATCCGCAAGAACAACGACAGGATTGGAACTAGGTGAAGCCAGCAATATACAAGACCTTATCCCTGCTGGAGTTGTACCTTTCTCTCGGTTTCACACTTAAAGCGTGACGTATACCAAGTGTTGAGTGTACGCGTTATTGGGTTCAAAATGAATGTTCAAAGCCGTGGCTGTTCAATGCATTTTTGTGCTATGTGAGGAACTCCTAAGAACAGTCTGGTCCCATCATCCCACCCAATTGTTCCATTATCCAATCCAAGTATAGCTGTTTAGAAGCACGTGGGGTTGTACGGGGTGTTAGGGTCATAAGACACACAGCGGTTGTCGCCGCAGATGGGAATGTAGTTGCACGAGACCGGTGTGGGGCCACAGCAGTCGGTGTTCTCATTGCACTTGGCATAGAGTGCCTCGCATCGCTCTGTCATCAAGTCAACATCGAGGTAGGGCAGAGGGTGTGGGGCTTTCACTGACTTTCTACTGCGAAAAGAGTACCGTCATCATTGTTGGGGGAGGATGGCACCGCGGAGACAAGAGCGGCGAAGGCCAGAAGGGCGATCTTCAGAGTAGAAGGCATTTTTACAGCGTTGAAAATTGGTTGAATGAGCGTGTTGTGGATGTTGAAGAAGCGCGACAACATAATAGTGCGAAGGGGCTTTGGTACAGGAACATATTTATAGATTCGCTATGTGGTTGACTAGGATTAATGCAACTGGAGTGCTACGTGACTCTCAATCAACCGCCAAGTCCTATCATCAGGGGAAGTGGGTTGTTGCGCGAGCTAAGCCGCGGCCTCCTAGGCCGGCTCTGACTCCGACGTTGTCGTACTGTTCGGATCAACCCATAACGGGTGGTCTGAAAACTTCTTATATTAAAGCGGTTCATTCTATCTCCCCGAGCCCACTACTTAAGCTTCCGAGAATCATTCACACGGGACGACCGGGGACCCGTTCCTCAACCCGGCGCGGACTCTAAGTCCGTCAGCAATAAGTGAATGTTGCACTAGGTACTCTCTCCAAGTAGTTGAAGAATGTACAATGCCTTTGGAAGCCACTATTTCCCTGAAGGTGGTGCATCGCTCTTGCCGACTACTCGACAGTCAGGCCAGTGAGCCAACACTTGATTCTTGGTTAAATCGCAAGTCATAACAGGCTGTGAGTCAGAGGCACCGTGGCACAGCACCTAGCTCATGAATGCCGAAAGCCTCAGAATTGTGGATCCTGTCGAGTGTACAATCGGCCACTGATATAGAATGTGTACGCAGTAGGGCGTGGCCTGCCATTTGGCCCCCAAAGCCTCTTATTATTAGAAAGCATGACCTTATTATGATGGGCTTTCCCGGAAGAGTGGAAGGCTCCGGACAAAATGGGTCCTTCCTCTCAACAAACGCCGCTGACATTATTCCAGAGACCCTAGCCCATCATTCATATGAACTTCACGCGTCCGCGGAGAGCGAGGTTCAACCCGCGGAAACCTCAATTTCCTTTGTTTTGGTGAAAGGCAGACAAGCCCTGACTTCTACATGACTGAAGACCCTTTCATCCAACGACAAAGTTCATATTTGTTTATCGGCCTCTGTACACAAGAAAATCGAAACACGCAAGTTCCTTGCCTTCTGGGAGTGCTCGCGAACGCCGCCTCTAAATTTAACCACGAACGTCACCAGTTGATCAGAAAGAGGATGGCGCAAGATCCTGCCGTGTCTGACGCACGCATGTTGTGGCGGCGCAGTAGAGAAAATCAATAGTTCGCTCCAATGCGGGACAGAGCCTGATCTGAAATGCAAGCAGAATGCTCCCAACAGATAGCTGATAACCCCCTTTGCCAGCCTGATCAAGCCCCCCGACCCCGCTTCCTTCCACGTCAGCTCTCCCTAGTATTTCAAATGGGCATTATCTGTCAAGGGAAATGGCCATGGCATTTCCCACGCAATCTCATGAACCTCATATGCGAAGATGGAAGTAATAGGCGGCGCCACCGCCGTGCTCCAGCTCGTGGTCGCTCTCTCAAAGACAGTTCAAGTTGCCAGCAGCGCGTATCATGACATCCGGCGCATCGATGATAGGATAGAGGACTTTGAGTCGCAGCTCGAGGCTACCAGGTTCCATCTTAATTTGCTAGAGAACTGCATCTCCAGCGGAACTTTTGGTGAGCATATCTGTCGGTACGCGGAGCTCGTCCCCGTGATCAAATCATGCGATCGCGCGTACACGCGGCTTTCCAACATCTTCGTCAAGATCCACCGCGATAGATCATGGGCGACCTCTGTGAGGACGTACGCACGTTTTCAACGATATGATGATCAAATTCATGCGCTCAGGGGGCAGATCGCAACTTGCATAGGGGCACTCCAACTTCCGGTTATAGTACATTCAGGGTATGTCGTTTGTCTATTCCAGGTTTCAGTCTAGACGGCCTTCGTCTCTAACCAGGCGGCTTGTGTTAGGTACAACGCAGCTGCGAGCAATAACCCGCTTACGACGGCGAAGATTTCCATGTTGGTTGAAGATCTCGCAAAACGAATGCAGGACTTAGAGACAGCAACAACAGAACATCAGCAGGAATTGATGGCCCAGGAGTTGTACATCCAGCAGGCCAAATTCAAAAAGACCGAATCCAGTGATGCCAATGATCGCAGCAACCCAGAGGCACTGGCGGATCAAAACAAAGGGTCACAAACTTCCTTCAGCGCCCGGCAAGCTTCTATGGCTACTTTGACATCTTCAGCAACTGCTTCCGAACGCCTGTCCCGCGTCAGCAGCACTCTGGTCGCACTCCAGCTAGACGAACCTCAACACACAGATGTGCCAGAGACAGCTTCGAGAAGTACAAGCTATTCAGACCTGCAAATTGACATGGAGATGCTCGAAGAAACCCGCTCGATGATAATGGCAACCCAAGGACTGTGCGGTAGCATCAAAGACGCAGCCACAACCCTCGACTCCAAATCCATGTTGTCCGGCCCATTAAGTCCTCTTTCCCGCAATACGACGGTCCGCACGAGACGAGGTCCTTACTCTGTTGCCCCCATAGAGGTAGACTTTGGCGAAATGCTGAGTGCCGGGCTGGCTTTCGGTCCATACATACACGGAGATAGGCACAGACAAATCTCAGACTGGGCAATCGACGTCAACGGCGACGATGCCAGATCTCTCTCTGACACCGCATCAACTCGAGCTGGAAGCATATCCACTGCGCCAATCTCAGAAGCTACTTCGTTAACATCGAGAGCGACGGGCGTTAGCAGCCAAAGCCTCGCCGACGAACTCAACCAGCGACGGATCAAGCACGCCGAGCAGATGATTGCGAGCAATCAATTCTCCAAGGCTATTCCACATCTTGTTAGAGTGCTTGATGGCCAGCCTGGGTCTGAAAAGGACCCTCGTCTGATCCGCATGCTTGCAAAAGCTCTCGGTGAAACGGATCCCAACAGTAAAGACGCCGAGATTCTATGCAAAAGGTATCCCAGTCTTGCGCTCCATCTCGATGCTCAACGTCTAGTCCAGGCCGAAATACTACTCGCTGAGCCGAACCTTGGCGGGGTGGTTCGCTTACTTCAATCTTATGGGGTGACTCAAGCCGAGGGTTTTGCGTATGACGATGTCAACATCAACATCCGGCTGATCTTGTCCACTGCGTTGGTACAGCTTAGCCAAGCGGACGAAGCTCTCCTCATCTTAAATCGCCTTTCACAGAGGGAGGAGCTCGACCCAGCACAAACGAGCGACGTCCATCGTTTGCTCGCTGAGACGTACGCCCTCAAGTCGGACCTAGACCATGCAAAGTCTCACTGCATGCAAGCCATCGAGCTGAACATGGAGGTCCGCGGCCGTGATGACGAGAGAACCCTCGCTTGTTTGTCGCTTATGGTTGACGTCTGTCGCAAGACAATGGACCCGGATGAAGACATCTGGAAAGACATGTTGCCAGAGGGGCCCGAGAGAACCGTCATGGCCTCAGTGTCCATTGGCGAAATCTCGGTGAGCTCTTCTAACCCGGCCCAGAGACTTCACGCGTTATACCGGGACATGGTTGAGATGGCCATCACTGACGTGGGAGCGGCGGCTGACCTAGGTACCGACTTTCTGCGAAAGAACTATTACGTCGATGCGCTTTCCGCAAAATGGTACCCGAATCAGCCCAAAAAGGCTGGTCAAGTTTGCTTTGACTGTATTCGACGGAACATCATTGAGATGGTCAGCATGAAAGCCTTGCCCCTGACACCTCAGACCCCGGATATGCTTTGCACATTCCACCAAAAACCGGCTGACACCTGGACCGAGTTCAGAGAGTCAAGTGGCTCTTACTTGCCTTGCTATTCATTGTTATCCTTCTTCTCTATAGCAGATCCTGTACCAGACCAATGGCTAGGGAGGGACGGGGCTGCCGGTTGCGTGAAAGAGATTGAATTCCTGCTCACGCTCGGAAACCCCCACGACAGAATGCTCGGCGCTCTAATCAACACGCCTGAGCAGTTCTTCGTGCCGCAGAAGAATGCGGACCAATCTGATCAGGCCAGGCGTATTGTGCGAACCCCATTGTGGATGGCTGCAACCTTTGGTCAGAAGGCGGTCGTGGAGTTTCTTCTATCTCTTGATATCACGGATCGGAATCAGCTGTCGTGTGACGGGTTGCTTGCGTTCCCGCCGTGCAATCCTCAAGGCCGGGAGATCGTCTCCAAGATCAACACTTCCGTGACCACTCTTATTAACAAAGCCTCACAAAAACAAGCTCTACAACTGTTGAGGGCGGCGCACGGCATGTGGAGGTACAGCAGATTGCCAGTATACGAAGCCCTTCTTGAAAAAGGGGGGCCTGGAGCAGCTGACCAGCCCATGCAACTTCCAAACAACAAACGGTCGAGCACTTCGCTTTTTGGTGTTTTCCGGGGATCTAAGTCACATGATTCGGATGAACTGTTACTGCCACCAGTGTGCGGTGTCGTAAGAACCTGGGTTGACGGGTCCGTCTCAAGATTCGAGCCACTAGCAGTACTCCAGGTTCTCAAGAAGCATGGAGCAGGCTTCAGAGCTACAGACGAAAAGGGGCGTACGGCATTTGACTTTGCACTCCGAGAGGCCAAGAAGTGTTTGAAAGAAAGTGTCGTCTCAGGGTTGAAATATCTTGATGATAACCCACCGCTTTTGAAGGCGTCTGGCATGAGCTCGGTGGCACTGAGTCATATCAAAGTGGTGCAATATCTTCGTTCTGCTTTATAGATCGTTTTACAGTCGTTTTAGAGTAAGCTTACTGGGTGAATTTGAAGTTGCTGGTGCATACCTCATGCACTTGTTTTCTCATTTGTGTGTAGATGTAAATACATATATGCAGATTTGATAATTGGTTACGTTTCCTTACCTTATTTAAATACCGGGGCTTTGCACGTCCTCTGGTATCAAATTCTTGTGAAGACCTACCGATCACCTGGGTGATCACCCAAAGAGTAGATCCTTCCTCTACACCAGATCCAGCCGATTCGTTCGCCATTCCCTTGATTGTACAATATCCCCTAACTCAGTCTTTGGCTGGATGTATGGCTTGATCGCAGTTCGAGCTTTAGTCTTCTGCTCGAAAGCATACGCTATGCTTATCAACTTCTCCTCACTGAACGCTGCTCCAGCAAAACCGATACCAAAAGGCAAGTTCGGTGCCAAGACATCAAGATTGCCGAAGTCATCTTTCACAATCGGTGTGTCATCTGGGTGCCGGCCGAAAGGAACAGCTATGACGGGCGTGCCCAGAAGCGCGGCGGGACCAAGGATATATCTCGTTGGAAGTACCAGAGCGTCCAGCGAGTGGTTCTTCAAAGCCCCTGCGTACCCCAGTGGACCAGCAAGATACTGTCTCTCGGTGTAAAGCTCCCAGAAGAGGGGATCGGTGTTGCGAACGCCTCTGACAAGTTCTATATCCCAGACTTCAGTATTGTGTTCCGGATAGCCTTCACGTGGATCGTCTTGCGTCCAGTTTCGAAGTTCGGCGACCGTGGTGATGTTGTAAGGGTTGTATGTGAGCTTCGCAAAGTATTCCTCGAGGTTTACGAGGAAGTCTGCGCCCATAACCTGGCTGGACAGATTGAGCAGACGTGTAACATGGTCACCCACGGGAAGCCATACGTCGTCAACAATTTCAGCTCCGGCAGATCTCAGAATGTCTACTGCCGAGTTGAAGACTGAGATGGAGTAGTTGGTGTTTGGTAAAGGGGTGTCTTTGAACAGGTGCCTCGGAATACCAATTCGTTTCCCCTGGAGACCTGAGTCGACACAAGCCGCAGCATAGTCTGGCGTCTCTGTGAACGGTATGGCGGAAGTGTAGTTGTCTCGAGGATCTGGCCCTGTGATAGCTGCTAGTAAATGCGCAGCATCTTTCACTGTACGAGCCATCGGACCGACTACGTCCTGGTGCTCAGTAATGGGTATGACGAGGTGCCGTGAGACGAGACCGAGGGTGGGTTTGATCCCCACAAGATTGGAGACATCGCAGGGCATAGTAATCGATCCCAGAGTCTCCGTTCCAAGTGAAGCCCACGCGAGACCGATTGAAGATGCGATACCACTTCCTGAGGAGGACTCCAGCGGGTCTTGGTTTGGATGGTACGCCCCGATCGGCTGGCCCCCTCGAGCAGACCATCCAGCGCTGGAGTTAGTACCCCGGCAAGTCGCCCATTGAGCCATGGTGGCCTTGCCAAGAATGACCGCACCGGCTCTGCGGAGCTTGTCCGCTACGGTGCTGTCTTCGCCGACTCTTGCGCCGACGAGCGCGAAAGAGCCAGCAGTGTTATTCATCTTGTCGTTGGTGGCAATGTTGTCCTTCAGCAGCACTGGGAGGCCGTGCAGAGGTCCAAGAAGAGGTCCGCCTTGCGCCCGAGCTTGGTCTAGAGAAGCAGCGATGGAGACTGCATCAGGGTTGATTTCGGCGACGGCATGGAGGTCATCGTTCACCTCATCAATGCGAGCAACGTAGGCATTCACCGAGTCAACGCTAGTGAAGAGGCCGCTGTCGAGCCCTTGGCGTAGATCATCTAGAGTTACGTCTAGAAGGGGCGGGAAATTGTAAGTTGAAGGATCGCGGCAGAATGAAGCTGCATACACCGAACACAAAAGGCGGGAGACGGCCATGGCAAACCAAGATGATGCCATGCTGTTGGCGTTTTGAGTGCAACTGATGTGAGATTTGGTCTCACGAACCACTAACGCACTCCAATGTCAGAAAACGCTTCGTGGCGCAGGTGTAGCCGCGATATCAATTGACGCGTTCTTCTGGGCTGATACCAGCCTCAAATAGGTTCGGAGGATTACAACCCCGGTCAGCAATCTCGTGTTATCCAGCAAGGGGATTCGTGCGATTAGTGGGGTGTTTGTCTTACTTGCATCTTGATGTAGCTGCCTCATCTAGCTAGAGCGTTGAACAGCTGAATCTTGATAAGCTGCCGGAGATCAAAATACAACCCTGAGAGCCGTCGATGGGCCCTCGGTATGCATGTTCGGAGGAAATCACGGATTCAGTGGGGCTGTTCTCGGACCGGCCCCGGATTCACGGTAACAGCCGATACACTCTGATCGGCAGCAACCCGGCTTGCCCGGCACTCACCGCTTTTCACCGGATGATATAAGGACTGCTGCAATCGATCATGGTTTTATGAGCACCCTTTGCACAAGCGATATGCGCCCCGCTGACCAAGAAGAGTCAGCGGCCAGCTCCACAGTGTATTCGCTGGCAATGGCTGAGCGGCTGGATGCGCTCGCTTACGCCCATCCTGGGGTGGTAAGCAAGCCCAGCAGCGCGGTCTTGAAAACCTCGTGTCGTCTTCCATTTAAAACATCATCAGATCCAATTTCAAATGCGTTTTGCAGAGCAAGGTTCCGCCACTTTGCGGACTGGATCGAGGCGTGGTACAAACAAAACGCCTGTTCTGCCTGAGCGCCACCCCTGAAGCGTGGGGAAGTCCGGCATTACGATACTAGCGTCCGCCGAAGGTTCGCAACCGGCCAAGATGTTGAACCAAATCTACAACTTCTTCCTGAAAGAAGACGTCGAAACAGAGATCAAACGAACGCTCGTTCAACTGAACCTGACTCCACTCATGGCGGAAAACACTCCCGCGGGGCCCACCGGTCTCCCTCCTCGCAAGGGTATGCTTCTAGACCTCGTCTCCGATCTAGCTCAATCGGTCTGACAGCCTGCAGTTGACACATTCACCGGAGATGTGATCCATCACGACACGTACCCAGAGATCAACCCACTCACTTCATCAGACTGCTCCGGGAAAGCGGTTCTCATCACGGGTGCCAGCAAGGGACTGGGCAGGGCCATTGCGATCGGCTACGCCGAAGCCGGCGCATCTCATATTGCGGTAGCTGCTCGATCAGACGTCTCTTCTACTGTCGCTGCCGTCCGTGAAGCGGCAAAGAACGCTGGGCGAGATGAGCCCACAGTGTTTGCCCTCGAGATGGACGTCAGTGACATGGCCAGCGTAAGAGCGGCAGCGGAGAGGCTAACGACCGAATGGAGGCGGCTGGACATCTTGGTTAACAACGCCGGTTACATGGCCCCATTCAACTTGCTGCTGGACACGGATGATGATGAGTACATGAAGGCCTGGGATGTGAACTACTGGGGCACATACAGAGCCACCAAAGCGTTCTTGCCCTTGATGCTCAAGGGCGGCGATAAGACGATTGTCAATATGTCTTCAGTTGCGGCGCACTTCATGGGGGCCGGTGGTGGTGCATACCACGTATCAAAGTTCGCCCTCATCCGCTTTACCGAATTTGTTCAGGATGAATATGGTGATCAGGTACGTCTCACGCAGCCCGAGTCTGTGTTATACCTTACGGTCGAAACTGACGATGCAACTGGTAGGGGGTTCTCGCATTCTCCATCCACCCTGGTGGTATTCCGACTGACTTATCGTCAAACCTACCCGAAAAACTACAGTGTAAAAAGTTCGATTCTCTATTCTTAACAAAAAATGCTGACGTCCGAGTAGTCAGGATGACCGATACCCCAGAGCTAGCTGCCCATTCCATTCCCTATCTTACCAGTAAGAAGAGGGAGTGGCTTGGTGGAAGATGGCTCAGCTGCATGTGGGATATGCCAAAGCTGATGACTATGGAGAAAGAGATTGTGGAGAATAATCTGTTGAAGTTCAAGTGCATGGGCCTGTAAAAGAAGGCTCAGTCAAGTTGGATGTTGGTATTTGAGGGGCGCATGAAGTAACAAGAAGCTTTTGACGATGTCCAAATTTAAATGAAATGACACCAGTCCTCCATGGAATTGGATTATTGATCCTACGACAGGCGTGGTTCTTAGCACACTTGACTGCAGTTTGCATCGTGCAATCGAACTGAAATAAAAGAATCTTCCCGCAGTGCTGGTGACGTTAAGCCTACTCAAAAGACCCGATATTAGTTGGGCATTTCAGCATTGTCTCGCTTGGCTGCATGTCATACTAGACAGCCGAGCCGCAGTGCCGTCTGGGCCTTGGCAAGGCATTCAAAAACAACATCAGGCTGCGTGCGGCTTTTCCCGCATCAGCCGCTCACGAGCATCCTTAGCAAACATTGCAAAGATTTGGAGTCCCGAGTATTCAAAGCTTTTCGTCCCTCATATTCGTGTACAATCGGCATGTTCCGATCAAAAGGCCGGACTCACGATGTGCAGGGCTCTAGGCGTGAGCGAGGGATCTTCACCCTACCAGCCGGCCCACGGTGGCAGCGAGATGCACGATTGCCCGGTATCTTCCCGCCTTCGACTGCTTCATATCCACCCGGAACCAAGACTAATGTCATGACCTTCAAAGGGAATGAAACTACCAGCGAATCCCAGCATGCGGCAGGACCTACCGGACAGCCAGGGCAAGAACCACCTGCCACAGACGAGCGATTTTGGGTTCGGTGTCTAAGAATGGTCTTTGTGACTTTCATTTACAAGCCGATCAAATCGTTGTTATGGATCATGAAACCTCTCGTGGTTTATGTTCTTGAGCTGCTCGAAAGTTTCAGCTCGGTTGCAGCGGCACCGCTTGCCATTTTCATGATGGCTTGGGTCTTCATCGGGCTTCCCTGGTTGATAAGCACCGGCGTGCTTTAACATGTTACGGGCATTTTGAGTCATTACGAGGTTTATAGAATATCTCAAGCTGTCAAGACGTCTTAGTTCTTTGGCTTCGGCCAGTCCTACGTTGATATTTGCTAATCAATCATCGAACCCGCGTACAATCGAAGAAATCAAAATTTGAGACTGGGCCTCTAAGCCCCCTATTAATGACATGCGAATTTTAAAAACAGTGTGATTTTATTTTGGAGTTCGAATTGAAGAGATTCCTTGCCAATTCAGCCTGCATATTACAAACCTGCAACATCACAATGGCTGCAAAGCCAACAGGCTTGAAGCCAGTCTGGTGTTTTTCCTGGGAATGTCCCAAAATGAGACACGAAAGGTTCAATCCGGACTGTAGTGATTAGCACCTCGAGAATCACCAGCCTTTTAGCTGAATCATGATCTGGACACGCTAATTACATCACCGCAGCACACTCTCGTGGCCTGCATGTCTCGCTAAGTGAGACACCTGAGTATGCATTCAATGGTGTGAGATTGATTCGGTGTACCGCCCAATCGCCAACAGACACATATCATTACTGCCTAAGCTTGGCAGTATGAGGCTGTATACTTTAGGAGACTATAAATGAAACTTGTCTACACGCGCCACGAATACTTGGAAGGGAGGATCAAGCTACCTACGTTATACCCCATTTCAACCTTTCCGCTTTTTCTGTCGACAGTTTTCTGCAAATGAAAACCAACATGTCTCTCCACCTCAGGCACACCTGCAAGATATGCCTGAACTTTTACATAGACGATTCATGTCCGTTGCCAGAGAAGATGAATTCATTTTCTAATGGCCCAGGGACAAAATACCGCATGAATATTTGCCTCGAAGACTTCAAACACGGAGCTCATATCGCTTGTCCTTTGGCTACCTTTCTTGTTGACTTGATTTTCCAACAAAACGCTGGTCTTCTGAAAGATGAAGACTCGAAAACTCTCATGCTATGGGTCGAACCATATGCATTGGATTTCCAGAAATCAGCGATTCCTTGTGCCCTTGTCAGCTTCGGATTTTGGGACTCAAATACTCACTGTTCTGAACCATCCTCTGGTTTGGACGGCTGGGAACTGCGTATAGATTTATTCATTCCACATGGTAATTCACCCCATCTTTAGAGTAATCTATAACCAGGGTATAAATACTGACGAACTGGATAGAACAAAAACAAGAATTGACGGCCGCGCAAATAGACGAGTTAAGCGTATGCAAAGTCGAACCCCCTCTAACGAAGCGCGTTGATGTAACTGCGCAAATGGAATTGCGGCAGATGCTCAATTATTGTCAGAAGTATCATGAGAAATGCCGCGCCAATAGGAAATCATTTTCTCCAAAAAGACTAATACACATTGAGGAAAGAGATGGGAAGTTCAGTCTGAGAGTGCGCCTCCGAACCGGCTTGGACATGGCAGAGCCGTACGCGGCACTAAGCTATTGTTGGGGCGGAGACCAACCTGGCAAAACAACAAAAAGTCGCCTCGAGGCCTACAGTTGGACAGTTCCCTGGGAGAACATCGGCAAAACCATTCAAGATGCAGTTGAAGTTACCAACAACCTTGGCCTCAGCTACTTATGGGTAGACGCTTTCTGCATAGTCCAGGATGACCAGAATGATATCGACGAGGAGATTCCCCAGATGCCAGACATATGCAACCAGGCAGTTGTTACAATCGTGGCCAGCCGCGCTCAAGCTTGCGCCGACGGATTCTTACAATACCCCCCACTGGAGAACATTGCAGACCTCATCGTTCCGCTCAAATTGAGGCTTTCCAGGTTTTCAGGCGATCTGGAAGCAACTGCGTTTTCTTTGAAACACGAGTACTATTGTTCACCACCAACAGAGACCCGGGGATGGTGTTTTCAGGAAAAATGGCTTTCAGTAAGACTGCTGGAGTTTGAGTACGAGCGAGTACATTGGTCTTGCGCGTCCACGGAGCAATATCTTGGTGAAGCGCAACCCGCAGAGAGGCTTGACAGGTTTCAAGAAAACTACAGACGATTCATGATCAGTGCCCAAGGGAATGGTTCCAAAGTGACCGGCCTTTCTGAAACATACACGTCTACACCTGCCATGCATCGTCTATGGAGAAGGAAAATTGGAAAATTCACCCATGGTAGGCTCACTAAGCCCGAGGACCGAGCTATTGCGATATCCGGTCTATCTCAGATGTTCAGTCGCAAGCTACAAGACGCCTACTATGCTGGACTTTGGGGGCAGTCGCTCCCTCTGGATCTTCTGTGGCAAACACGTGCATGGAAGGCCGAGCCCACTCTCAGGCTTCAAAACTATCAAGGGCCCTCATGGTCTTGGTTTTCGGGAAACCAACCTATATCGTTTGCGTTCCATCAACACAATGATTTCGAATGCCAGATCGACGTGTTGAATGTTGAAGTAAGTTTGGATTCTAAACTGAACTCTTTCGGCGGTGTTCGGGAGGGCCGCATTACTATGAAGGGACACCTACGACGTGCGAGAGTCCTAAATCCAAATATTTCTCGTCAGTCTCGTGCGGAATACGACCGCATTCGCCACAAAGCTTCGTCGATAATGAAGTCGGAGGAGGCGGTTCCACGTGACGCCTTTGGCGAATACGAAAAAGAGGATTACGTCCTAGTGGACCCTGAATGCCTCTTCATGGGGTATGAAGCCGACGCTGAGGAGAATGGGGCAGCAACAACGCGAAGAGAACCAGCTGTCGAGATCGGAATGAACGATACAACTTCTATCACAGAGACCTTGCATGGTGGATTTGCTGGGGAACACAGCACGCTTGACGCGGATTCATCCGACTCATCAGATTGGTCCATTCCATTGGGAACGTTGAGGGGAGACCTCTCGACGCCCTCCCTACCGTTTTCTCAAGACTACGACCTCGACCGTTTCGGTACTCTTGTATCAGGAAGAATGCAACCAGACGCACTAGAGACGGAATTCATCTCCGGCAGTTCTTCAGAAAAAGACTACATCGATGTAGAGCTGTTAGAATTCGGCAAATGTGAAAGTAAATACGAAAGGTCTGGCCCAATCGGGCTTGTCTTGAGAGAAGTTCTCGCAAATTCCCCAGAGACCCTCAGCCCACGGAAATTTTCTCGATTAGGCACATTCAGATTTGAAGAAACTTACGCGGCCTTGCGTCCACCGGCGCTTGACGCGACTCGATGGCGGACGATTGTACGCAGTCAGTTAGATTGGTTTTCAGGCTGCGACGAGGAGGTCATTGAACTTGTTTGAGATGGCCCCAAAACTATGAGTCTAGCTATTATATCCTGAATAAGAATTGATGTGTTTCATTTTCTTGGGCAAGGTTTTCTTCTCTTATCATAATTAAAACTCAAACCATCTACCTTTCTGGCGTCTTTATAGCTATCTGAAGCGTTGGGTGGCCTGGCCGTACGTGGGCGACTTGGTGACAAGAGAGAGGATTGAATGAGTCCCGATTGAAGCCTTCTGAGTGAACCACCTCTGTCATTTCCACGGGTGTTGAGTCCTACGTCGAGTGCGTCCGTGACAAGAAATGTGCTTGAGCATTGATTGGATCACGACTTCAAGCTTTTGTTCTACAGGAATAGCAACCTGACAATGGGAAAATGCAGCCTCACACAGCCTGATCATTTGTGTTTCAGTCGCAACGATCCTCTTGCCGTTCTGGCAGAATGTCCCACTGCATCTTTCGATCAGAGGCTCTCACTCACACACATGTATGCTAGGGCTGTAGAGGTATGCGCTGTGAGTGGTTCAATCAGGGGCAGACGGGCATGTTTACAGGGGGGCAACAACCGAAGCGAGTCTTGGCGGCTGCCTTGCACACCCCTACATTTTGCTGGTTACATTCAACGACAAGCTCGCTGTTTGATTCGACGCCTGCTTGCTTCTCAAAGGATCCTTCCGCCGCTTATGCAGATCATCGTTGGTGTGGTGGAGCACGAAGTCAGCAGAACACAAGCTAAAACCTCAATGCCTCCCCGCCAAGTCGAGAGGCTGGAGTTTCCCAATGTCAGCACCGACTTGGGCATAGTGCTGCGAGTTGAAAGGCATTCGACATGGCGTTCAACCTTCGTCCGAGTTCGAGGGACCCCTCACCGCAATCTCAGATGAGAGACCAGCAGTACAGCGTCTCGCCGGTCTCACCGAATCTCTCCCGGCGCACATCGGAGACACGGCTGGGGCCAACTGATGCGGAGAGGCCGTCATCGGAAAGCCGAGTCAAGCGCGCCGGCGGCGCTGAGGCCCAAGTTGCTGAAGTCAACGACCCGCTAGTATCTGTTGATGGGCAGAATCAGACAAGATCGTACAAGCCCGTTGCCACAGATGACCAGGCCCACGGCAAGATCTCAGGTCGCAAAAACTACAGTGCCACGGCACCCACCATCTTCGCCGACTTCGCTGTAGTTATCTTGCCGTTAGCTGTCATCGTCTTCATTGTACTAGTATGGCGTCTCGACGGCTCACAAGTTGGAGACGATCTCTCAGCCTGGGAGAACGCAATCACCGTGGTATGTAGAGCCACCGTCATAATTACCACAGAAGAGTCGACTATGGGTATGATGATGCTGACAATTTGAACATAGCTTGCCACGGCATTCCCTATCCTCTTTGCGTCGGTTATTGGCCGTCTGATGTCGGAGGCTGCTCGCTGGAAGCTTGAGAAGGGAGGAACCATGGGCTTCCTCGAGCAGCTCATGGGCAGCAGGACCGTTGGCTCAACTGTGATCACCCTTTTCCAACTCCGAACGTTGAATTTCGTTGCTATTGGACTGTTCCTCGTCTGGGCGTGTTCACCCCTGGGAGCACAAGCCTTCCTGCGTATGATGGACACGAGTCTCGTACCTGATCCCAGCCCCGTCGACATAGCCTATTTCGACACGCAAGCGCCTCTCGCAGATGGCGTATCGTCGGGACAGGGCAGCAGCGTCGTGGACAGTCTGAACAGACCGAAGCTTGCGAGTCTGGCAACACTGTACACAATCCTCGTCGGAACACCGAAGGCGAATAAAATCGACGCCATGGACCTGTGGGGCAACGTGAGAATCCCTTACTTGAGTGAGGATGCAGATAGTACGTGGAGGAGCATCTCGAGCAACCCCGAAGAGGTCGAATACTCGTCGCTGGCCGGTGTTCCAGTTCACTATGCTGGAACGGGAAACGCAACCTTTTCTCTGGAGTCGAGTTACATCCGCCTCGTATGCCCAAACGCTACCAAGTTCCCCGCTTCGGATATCGCCAAGGGCACTGCGAACAGGACAGCCAAGGCCAACGTGACGACCGATTACATGACGGAGGAATACCCTAATGGAACATGGCGAGGATACGACTACCAACGAGGGTCCGGAGGCTACATCTCAACTCAATGGGGAATTGCCATTGACAGGTTCGTCGACCTGTACTGGATAACCCATGGAAAGGAGGGACAGGGATGGGACTGGATGCCAGCATATGCAGACAACGGAAGCCTGGCCATGTTTTCCAACGAGACCGGAATCACCGCAGGCCCGACGAAATTTCTACTTCGAATGGCTCTGGCTCAACCTCAAATCACCAAGAAGAACCGCGACAACCTGGAGATCAGTTGCGACATCACCCAGAAGTACGTCGAGTCACGCGTCAGTTGCTCGTACCTCGCGGGCCAGCGATCTTGCCGAGTCATCGAGCAGCGATTGTCACAGAAGACCCATGCGCCGGAGCAAATCACCCAACTATCTTTCCCTCGATCTTTCGACTTCTTCGCCGGCGAGATGCCGGTCGCCACAGGCCGGGATATGACCGGCTTCATCGATCCGACTTTGTACTATCTCAAAGACCCGACCTACGAAAACATTTCTTCTGGCACGGCAGTCTTGATGGATGAGCTCGACACCTCGAAAGTCGGCGCACGCTTTGGACAGCTGCTCAACACGTATCTCACCCTTAGCCAAGTTTCCAGCACGATTGCAAACACCAGCACCGAAGCGGATGCCGTTTTTCAGCCCAACATCACCTTCATAGGGGAGTCGTCGACCCTGCTGGAGACATACGTCATCTCAAAGCTGTGGATATCACTTTGCTTGCTGTCTGCCGTCGTTCTTCTGGCGGGAGGCATTCTCAGCGTCGTGTTCATCCACTTGACCCACGGCCCTGAGATTCTCGGCTACGTCTCTACGACGATCCGGAACTCGAAGTACATTGATCTGCCGTCAAGTACAACTTGGCTGGATGGTTCGGAACTGACCAATGAGCTGAAGAAGTTGAGGATACGGTACGGGTTCATTCGCGACGAGTCGAGGCAGCCGATTATGGCCGTCGGCCACGAAGAGGAAACTGCTTGGATCAAAGATGTTCTAGCTAGGAAGTAGATGATGGAGAAATGATATGATTAGGGCAACTACGATGAACTTGGATTTCTTAAGTGAAAGTGACTCTCGATGCAAAAGCTGCATGGCTCCTCCTGCGTTTGGTCTTTGAGACTCCATGTGGGAAGGCAGTCCCGGCTTCACAAGTCGAAATCGGGGAAAGAACTATTGATGCCTCGCAGGACGGCACCTCTCTTGAGCGCGTGACTATTACTTGTCCATTTTCAACGTCATTCTTCATCCCTCCCAAACGTCAACAAGTCTTCAACGAACATCAGCAAGTCTTCGCCAAAGCATCAACAACTCTAACCAACGCTGCGTCACCACATTATTTCCCCTGACATTCTCCATATCGCATCAGCATCATCTCGTTTTATAACACAAGAACGTCATAAAATGTCTCCTGGCGCCTCCAGCTCCGAACGGGATGGCACGAATGGGCCGCCTGATTCTTCTCAGTCACATCAGCTTACCTCGTCCTCCGACTTGGAGGGTTCGCCAGCTCCAGTCGATGCTCAACCATCAACTTCCCGGCAGACGGGGGCGACTGGACCTCCAGCTGCACCACAATCACCTCGAAGGCCATACGCTGCATTCCTCAGGAATCGGCCTGCTTCGTCTTCTCCTCAACCAAGATCAACTCCCGAACTACCTAACAGTAGACTTCCTGGCTCGCCTAGACCAGCTCCATTCGATGCTCAACAATCCACTTCCCAGCAAACGGGCGCGAGTGAGCCTCTCGCTGCACCACGGCCCGTTCAATTGTCATACGCTGCGGTCCTTAGGTACCAGCCTGCTTCGTCTTCTCCTCCACCAAGATCAAGTTCCGAGCTACCGAACAGCAGACTTCCTGGTTCGCCTGTAGCAGTTCTTCGGTCGTCGCCACCGATAGCTCAGGGTCGAACATCTCGGCTTGCACCTATGATGAGGTCATCTCCACTTCTGAACGGCACGACCAGATCTCCCAGCTTGAGCAATCAATCTCCTGTGCTTCTTCCTCTTCAGAGATCAACTCCCGATCCAGCGGGCCTTAGACCTCCTGGCTCTCCCCGGCCAGCACGTCTGACGTCTCCGTCGAGCTTCAGCAGTGATGCAGGCCAGTTTCCCCCTCTCCAAACGTCAATTATCGGACAGACGGGCGAGAGTAGGCCTTCGGAGGCGCCCCAGCTAGCATGCCGTGGCTCTTCTTCCGAGCTACCGACCTTGGCTGGTGCTCACACATCGACGCGTGCCACCACAAATGACAACGTACCGATCCCCTCCGCCCAAAATAATGCAGCACAGGAGATACCTGCGCCGAACCCGCCGGGGACTTCACAGGACGCTATGGACTGGACTCCTGACGTTGACGTTACGGTCGACGGCACCAGCCGCTCGGGAACAGGAGATATACAACAGCCGACCCAAACACAGCAACGCCAGGACGGTTCACAGATGTGTTCTACGCCTCCACCACCTCATTCTGTTTCAAGATCTCGTTCTCCGCGCGCGAGAAATCAAACAGGTTTCCGAAGCCGCGAGGATAGTGCACAGTATGTGTCACTTCCAAGCTTGCGGCCATTGATTGACTAACATCACCTAGGAACAGCGGTGCTCTCCGAGGGGGCCCTTCCGTTCAACCAACTCAGGGTAATATCCCGCCACGCAATATTCCTGGGGCTACTTCAGCAGTGCCTACAGTTCAGGCACATGCCTCCTCGAGTAATGATTTTACAGTACCGTCAGATCTGCCTCAACCGAGGCCAGAGACCATCTGGAGAGACGAACTTGACGGTGAGTCCATGGAGATAGACCGTTCGCCACATCCCTCAAATGACGGGAGTTCAGCTAGCCCCTCGGTGCCGGAGCGAACTCATGGATCTTCATCTGAGAATATACTCAACGATGACTCAGTCACCCCTCAGTCTAGTGCCGACGATGACCTCGCCGATCCTAGCTTCCATGCAAGCTCTGCATTTGAAGAACTCACGCAAAACACTCCATTGGAGCACGACACACGACCGGAAGACCCCTCCAGAGATAGCTGGCCATCTTGGCCGCAGAGTAGACAAAGTATGCCCCTCCCCCATCCCAGCTCTATCCTATTGTCTGAGGGACAACAAACCCTTTCTCTGCCTCACGAGCCACCGCAGACAGTTTCTTCGATAGCCCAGCCTCAAACGGACACGGGGCTTGAGGAAGATCTCGGGGATTTTAACGTTGAGCCCGAGTCATCCAGTTCCGAGTCGCCTTAGATGCAGTCGCTTGGTCTAGTTTAAATAAGGAATGGATTGTTTAGAGCGCGGATTATTACGAATGATGGAGCGGTTGACCATTAGCCCAGCGTCACATGCAGAAATAGATGTTTACTTGCGACGAGACTGCTTAATGCCTACTGCCGTGATCTGAGAACCGCTATCATCTGCCAGAAAGCTATTTGATCCTAAGGACAAGCACCGGAATGCCTCTTGACATTTTAATCGCAGCCATCAGAACATACTGATCACCTGGGAGTTTCTTTGCGCACCGGTCCGACCACGGACCCGTGCCGACCAACTGGGAAACCGACGACCATCTCCGAGCCTCATCGTCGGTCTGAGGGCCATTTTGAGAAATAGCGTCGTCGAGTCCTGTAGAATGGGAGCTAATCATCGCCCAAATCGAAGCTTGAGCGTCGTCATTTGTGTTGATGAAGCAGCCCAGGCGGTCTTCCCCCGCAATTTCCTTGACGGCAACGGTGGCCTTGCTGCTGTAAAGATGAGGGGAATCAAAATGCGTGACCGAACATTGGAGAACGACTTGGCGCGCATGCGACTTGGGGAGTTTGAAAACGTCGAACCCATTATTCTCTGCCTCCAGTCCTGGGAACGTGCCGGGCGGGATTGTTGACCTGCAAATTCCAATCCGGAGCGGATCGTTGTCCTCCAGCGAGACGGTGAACATGTCCAATCCCCTGAAATCCTCTTCGACTTGTTGGTCCGATATCTTCAGGTACATCGGAAGCGGGTCGTCAAAGCGGATTCCGGCCTGTGGGATGTAGTAGATGTAGGGCGAGCTCAGTCTGGACACTGACAAATTAGTGTTGGGTTGGAAGTTCTGCATCTCAATGCAGAGAAATCCATTCAGCGATCCTCGGGCGCCATCGAGGCTTTCCACAATCATGCACTTTGGCCACAATAAGCACCTACGTCCTCCATTGACCCGGGTACTCGGCAGCTGGACATGTAAACCGCGGCTAGTGATGGTTGGGGGCGTATTTAGGAGCACATCGGGGTGCCAGCTGATGTCCGCCGACCAAGGCTGTAACGTGATCACGTATTTCCACCTCCAAGTCACTAGAAAGCCAACTCTGTGGCCCTGGAGATCGACAATTTTGATATCCTTGAAAGCACTGGGTGCCGTTGCCAGAACGCCGCATGTGGTTGTCTGTCGGGAAAGGCCTGTCCACAGCAGAATGCTGAGGTCCTCTGATCGGCTCGCCGGTTATGCGCCCACTTAGCTGTGGATGTTGAAAGCTGACAATCAGGCTAGTGGTTGGGATCGGTGGAAAAGCGAAGCACCCCCATTGGTAGCTAAGATGAACGGATTTGTTGCGCATCTTGCTGCATCTGTCATTGGCCGCAGCCGGCTGCATCATCAGTAGCGGTTCAGATAGAGCTGGATGACAGCCTGATGGAAAGTCAGCAGAAGCTTGTCCGTCAGATTGTCCGTAAGCAACCAACTTTCCCTGGATCACAGCATCACAAAAGTAAGCAAAACACAGTTGAAGCATCATTCACCATGGCCTCCCTCCAAGCATCGACGTGGCGGACTCTTGGCCTGTCTGTCGCAGCAAGCTACACGGTCCTCGGGGCGTTGGACGTCCTCCTTCCGTACCGGGCGGGGTATGAATTCTTCGGGCTCCCGCCGTCGGACGCGGTAGGGCGACTGGTGCCGCTCCTCGGAGTACGGGACCTGGCAATCGCAGCAGCGCTGTTCGCACTCGCGCGGCAGGGCAAGGGTCCGGAGATGGGAACGGTGATCCTCGCTGGCACGATCCTCTGCGTCTGGGACGCCGTGGCCATTTGGCAAGCAAAAGGGCCGAAGTTGTGAGTAGCCTGGCTAGCGAAATGAGACCGGGCTCGCTGACATGATGACACTCGCAGAGGCGGAACCATCGCGGCCGGGGTGGTTGTCGTGACGGCCATCGGCATTGGACTGGTGCGGTCATGAGACGAGGCAGCCAGGGGATGGGTAGCGCAGCGCAAAGTGAAGGGGCGATTCGGTCCTCATGATCCCATCACCGAGGCTGCGCGTCTGTGGTTTCTCCCAGGGTCCTGCAGCTGGGTTGAGGCCAGCTTGGTGGCATGACGGGTGGAGGAACGAGATTGGCGTGGGCGAGCTAGGTTCCGTGGTTCCTTAGGCGTGTGTGGCTTTGGGGGTCTCCCGTGCGCCAGACGTCATCCGTCGTCAGAGTCATCAGGGGACGCGCGGGCCGAGAGCTTTGGCAGCTGTCGCGACTCGCATTGGATGTTTCTGAGCTTTCCATGCAGCGGCATCAACGGTCGTTTAAATCGATAAAGGCATTTACCAGACGGTAGGTATCAAAGCAGCCGACGTCTCCGAGGTGATGGAGCTGCAACATCAGATGCAAATGGCAAACAAACACATCCCATGGAGAAAGTTCAGCAAATGGGAGCTTGCCATGACAGCTTCCCCCAATCATGGAGCTGAGGATCCTCAGGCACAAAGTGCAGCTTCGGGCAGGGACTGGGCAGGGCAGGCACTAGAGGCAGGCACTGCTTGCCGTGTAGTGATGCAATAGAGAGGGGCAGTCACTGCCTGCACAGGTGCGCTTTCCCCAGGCTCAAGGGTCACGGGCGGGGTAAAACCAGGTCTTATGCAGCAGCTGCGGCCAAACAGCGTCCCTTCTCTGCGCGAAAGTGTCTCCCGACCCCCAGCGAAGTGAGTGACAGACCACATTCTCGACCTGCTGGACTGGCTTCTACCTATCGAAGCTCTCCGTCCCATGTGCCTTGTGCCTGAGCCAGCAAGCGCCCATTGCCATACCAACCTGCCTGCTTTACTTGCTGGCTTGATTGTTGCTTTCCAGACTGAAGCGAGGTGGCTGACGTCCGAACGAGTACAAAACACCACCACCTCCCATTCAGCCCCTCTTTCCTCCCGCCTACATTAACAACATCGACACTACAACCCATACCCATCGCGAACCAAACTTGCACTTGCGACCAACCGGATATCCTGAATCATACAGCTTGTCCAGCCCACGAAAGCAAGGCGGAAGAAGCTTTTGCACATCTCAATACCACCGAAAAACAAGGCGAGACATCCCTCGACCAAGAGACAGTTCGCCCCGTTCGACCGCAGATACGAACCCAGAACCAAAGGTCCAAACAACCAAGAACCATCAAACTACCCCGGCAAAGCACCAATCCACCATGGCCGACGACAGCACCAACAACACGCAGCAACCCGCCGTCGACGAGACCCCCATCTCGCCCTCTCGCGGCGACCGCAAGAACTCCCTTGAGGCACACCTCCAACACCGTCCCGACCGGGCGGAACTCGTCGAGAGTGAGTCTCGCCCGTCACCCAATCCCTCGCAATTCGCCTCCTTTGCCTCACGGCCTCACTTCCCTGTTTTCCCCTTTTTTCGAACTACCACCGGACCCCTGCAACCACTCTTCCCTCCAAACCCCACCACCCGTCTGCCCGCCTCACCCGCCGATCCCAACCACTAAACCCAGAGCATTCACCCGCCGGCGCATCATGAACATCACCCCATGATATCCCCAACTAGCAAACCCGTGAGCATCGTGACCACAGAGAGACTGACCACAACCCGCCTCGCAGAGAACATCCTTCCCGCATCCAACGCCGCGCCGTCTTTGATCGCCCACCAAAAGGAGCTCGAGATGCACATGCGCGCAGACTCCCTCAACGACAAGCTCTCCCACCGTCCCGACCCCCAGGAGCTCGTCAAGGAGGGCGTGCTCAAGGAGGACCCGCGCACCGCTGAAGACAAGTACGCCGAGGCCATCGAGGACGAGTACGCCAAGCGTGAGGGTGGTGCTTAAAGACGTCCCGTTCACAGCCTCATCAAGACTACCCATGAACTGGGGCGGACGGGATTGATTGTGGAGGAGTAAACCCGGCACTCTTGCGATTGCGATGCGACGTCAACGAGCCGCTGCGGATGACTTGCAATACGATGTAGGATCAATCGCACTTTGCAGTTTACATGTGGAGGCGGACGGGTCCCTTGTTTTCCTTGATGAGATATGAATAAACATCCAAACCGAATCACACCCAAAAACAGGTCGAATTGACGCTGGAACCAGGCAATGCGGGACGTCTTTTTCCTTGCAGATGGTTATCCTTAGCTAGCTGATCTACTTGTTTCCCAACATATCACAAAAAACAATAATCACTGCACTCAATCACGAACAAACATGCTCGCGCCATCGTCTCCATCAGCCCTATCGTAAATGCTACCATGATGCACGCAATCAAGATGCGATGACATTTCAGGGTCCCCATCCCCATCCGTCTATTCTTGGAACACTCCCGCCCGTTCGAGGGTCGTTTACATGTGAACAGGCCCCTGTCGGATTCGCATGACCTCATCGCCTTGCTCCGAATTCCAGAGCCAGTCCATCTATCCCAATTTTCTCCTGCACTTCGGAGCTGTTGTTCCCTGCCTGCCAGGTCAGCGGGCCCAGGCCTGGCGTGGTGGTGTCTCTCTCCTCTCTGAAAGCCACTCCAGCACTCATAGCTGCCATCTGCCCTTGCATGAAAGTACCATACTGCGGTAATGCAGGGCATTCAACCGCCGCAGCGAATCACCGGCCACCCGACCGCCCAGCGTTGCAGTGCCCGTATATACCCAGCTCCTCGGGGCATTTACTCGGGGCCTCGCTCACTCACTGGCAGGGAAAACAAGGAAGGGGACCACTGAGACCTCAAGGGTCCACGGGGCGGAGGACATGTTTTGCAGCAGCCGGATTCTGCACGTCAAACAGGCACGGGACGAGAAAAAGAACGAAGCAAGTCATTCACACGACGGACAGGCATTCACTTTCGAAAATAGTAACTGCAAAACATAATTATGGGAAACCGAAAGGGGAAGGAGGTTGAGCAATTGGGGGAAAAAACAATGATTTGTTTGAAACCAGGTGTTGTTGAAGAAGACGCTGTTGGCTGCCAATGCACCACCCGCGAACCCCAATCTAATCTAAACAGGCACATATACACACTGCTATGCTATGATGGTACAACAATCTGCAAGTAATCAATCCCGTGCCTCCCTCATGCCCTATGGGCCCGTCGTCTTGGGTCCCTCCGCGTGCATCTCGCATTATAATCCTTGCCCGTGAAAAATCTCCAAATATTTCTCCGATATCCCATAAATGATACAAGTATGCCGTACAGATGTTGTCGCTGCCGCCGATGCCCCCTGATGTCTTAGTCCCCTAACGCCAATGTATGCAAAACAACAAGATGATGATGATGATGATGAACGGTGATGTGGTATCGACGTCGATGGCTCAGGATCGACGGAAGGTGCCGCCGTAGTTTGGTGACGGGGCGCCGTGCTCGTAGCCAGACTGGTTGCGGTTGACCACCGTGACTCTCTTGGATGAGACCTTGCTCGAGGACATGTGGTTCTCGGCGCCGTGGACGCGGTGGTAGACGGGGTCGGCTGGTGAGAGCGAGCGAGGGGTGTAAGAGCCGTTGGAGGATGGGTAAGAGCCCGAGGACGCGGTGTAGGCGCTGCTGATGGAGGGAGCGGCCTGGTGGATGATGACTGGTCTGGAAGACATTTTGTGTGATATGAGGTTTTGTTTGTAAGGTGTGGTGTTGAGCTTGGTCTCGAGAACGGTGACTTGGTCGAGATGAGAGAAGATGAAGACTCGGTTGAGGAAGATGGCTTTGTGTAGACAGATGTTTGGTTACTTGCTTGGTGAGAGACAAGAGCAGGAAGAGGAGAGAGGCCGAGGGCAGGATAGATATATACTTGGAAGAGGAGGACTGTTTGCAAACACACTTGATGTGGGATGGGATGGGATGCCTCTATCAAGTACACTGGTACGGGGGCATAGCCATCAGCACTTGCCGGAGCCAGGGTCAAGCTGGTCGTGGGTACAGCAGACGGGACCCATCTGGGTTGCCTGCCTGGCCATGCCATGCATCCGGACCATGCCAGGCCAGGCCGGGAGAAAGACAGCCCTGGGGAAAGTCTTGCAGCCGTGTACGCGGCTGAGCACCAAGTGGAAAAGTGGCCAGGAGACAGGATGTGGTGGTCGCTGGCGCTGGGCGACGGACGGGCGAAGGTGGACAGGCAGTGGGGGGCGGGTAGCATCATGGAGCCCCCTTGGACCTCGGACCATGAACCTTGGAACCTGGGGCTGACCGTGAGAAAGAAGGGTGTCGCCTTGCTGCTGGAAGTCCTTGGGCAGCTTTGTCATATCCCAGGCCACTGGATGCAGGGACCGTTGGGCACAGGATGAGGGCAAAGGTGGTTAGTCTCTGTTTGTTAACGTCCTGGATCACCGAAGAAGCAGGGAAGAGCGTTGTTGTTTGATGTTGCAGGTGCAGCAGAAAGGGTGGTGTTGCATGGTGGACCCGCCAGCATGGAAAGGAAACTCTTGCTGGAAAAGTCCTGCCGATGCCTCAGTAACTTTGTCAACTTCGACCCGGACCAACGTCCCGGCGAATGACAGAGCTTCTGCTGCGCGAGAGCAGTGCCCCGGTGGCGAACAACACGGAATGATTGGGCCTGACGACAACTGCAGGGCGCATTCGCCAGGGCGATGATTGACGGACTGCCGCTCTGTTTCGGCCTATTACTGCCGCCTCCAGGTGTGTGTACTTTGTTGCGTCCGTGGTGAACCCTTTGCTTCATGACACTGGCATTTTACGCCTCCCAAATTAAGCGCCGTTGATATTGTCATCTTGCTTCGTCATGCGCGCAACGGGAAGCAAGTGCAAATCGTACCAGAAACCCGGGGTGCATGCCAGCCTGCTTTCATTACGAAGCAGCAACGCGCGTTTATGCAGCCTTGAGCCTGTGGCTGCTCGGCGCCCAGACTTCTTCAGCTTTGGGGGCTATTTTGCAGTGAAAAATGGAAAAAGCTGACAGTCCAGGAGGCCCTCACCGTCTGTCTGAAGTCTGTCACTGTCTGGACTAGATCAGGCTGTGGCATAATTAGATAGCCTGGGCTGGAGGGAGCATGGGCATGGTTGGCTGCTTCAAGCGCCGTGCAGCAAAAGCTTCGAGGAAAGGCCCCGAATGGTCCGACGTGGGTTGTACGTGTCCGATGTCTTCGAAATCCGAAGAACATCTTCTCTAGAGTGTGAAAGGCCGAATCTGGCATTCCACAAAGTTGAAAATTTTTCTTCTTTTTTCTGCCATCGATGTAGGCTGGCTTAGACCCCGGCGAAGCGACGCCATCGCTGCCCAACCTCCCAACCCATGGCCTGATGGTCGATGTTCCTCGGTCGTAGGTGCAATCTTGCTTTTCTGCCCTCTCATCTCAGAGTTTCCACTCAAACGGGACCGCCCGCCGGAGACAAGCAAAAATGTCTGTGTTTTTTCTCGAAGCGGCCCAGTCGGGCTCTCCAACGGGTCAGAGAGTTCGGATCGTGCCTGATGTTTTGAAGATTGCTGGGGGGAAACCCTGTCATGCGGGCTGCGACAGCGACCCAACTGGCCGCCATCCAGCCCTTTCGATCGGGTCTCCAGCGGGTGAGTATGCATGTGGCAGCGATCGCTCCAGTAGCGCAGGTTGTCTGCAGCATGTAATGCAGTGAATGCACGAAATGGGCAACGGATCGCGGATAGCAGTCTGCTGCGAGTGCTCTTTTCGCCGTGTGGAGTGGTTCATGCCTCTGGCGTGCAGACGGAGACGGGCAAGTAGGGCGGGCTGCATGGTTTGATCTGCGACTGGAGGTCGACGACAGACGGCCAGACGGGCTCTGGCAGAAGAGACGACGGAGCTAATGCCGAAGACATTCGAAACGGCAAACCCTCAAAAGCGTATAGCACAGGTGTGCTAGAGTGCGCATGTCTGTAAACCTTCTCTAAGTGGCCGTTCTGTCGTTTGTCATTATCATATCGACATGCCGGACGGATAGGCAAGGAACCCTTTTGCGCCGACCCTCTACGACGAGAAGTCGGTCGCCTGATAGGTTTCTGTTGCTGCAGTAGTCTCCGTGAAGCTGGCAATCGACTGGTGCTCGAGCATGTCTGACAGGCACGCGACAGCACCGACTCGCCGGAGGTGGGTAGCACCTCAACAGCACCTCAACCGCAGGCCGTGATGGTCGCGATGACTATCCTTTGGGTTATGATTGGCGTTGACGTCGGGCTAATGAGACGCGACTGCGTGGTCCCTGTCTGCCTCAACAGCTCGTGTTGTTCCGCCTCGGCCGAAATGACATTTGGGCACGCTGCACAGCCCAGACACCGATGACTCCATCGCAGCCACGTCGAGATCACAAGCTGTGGCTTGGAAAAAGAAAACACCAAAGGGTAGAAACCGGGAACCAAATCGACGACCGGTCCAGACACACGAGGCAAGACATGCTGCGGCTCATGGATTCCTGGGCGAACTGGGGTTGGGTCAAATGACTCGGAAAAAAGCCCATCGCGAGTCCAAGGCGGTCGATAGCCTCATGTGCAGTTGACAGACCCCCACAACTATCACCAATAATCCTCGTGAAAAGGAATGGTGGATGGGAGAGTTGCTTGGGGTTGTTGCTGGTGCTTGACGTCACACAGAGTCCAGAGCTGTCAGCTGGAGCTCAGCTGGGGCAGGTCCCTGGCGATAAGCCACCCTCGTCACCTGCAGGTGCCCTTTATCGATAACAAAAACGGGTCCGTATCTCCGGATTATCCCTGTGAATGAGCCAATCGGAAAATAGCAATGAGGGAGAGGCGGCGTGGCTTCAACCCACCACAGCTGCGGCGGTGGCCCCTCGTTGCAGCTGTCTTCCTTGTTGCTCGCCAGCTGTTCGTCTCTAATTCGACCAATTGACCGCTCAATCACAGCATCTCGACCTTCTTCAGCACAGTCTACCGCCTCACCGTCCCAATTCAGCCATAATGCAGGGTCTCCTCCTCTCTCTCGGCCTCCTGGCCTCCAGCGCCGTCAGCGTCGCCGCCGCCGAGCTCCAGATCGACGTTACCCAGGCCGTCGAGTGCGAGCGCAAGACCAAGAATGGCGACAAGGTCAACATGCACTACCGCGGCACTCTCCAGTCCAACGGACAGAAGTTTGATGCCAGTAAGATGCTGCGCCGATTGCCAGGTCCATGGATGATACTGACGTCTCGTTTCTCAAGGCTACGACCGCGGAACCCCTTTCAGCTTCAAGCTTGGTAGCGGCCAGGTCATTAAGGGGTTAGTCCAATCACTCGGCTGACAAGCAAAGACCGAAGAAACATGACTGACAACGTTGCAGCTGGGACCAGGGTCTTCTTGACATGTGCATTGGCGAGAAGAGGTAAGATGGGCGACAACCAAACGTTCGAGACCAACCGATCCTGACGCCTTACAGGACCTTGACCATCCCTCCTGAGCTGGGCTATGGCAACCGCGGCATGGGCCCTATCCCCGCCGGCTCAACCCTTGGTATGTACAATCGACAATCAAATCATTGACGACTCCGGCTAACCGTTATCTTCCGCAGTCTTCGAGACCGAGCTCATTGGCATCGACGGCGTTCCCAAGCCTGAGAAGATCATCATCAAGGCCACCGAGAAGGCCAGCGAGGCCGCTGAGGCAGCCAAGGAGGGCGTTGCTCAAAAGGTCGCCAGCAAGGTTGCCGAGGCTGCCGATGTTGTCAAGACTATTGTCGCCGACTCTGACGCCGACGGCCAGGAGCACAACGAGCTCTAGACGGGAGCAACCATACAGGGCGTTAGACATGCGTTGGCTAGAAAAAAAGGAAATGTCCGCTTTGGGCTTACTGCCTTTCCCAAAAGAAACACGGGTCTGCATCATAGCATGGACCGGCGAATACGGGTTGACATGAGAAATATTTGACGTGCAACGAAGTTGTTATGATTCTAGGCGAGCAATAATGCCAATCAATTTACGCGAAAGTTCGCCTTACTACATTCGGCGCACCCAACAATTTCGCAGTCACTTTGTGGTTTTTTGTAATTACATCGTGATGTCATTAAGATTGATTGCTAACGGTCTTTGTACAGAACAAATTGAAACCTCGCTCCCTGCGCCGAAACTGCTCAGGTTTAAGGCTCCCACATTGCCTCGTTCGTTAATCCTTAACCAGCCTGGTACACGGCCAGGGCGGCAACATGCGGGTTGATCATGGTCAAGTTGTAAGGCGTGACGTACAAGTCGGTGTCAGTCAACGCCAAGAACATAGTCGAGTTGATCGCTGGGTCAAACTCCCAAGTCGATACGTTCGGCTGGATAGTGTACGCAGTACGATCGTCCTGACTCACGTTCTGCAGGGCAGAGTACGTGACGTTCAACTGGGAAACCCACGCAGCGAACTTGGGTTCCTTCACGTTCGTCGAAGTGATGTAGCTGTTGTTCGGGCCGACCGGCTGACCCGGGGCATCCCACTGCAAAAACACCTGGCGGCCGGCATACGACAGCGGCATGGTCCGGTTCTGCGAGATGGCCGGGTTGCAGTCCTCCCCAGGATCCGCGGCGTTCACACAAGATTCAGAGTCGGTGATATTCCCCGTCGCCGCCGTGTTAGCCCACCCGCCGGTCGTCTCGTTCCAGGCACTCGATCCGTTGATGCGGTACGGGTTCGGCTGGTTGAGGATGTGCAGCGCAGGGAAATTCTGCCAGATCAGCCGCGTCTGGTTCCACGGGCAGCTAGAGATATACGGCGCCAACAGCGTCCACGCCCAGCTCTGCGGTATGCCGACGGTGTGCCACTCGGGCATCGGGAACAGGCCCTCAAACTGCCGGAAGATCATCTGCTGGCGCGCCTCGGTCGTGATGCTCTGCAACAGCAGCTGCGCGGCGGGGCCTGAGTTCAGGTGCGGCAGGAAGCCGTAGACGCCGGCCTCGCCCCAGCGCGTGAGCTTCTGGTTGAAGTCGATATACTCGCGGAGGTTCGAGACGGGGTAGTTGTACGTGCACTGCTGCGGGGCTTCAGCGCCGAGCATGTTCGTGATGACGGTCGCGTGGCCGATCTCTTGCTCCGCCATGAACTGCAGCAGGTACCGGTCTTCGGCGTTCAAGCCGAGCTCCTCGAAGTCTTCGACGGGGTACGTGGCCAAGCCCCAGTGGAAAAGGTCGAGCTCGATGTACTCCTGGTATAGGGCCAGAGCGAGAGATTGGTAGTCGAAGTCGCTTTGGACGCGGTATACTGGCGCGGAGCCGTTGGTGCCGAGACCGCCGGCAGGAGTGTACGGTGCGGGCTGGTCGCCGTGGAGAGCGCCGTCCGCTGGGTAGTCGTACGCATCGTCTGGGGGAGGAAGCTGCGGCACCTCTGAGGCGAGAATGCTGGTTGAGATGGCCCCCGTCGTGGTTGGCGATGGTCCTGTGTAAGGGCCATGAGAAGTCACATTCTGGACGGGAACTTGGGAGGCAGTGATTGTTGGCTCGGAAGTGACTGTTGTCTGAGGCTCAGAGACGAACGGGACCGCGCGGATTGTCGTCGCTAAGGCGAGAAGCCCAGCATGTTGGAGGATGCTTCGGGGCGCCATTATCCTAGTCATCTTGTTTTCTGTGAGGATGTGCTGAAGAATTCAGCTTTCTGTGAACACATGAACAGGTCTTGCTTTTTATAGAAGACAAATCTGGATTGCACAGCTACGCAAAGCGTCGGGACTACGACTCCATTACAACATCACAAAATCACCTCCCGATCTCGGCTCGCCATTTCCCCAGCGACCTGGGCATTAGCCGCTGGGGATGAGTTCATAGACTCGGGATGAACGGCTCATCGGAGAATTTCTCATCTCAAAAGGAAGAAATTACGGGGAGAGTTGCAACGTCTTACTCACGCGCTACAGAGTCTTTGGGTGTAATTGTGCCGTCATCCGCCAGATTGAGCCTAACGGACCAGCTTACAAACAAGCTCAGGCGTTTGTTTCCTCGGCATACGAAGGGGAAATAAGAAACCATCGAATTTCCGATGTTCCACGGTAGAACCGCAATTATTCCCACAGCCTTACCAACGGAAAGACGTCAGTAGTACCTCACGGAGTCAGGTCCGGTGTGGGGCTAACCGGTCCAGGGGGGCGCCGGTGGATCTGCTCCGCCTGGCCGTGACTGGTCGGCCCCGGTGTTGATGACGCTTACATCGGACGGATGAGGCTCTTTTTCGAAGCCCAGATGGAATTATCCCTTGCTTCGGAATGTGGAAGGGCGTCGGGAAGGACGTTCATTTAGATGAACTTATGGAACAACGACTGCGCGATGATGTTGAACGTGGGAAACGACATTATTCTGCGTGTCGTCCTTGATCGGTCTCCGGATGTTTAGGTCCGGAGGAAGGTCGGATTGTCGCATTTTCCATTCTCTATGCCAACCTAAGCGACTTCTTTGGACAACCACAGCAAATCCCGATCAAAGACCTCATCACGCAGAAAACATGGGGTACACAACATGATCGAGATGCATCAGCACGTATCTCAATTTGAATCAATCTCATCTAACCAACTCCGGCGACGGTCCAAGACTCTAGCCTTGGATGCAAGATCTAGCCGCGCGGAGTCTATTACTCAAGCCTCTCAACTACCACCCCTATCTCCGGCGCCGTTCCAAGATTCGGCCACGCCCTCTACACCCTTCTAGTTCTGCTTCTGCATTTTATGGATCATCAAGTCCACGTCATCTCGGCACGAGTCGCCGCCGCACCCCAATACCAAATCGTTTCTCCACCGGGCCGACGGTTAGTTACCGTCTAACACCCACTTCTTCTTGTCGTAGCTCGCGGGCCACACTCCGTTCTTGCCAGGCGCGATGATGCCGTTGGGGTCGAGGGCGTTCTTGATCGCCTCGTTGAGCTGCAATTGCGCGTTGTCGTTCCAGTTGAAGGCGTCGGCGACGGGGTCCATGAGGGCAGTGTGCGCGCGGAACTGGCCCCAGCCGTGTGCTGTGGTCTCCTTAATCAGCTCGTGGGCCAGCTTGCGGATGCGCGTAACATCGTCAGGCACGTCGAGACGGTACGGGATGCCGATAACGTGGTCTTGGTGACCATTAGCACAATGTTTCCTGGTCGAGATTCACAGTCAAGATTCGTGACTTACGAAGTTCTCGCATGCCGACGGCGAATGCACCGAGGTAGTCGAACCCATACTTTGTGATGAGATTCTTGGCTACATCGTGCTGCTTCTTGGCGTCTTCGCCCGAGACCTTGGAGATGGGGGCCCACAGGAGCTGACCGCCGTTGGGAAGCCAGCTATAGCTCATGTTAGCTCATGTTTCCGGCGATGCGATGATATGCCACTTACTTCAGACATCTCAACTCCTCCACGGTCGGAATACCCTGCATCAACAACTCACGGGCACGCAGCGGGCTCTCCCGGGCGCGGTCCTCAGGAAGGAAGAACCGCGACCCCGGTATTGCGAGGAACTCGTGCTTGATGACGCCCAGCAGGACATCGCGGACGGGTTTGGGCCCGTAGACAGCACCAATCAGCTGCCACCGTCCGAAGTCGAGCTTCTTCGCAATGGCATTGACTTCGTCTTCGGACAGTGGGCCCTCCTTGTCGGTGTATTTCGTCTTGGGCCCGCAGTGCGCGGCATTCAACAGAGTGTGCCGGAGAAACGGGACGTTCTGGAGGACCATCTGAAGACGGAGCGGCCGGATTATGTCGACCACCTTGGGCAAGTCCGAGTCGTTCTCAAAGGTGATCTCGTAGGGCTGGTACCCGCCGGGGTTGGGCATCAGCCACATCCCGATCTTGGTTACGATGCCGAGGTTGCTCTGGGAGAAGAGGCCATCGTTGTACGGGCCGTAGCCGGTGTTGAACAGCTGCCACGTCTCGCAGCCAGGCTGCTCGTCGGGGCGGAGATTTTTGTCGGCATTGGGGTTCGGCACACCGCCCATCCCCGTGCGCACCAGCTTCCCATTCGGCAGCACGACCTCCATGCCGCAGTGCATACCCCAATGATCGCCATACGGTGTTGCGCCGACGCCTCTCTCGACGGCATTGCCGAGCACGGAGCCCTGGCCGACAGGCACAGAGAGCCACAGGTGCTCGCGCAGGTTGTGCTTCTCCAGGTACTCATGCAGGTCCCTAAAGTTAACACCAGGCTCCAGCAGAACATAGGCGCCCTCCACGTTGACCTCCAGGATGCGGTTCATGTGGTGGCCCAGGTCCATGACCACGGAGCCCGGGACGCGGGGGGAGGCGCCGCCGTAGCCGAAGTTGCGCCCGAGGGAGATGGGCCAGACGGGCATGACGAGGTCGTTGCACAGGCCGACGAGGGCCTGGACGTCCGGGACATGGCGCGGGGTGACGACGGCCGAGGCGACGAATTTTGTCTTTTCGTAGAGGGGGAAGTGGTCGTGTGACTTGGGCTGGTTCAGGTACGAGTCGCCCTCAAGGGGCTTGTCTTTGGGGATCACGCGGACATTTTCGGTGCCGCAGATCTCTTGGGCGCGAACAATAAACTCTTGGAACTTTTCGGGTGTGAAGTTTGGAGGGAGAGTTATAGGTTCTGGGATTGGTGCCATTGTGGGTGATCGGATGGTTGGCTACGTGGAAAGGGGGTTCTCTGGATGTAGAAAGGTGTCCAGCAGAATATCAAGATACAGATGGTTCTGATGCTCCTTCATATCCTATTGTTAATTGGGATATTGAATCTTTTTAATACCAATCTCGACCGTCGGTCTCGCATCAATCACTATGCAACTTCAGCATGACGGTGGATCCTCGAGACAAGTCAACCTCGCGGACCGGACCATGATCAAGCAATTCATGGTACGGAGACGACGTCGTGGGGCAATTTTCCTTGCCCGTTTTAGATCCGCAAAGATCACCTTCGGGCAGAGCGAATACAGATACGGGGACAGTCGGCAAGAGTCAACTAGGCCATGCTACCCGGGGAACTACGAGAGACCGAGGCTCTGTGCCGACAGAGTCGGGTCCGTCCGAAGTCGATACTGAGATACGCGGCTCTTTCTACTTATTAAGGGGTGGCTTGCAGAGGTCGCTTTAGGTCAATGGACCGACCACCTGTTCGACGTCGACAGCTGCCTAATACGAACAATACCAAGCAGACACTTACTCGTTTCGAGACTGACAGATGCTTCCGACATGTGGCTTGAGAGATGTCCGGCGTGGCCAGGATGCCGACTCCACGTAAGTGGTAACTTCCGTCTGTGGCGCAAGCTGCCCATGGTTACCGCTGGGCTGAGTTCGATAAGGTACGAAGACAACCGCGTGTCAGGAAACTCTGTTCGACCTGACGTGACGGGTGTCGTGGAGCAGTTTTGGGTTGCAGACTGAAGAGGCATAGTATGCGAGTGAGAGCAAAAACAAAAAAGTAGTCTCTTGTCCGCTGGGCCTCCTGACGATGGCCGGCCTTGCAGGAGAAACGAGTGGCGGAAGCTGCGGACCTTGAGTCGACGGGACAGAAACTTGACATGAAACGTTATTTGACGGGAACCTTGAACATACAGACAGCCGTTCCCGCTGTGAGATGCTGCATGCTGCAAGATGCAGTCTTGACAGACAGCGTCTTACCGTCGCAGCGGGAGACGCAAATGAAACGAAACAAGTTGAGTTGGTCCCGTCCACAATGTCCGTGGGGTAAACCAGCCCGTCGGCTCGTTCGGCCGGCGTTGTCCGAGATGGACGGGCGGCAGATCATTACGGTTGCACACCCTCTTCGCCATCTCTCTTTCACACACACACACATATCAAATGTGACACCGACACATTACGCTTATTTTTCTCGTTTTCTCTTGCACCCGTCCCATCTCGATTTTGGGTTGCTTGCGTTCTCTTTCAAACCTGCCACACACCCAATGGCGTGCTTGACGTTGTAAAGCCGCAGCCCTAAGACAGGCGGGCGGGCGGACTGAACCGGGGTGCGGCCAGTTCCGGAGGAGCGGTTGGTGAATTCTCGCATCGGCCATCCTCTGTCGGCGCGGAGCGGACTGCGCGGTGTTTCTAGAACGTTTCCTGCTTTGGGGTTCGTCGGCTGTTCGGCCCAGCAAGACGACGGGGAGCTTGGGACGCCATGGGAGCCCAAGCCCAATACCAATACCAATACCACACACGACCCTCGGTCACCGGGTATCGTTGCGATTGCGAAATGTTGCGAAGTGCGAGCGTTGAGCTTATTTCCCCCCCGGTGGCAGCAGGCAGAGCCGGACATTGGCGAACCCCCCATGAAGCTTTGATCGGGGGTTCCCACGATTGCGAACTGCGTTGGGCAAAAAGGGAGGGCGGGATATGACACGCCGACGGCCTTGCGCTCGTGAGCCACATTCCGAAGTGCGGTGCCAGATTGTCGGGCGAACCTGAACACCGTTTCTGCTGAGCGGGAGAACGTCATCAGCCAAGATCCCCTTCCCTTCAGACAGCCACACACCATACACCCATCACACCCATCACACACACACACACACACCTTGGACTGAGACTAAACTTCTGGGTTGGAACCAATCCCTTGATCCAGTCGCGTCTTGTTCGGTCTCGTTGAGCTGGAGGTATTTAAGATTAGGGTTGTGTCCACATCAGCTCTAGAGGGGGGACGCGTGATTACCACATACACTACTTCAGAAAAGGATCCGGACGTCTCCAGCTAGCTATCTCTGTCTGACCTTAGCAGCAACTATAAATCAACTTCAAGTCATCTGCCCATTGCCTCATTTAGCTTCATTGCAAAAAAAGGAGAAAGAGTGTGACGAGAAAAGGTCCTGCCGTCGAAAAGCAAAGTCAAGCACATACACACGCACGACGCAGCTTTGTAGTGATGGATCCTGCGGCCGCCCAGCTTGCCAACGCCGTCACCGAGCGTGTAATCATTCCCGTCAAGGGTGGCATTGATGACTGGAAAGAGCAGTTGAAGTCCATGCTTCAAGTCCTCCAGAACCAGCCCGGATATCTCCGCACTCGATGGGGCCCATGGAGCGAAGATCCGCAGAAGCTGGAGCTCCTCGCTGGTACGTGAATAACCTCCTTATGCCCGGGGAGGGGAACGGGGCGGGGAGGAATACAAAAACCGTTGCGCGCGAGCCTTGCCGATCAACGACCGGGGAAAGTTGCCGTAGTAGGCAAGAGAGAGACCGGAAAGACGCCGAGCTAATGTGACTGTGCTTCCGCGATTAGGTTGGATCAACGCTGAGGCAAGCGAGGCCTGGAAGAGGACGAGGGACTATGCCGATGCCATGGCCAAGCTGGCGCCCGTGCTGAGCGGACAACCCACGAGCTACCTCCTGCAGTTCAAGCCCTTCGCGCCGCAGGCCGTCATCAACTCGCCCATCGTCGAGACGCTGAGCTTCGAGGGCTGCCGAGAGCCGGAAGAGAGGATGCGCGAGATTGTCGAGAGGGCGAAGGCGATGCCCGGGTGCAACGGCGTAGCGAGCGGGTTCTCGCTGTGTAGGAACAGTTCCGGAGGAGGTCCAAGCAGCAGCAGCAGCGGCGGCATGGCGAGCGGGAGTGCGAGCATCGGTGGCGGCAACGGCGGCAGGACCTTCGTCGCGGTCATCGGGTGGACGGGGGTCGAGGCAAGCCGGAGGGCGAACAAGGCGGCATACACGGGCGGTATGAAAACCGAGAGTCACCACGTCAACTTTACATTTCCCGTCAAAGGATTTGGAGGATTATAGAGACTTGTGCGCATGTCCTGGGTGCATGATGTGGTTCAGCGGGTTTTAGAAGGGGATATCTGATGAGCAGGGCGTTCATGTGTTGAGAGGGTTGGATTGGGCTTGGTTCTCTTGCCCGTTTTCAGTTAGCATCCCGCACCTTTCATGTCAGTAGTTTTGATGCTAGTTTCGTTTCTCGGCGGGGTCGAACGTGTGCTTTCTCTGGGTCGAACATTCTCTTCAGCTTCTAGTCGGGCGAAGTGGCGAAGTGCGGAATTGCAAAAAGAAAATACCATCATACCATCACCGTCTTGAGTCCCCCTCGCGTCTGTCATTCCTCGTGACCGCGCTAGAAAGCTGTCAGCCCGGAGATGAAGCATAGCTGTGAAGCTATCGACGTCCGCGCCCTAGGATTCCCTGCCGGAGAGAGTGCGCCGGTTCTCAGCTCGCTTACACAACACAGACGAGAGCAAGATGATGACTGGCCATAGTACCAGAGGTCTGCTCATAGCTCGGGAGTTCCAGACTCTCCCCACACACGCACTAGACGCAGTCGCAGGGGCATACGGATACGGTCACGAGACTCACAATAGTTCGTCCAGTGTGCTTTGGTCGGTTTGTGACAAGCTGCAACCTTTTTCTTATATGCCGATTGACTTTCCGAACGCGGAACTCGAGTTGCTGCAGAACGCGGATCTTTGCGTTTGGAACCGTGGTTCTGGAGGGGGTTCTTCACCGAATCACCGTCACTGCAGTGCAGATCGAGACAAGCCACGGACGACGGGGACGAAGTGGGAATAGTGCCGGATGCTCAAGCGACTGACGCCACGCCCGGTGCCAGTGTCGGAAGAGGGACAGCTCTCTTCGACGCCCCTCTTTCTACTGCCACCTTATGTCGCTAGACCTCGGGTACGAGCCGCTCTATCCTTTCGGGACGATGTTGCTTAGTTGAGAGATGAATGGACGAGGAAGGGCGAGAAAAGAGATGAAGCGTCGAAGTTCCCATGTCATTAGCGCGCGACATCCCCGCATTTCATGATGCGCGTCGTCTACGGTCGGTCCACTGGCGTGCTGCGCTGAAGAAAGTGGAAACGGTGCAGAAGAAAATGATGAGGAAAGGAGATCTGTGACAGCCTTCTTCTCGCTCGCTTCTCGGCCCCTGGCATCTTAATCTTGGCGGGTTCAAATTTCCATTGGGGGCCGCACAGAGAATGGGCCCCAATGGCGATGGTTAAAGGCGAAGGGCCATTGCTACCTTGCTACCTCCTCGGATGGAGAACGGTCGTCCTCGCACTCTGATTGACGGTTATCTCGGCTCTCGTGTCCTGATTGATACTAGGTCGAAGCTTTCACCCACGTGGAAAATATCTCCGGGAGGGAACAATGCGGCCCTGTGGCCCAGCAGAAGGACTGGGACGCAGGAGATATCACGTTTCAGAACGCACGAGGGTGAAGAGGTCCCATGCGCATGAACGGCTGTTCGGGGTTTCTTGCAGGATGTGGTTCGTTGGCGTGTTTGGCCGGTGTCTTCGCCAGGAGAACCGGGTGTTTTGAGTTCTTTTTCCCGCTTCCTAGTGCTACTGTGGGTTGATGAAGAAACATTGCATCTGGAGATGCTGGAGACCTTCTCGCCGGGAGATGCTGTCTTCTTCATCGCAGTCTGGGTCTCCCTTCGCAATCTACTGTACGTCAGCAGTTGAGCCTCTGCCCGCCCACTCTAAAAAGCAGATGTGGCAGATGGCATAATGCGACCTTGATCACTTGTCAACTCGTTGGCGTGAAGAACAGAGCAGCGCACGGCCTCAGCTGCATCCATCAATACATGGAACCCGTGCCGATCTCTGCTGATCCAGAACACATTTTTCGCACCCGTCTCCAGCAAGACACCGGAATCTCGTGCTGTGACTCGCTGGCTCGTTTACTGTGAAGGAGAGTTATTGACACTGTTGACCCATCGTCTCCTTTTAATATTCCCCGCCTTTTTCGCGAGATTCTTGTTAGCGGGACCCAGAAAGACCCATGCCCGCCACGCTGCGCGTATGACAAGACTGAACCCCCGGAAAGGGGATGCCTGTATTTCCGGACCCCAAGTTGCATTCCAGGAGGGCCTCTGGAAAGGGCCCCCGTCCGTCTGTTGCGTGACTTGATCTTTTCCAAGATCTGCGTCTGGGTTTCTTCAGCAAACCTTCCTCCGGCAGTTGAACGATAGGGATGACGGCACATCGAAAAGACAAGACACGGCTGCTGTGCCTGTTGATCCTTTGCCTTCGGGCCAATGGACTGTGACACCTGCAGGTTAATGAAGCTGTATTGCTACCGTCCTCAGGCTAACCCTTGGCGGCCGAGGACTTCCATCGGCCTCTACCTTAATTGGTTTTTCTGCCCGCCAGAATACGTGCCATGCACGCAGGAACGGCGAGATTTCAAGGAAAGGCGTGTCGATTGCAGGTCCTGTCGTCTCATATCCCTCCACCACCTTGTCCATAATAGTACGCAAGCCTTTCCTCTCTGCCACTACGGCGTCGTAGTGAAGGGCTCCTCCGACGTTACGGCGCTGTGGCGTCAGGCTAAGGATGACACTACCAATTGTCACCATGTGGGTTCATCTGGGTCTAGCTAGTCCACCGAGGCACTCCAGCGTCGGCTAAGGGTTTTGCTCCCGCGGCCCAGGCTGCCCGGGGCCGTTTAGACTGCTTCTCCAGCGTACCCAAAACAAAAGCTTGCCGTGCTGTTGCCACAGGCTCACACTGAGGTGTAGTCAGAAAGACTCATGCAGTAAATACTCCGGGAAAGAGTGGGACATGGAAACTGGGCGAGGACGATCCGCAGCCCACTGCTGTTTGGAGAAGCATGAAGCCTTAAGAGTGGCCTCTCCCACTCGACATGGACTCTGGGGGCCCTTCTTTTAGAGTTTAAAGTCTTGACGACATCCCACCGGTCTCGCCTTGCGGACCTACCTTTCTCGCATACCGGGCGTATCCACGAAGCTTCGAGACGACCGGGCAGGACTTTGGCGAGCTCGAAACATCGACCGTACACACACTCGACTTCAGACAACGACGACGACGACGACGACGACTCCGGCTCACGGCTGTTCACGATGGCGTCCAAGGTCGATTACCAGATCGCCTCGTTGGCGGCCGGCTTCACCATCGGCTTCGGATTCTTGACAGTATGGGAGGCCATGAAGCAGACGAGGAGGAACCGGAACCCGCTTCGAAGTTCATACATCTACATGATGTGGGGTGAGATTCTGGCGAACCTCGTCATCACAGTCATCGGCTGGTTGTTCTTGGATGGGATTTTAGGACCAACGTACGTCTATTCGAGACAATATCTGTTGAGAAATTTCATACTGACTCTGGTTGGCTAGGGTGCCGGTGTTGTTCTTCATTCTCTTTTGTTGGGTTTTTGAGGTCCAACTGTTGATGCAAATCATCATCAACCGAATCGCAGTCATTGCGGAAAGCCAGAAGACAATCATGAGGTTGAAATGGGGAACCGCAGTGCTCATCACTGTGATCAACATCGCCGTCTTCATTATCTGGATTCCATCCCATCTTTCCCCTCCTGTCAATGACACGTAAGTTGACCCAACTATAAGACGAACCCTTCAACGACATTGACCTCATGCCCGCAGTTTCGTCCTTATCAACCACTACTGGGACCGCACCTCCAAGGTCCTCATCCTGATTGTCGATGCCGGTCTCAACTGGTATTTCTTGCGCATCGTCAAGACAAGACTCCTAAGCCAGCATGGTCTGGTCAAATACAAGCCCCTTGTGGGCTTCAACGCCAAGCTCATGATTCTTTCTATTGCCATGGACGGCATGCTCATCGGACTTATGTCGCTACCCAACCAAGTCGTCTTCATCCAGTTCCACCCCGTCGCCTACATGGTCAAGCTTAACATTGAGATGTCCATGGCGTCTCTCATCACCCGGCTCGCCAAGGATCAAGACAGCGGCTTCAGATTCAACTCGCTTTCCTACTCCCAAGGCCACTCTCGCGGCCACCGCACGACACAGCACGATGGTAACCGCGGCGAGCACGACGCAGGACTCAAGAGCTATCACCGAGCCAGCGTCGGAGCCGTTCCCGCCGAACTGCAGTTGGACAACATCCCGAAGAGCGCGAACGGAATCCACCGAAGAGTCGACGTTGAAATCAGAGTCGACCAGACGCCTGAGCACTCCAACACTCCTTCGTTTGGTGGAAGATCGGGACACGACGACACCGGCAGCGGCAGCACTTTCTACAAGATCGACGACGAAGACTCGCTCACGGGCAACCCCGGCCACCCTCGTTCTCGCTCGCTTGAGAAGAGTAATTGACCACTACCGACGTTTTCAACGCACTAACTTTATGGTACTATCGAACACGACTGGAGGACTGGGTGGCATGCACTGGTTAAAATGCTGTTTTACACGTATACCCCATTAATGTACTTTCAAATGCACCAATGTTTTCCTTTGTACAATGTCACCGTGTGGTAAAGACAGGACTCTCGGTGGGCAGATCAATATGATTAGAAACTACCTTAACGTGGACGACCATTGTCTTGAGTGTCCTTTTGTAATAATGTGCAAAGAAGAAAAGTTGTTGCTCAAAAGCTTAGACGGACTCGAAGACCTCGAAGCCGACCAAGTCAGGAGCCCATTCGCTGCCGACGTTCTTGAACTCCACGGTGTTGGAGCTGTCACCCTTGAAACCATCAACCTCGACCAACAAGCGGCCTGTGTCGAACCAGTTGCCTCCAGAGATGGGGAATGCCCACCGCTTAGCAGTACCGCCGTTCACAGAGACAGTCATGTTGCGAACGTTGGCACCAAATCCCCAGGCAGTGTCGAGGGCGACATCGTAATTGATGAAGTCAACGCCAAGCAACTTCTTGCCTTCGCTCTTGGCCTCGACGCCTTCGAACTTGACCGCAGCCCCTGACCCGATGTTGCCCACCTTCGACCCGCTGGGCAGACATCCACCACTGCCGCAAGCCACCGCGGCCGCTGATCCGGACAGCGTACCGTTCGTTGTGGCCGTGTAATACCCGGTGGAGCTGTGGACCGGCTCCGCCCTGGAGAGGTCTGAGAGCACCAGCAGCCTGAGCTCGTGGCCCACGAGGGTCGTCTCGTAAGTCCCCGAGATGGAGCCGACGTCACTCGCAGCCCAGACGTCGCGGGCGTTGGCCGAGGCCACGCCCAGCACGTCGGCGACGTCGAAGCTGACGGCCTGGGAGTCGTTCTTCCAGTTCGCGATGCCGACGACGAGGCGGTCGCCAGAGAGCTCGCCGGCCCAGACGTCCCACTCCTCCTCGGTGAAGCGGCGGACGAGCTGGGCCTGCTTGGCGAGCGGATCCTGGTTGATTGCAATTACTTCCTTGTTGGCGACGATGGACAAGGTGTGCTCCGGCACGAGGGCGGGGATGGCCGGGGCGCCCAGAGTGAGGGGCGACTTGTTAATACTCCACATGCCCATGTGAAACCTTTCCTCTTCAACAGACAAGGCGTTGAGCCCGACGCTGCAGTGCTCCAGTTAGTTTCCGCGGTGATATCAGGCAGACTATCATCAGACCACTCACATCAACATGTCCATGTCGGGGAAGGCACCAGGGCCGGTGTACTTGTAGAAGGGGACGACTTGGTTCGTGATGCGCCAGATGCTGCGCCAGCTGTTGTAGATGTCGTTGCTGATTCTCCAGCTGTTTCCAATCTTGGGAACCCTGCATGCGAGATTAGCTTCCGTCAATGTCAGCAGACAAATGCGGGTAAGTGACGACTTACCAAACACCCAGGTCGGTTCCTGTTCCCCATTGGCAAACTTGGTAGACCATGTCTCGGTCGGTGGTGTTCATCGCCTCAGCCATCGTCACGAAGCGGTCCGGGGAGATGGCCTCCTCAGAGACGTAGTCGACCATCACCGTAGGGTCAATGGGGTAGCAGTTGTCGTATCTTTGGTCCTGTCAGAATCGTCCTTGAGTTCGAGAGATTAAACTTACTTGAGGATATCCGCGCCCCAAGCAGCAAAGGACTTCGCATCGGTGAACTCATGGTCTAAAATCATCGTTAACTCCAGTCAATCACTCGCAGCCACGATGATTTGCATACCCAGCGAGGCAGGCTGATCAGTGGATCCGCATTGGAAGTATCCTCCGCCGGAGTAGACGCCGAACTTGAGGCCGAGGTTGTGGAGGTAGTCGCCGAGTTCCTTAGCGCCTCCGGACGGGAAGAGGGCCGGGTTCCACACAAGCTCTCCATTGGCATCACGGTCCTTGGCCGGCCAACCGCAATCCGTCGTGACGGTAGAGTACCCGGCCTCCGCGAGACCGGTGTCCACGACGGCGTGAGCGTTCTCCTTGATGATCGTCTCGTTCGGGTAGCAGTTGTAGTAGTTGTAACTGTTCCAACCCATCTGAGGCGTCGGCGTCTTGACGGTCTTGGCCGAAGCCCGGCTGACAAGCGCCGTTAGAAGAGTGAACGCGACGGAGGCCATGGCTGCACTGGAGCTGCAATGTGTGGACGTGGTCGAGCCGGGACGATTAGAGAGTCTCAATCATCGCATCTTGCGAACCAGTATTTAAGCATAATTCGTCGAACGACTCGTGTTCATCTTATAGCTTGATGCCAAGAGCGAAATGCTACCATCCTCCCCGCACGGCCCCGTGTTCCCCGGCATGGATAGCTTGAGTCGAGCATTAGTGAGGTCATCGCAACTGTTACGCGCACCATTGAAATATCGTTCCGATGTAGGCTATCCACCGAGCTCCGCGCCGAGGATGCGCGTCACAAGACGAACGGGCGGATGCGCCTGGGTAAACAACGCGGGGGAATCAGCCGAATGCGCACACCGGGGGAAGGTTGCATTTAAGAAGAGCGCGCGATTCCGAGTCGGGCGCTTATAAATTTGTGATGTGACCCCGCGATCTGGCCATGTTTTTCTCCACACGAACCGGAGCAGAAACCACATCGGATTTTAAACTTGGCAAACGATTTCCCCGCATCGGAGTCGCAATATTGTTGGGGGTTGCCATGAGGAGAATGAGAGAAATAGGAAACACAGGCGGGATTCGACAGGCCTGCGATGACCAGGGTCACGGATGACACCGACGTTTTCGTGCGGTTACGACTCATGCGCAGATTCCGGGGGTGGGCCGACTTTATCTTCACATGTCCGCGGGTTGCGATTCCAAAGTCGCATTGAAAGAGACAACCCTCTCGTTGTTGATTAAGTTCCTACACAAGCGTCAGAACGCATCGTTCCCAAGTCTTGAGCCATCTCAGCCTAGGCTCTTGCAACTTTGCGAATCCGACTCTCTCGTATGTTTCCTGAGATTCATCGCTCGTTTGTCGAAGTATCAGGCAAAACGCAGGCGATTGCGACCACTCAGTCTCATCGTCCTCTGCTACATCGTCGTCGGTGTAAACGAGCATCAAAAGATAGTCTTCCTCCCGAAAGTAATGAAAGTCGACTTCCCAATCAGCATCGTCACCCGGACGAGTGATGATGCTGAATATGTAGTCTCCACCTTCTGTTTTCATGCGGAAAAGGCTCGCCCAGCCCATTGGAACCGAGTCTTCGGGGCCAGTTGGCTCATCAAAGTTGACAGTTCCAATCGAGTTTGGGTCTAGAATTGTGTCGACCACTTGGCGGCTCCGCACGAATGGTTTCGTCAAGGCTTCCACCACCAGCTTTGCTGAAAGGATCTCGCCGTATGGATTGTCAGGGACCCTAGGGTTGATGCTGTATTCCAGAAGTTTGGCGCTTGATGGCGTCGAATTCAGCACTACCTGTTCCTCAACCGCTTGTGGACCCTCAAAAAGCACCAGGTCATCGGTCACAGCCCATGACCATGATGGTGCTCGATAAGGCTCGTTGACATGCTGACAAAATTTCATCTCTGCTGTCCAGAGCAGGCCTTGTCTGAAATTAGCTGTCCAGATCCCAGCCAGGTATTCACCTCCTATGGCCGGATGAAGTCGCTGGGCCAGACCGGAAAACGCGGGCAGCTTGTCCGAGCCGTATGTCAGTTTTCGTTGCGAGTACGCGTTGACAAGCTCGGAATAGTCTCGAAAAACGGCATCGATGTCAGGCGGTACTGCTTTAGGATGCCGTAGAATGTCGGAGCAAATGACTTTTGCAGCATCCTTGTAAATCGTGTGCGGTGAGTTGTTGCCTGGCGGTAAGCCGTCGGAAGATTTGAAACCTTGAGGACATCTCCAGTAAATCATCTCTTGCCCGTATAAGAGATGCCTTGGAGACAGAATGTACTCCTGAAGGGTCCAACCACGCTCTGCCAGCGCACTGCGCCTATCCAAAGATATGAGGTTCTCTTCCTGTAGATTCTTCCGTATCACGGTGACCTTAGATGTGTCATCATTGCCTCCAAAGACGTCCAAAGTGATGGAAGCACCGAGACTATGTGCTGACTGGCTGGTCTTCAGGATCCCTGACTTGCTATGCCCGGAAATCATCGCTGAGATCGTCACCGTTGAGTTTCGATATACCAGCCCCATTTTCTTGGACTCGACCTCCCAATCCGACTTCGAATCTTGCTGTATGCACAGAGAGTCTATCCACAGATAGCGAATACCAAGATGACGTGTTATTGTGATAGCGTCACGAAAGTTAGCCGGTAATACTTCGATGTCGATGTTCTGTTGGAAGGTGGCAGTTGATTCGGTCGTCAAAAGAGGCGATATTGCTCCACCCCAGCAGTGGCTCAGGGCAACGTAGTCTGCTTTCAAGCCATGGGAGAGAAGCAGACGAACAGAGCCTTCGTTCGGAGAGCTACCGACATCGATGACTCTGCTGGGAAGTTCATGCATCTGATGCGAGAGACATGATTCATGATCGTGGCAGCACTCTGTAAGCCATTCCTTGGCCAGTTGGTGATTTGTCAAGGACCCAAGATCTGGGTCAACTTCGAACCTCCCAATACGGAACGTTTCCACATAAACCGCCTGGTCTGGAATAGAGATGTGAGCTCAGGATCATGACCCTCTGATGGATCTGAAAGCTTCCAACCAACCTTTAGGAGTACTCAGTCTCAATACAAGCTGGGGAAATGACCATAAGCCATAGTTCTCATCTGTCTCAATGTGCAAGGTTCCGACTTGGACAATTATTTCATCAAAGACCTTTACATCCCTCAACCCTTGCGAATCGTACAGATGTGATGTGTTGATGCAAAGTTTAACGTCTGAGACTTCAAGTCCCTTCGCAACAGAGTACATTGTTTGGGGATATCCGTCCGAGAACGCCTTGCCTGTCTCATTCCATTCTTGTGGCCATTCCAGAGGTTGTTCTACGTCGCAAGGTGTCTCCTGGAAGCATTGGAGTATGACTTGACAGAGATCGCAGCCATCGTGAGCTGACTGCTCAAGAGCGCTGAACGAGTCGTGGTGCTGGTAATAGGCATCTCGTGGAAATCTCTGTGCTTCAAAGCTGATCTTGGCGAGCTCGACCAGTGCTTCGATTGATAGCTTCGCGCAGTAGATGCATTGCTTATTCATCTTCGGTTGTGAGTTACCGTCTGTTGGGTGTGCGGCAAAGAGAGCACGAGAGAAGGACTATTGAACGAGTATGCGACGAGCGGGGTTTGAGGGAAGCGCGTTGATGAGTGAGACGTCAAGACTATTGGAAGGATTCAGTGGAGTCGTGTTCTTGCATGGGTAGTTGGCCAATCCCGTCAATAATCGTCCCCCTTGAGTCAAGAACGAGAGTTGATGGCGACTCTTTGATAAAGACTAGCGGACCAAAGACGCACTGAGGGGAAGCTCTGATGCCAACTTGATTCACCCTGTCTGCAATTGTTGAGGAGCAGAATTACTAAGGCTCGGAGATTTCAAGGAAGATATAGGCACCTTAAGTACAGATGATGCGCCAGAATCAATAAATAGAATACGAAGAAACACATCACCAGCTTCCTAAGCGTAGCCTGAGCAGAAGAAAAAGTGCAAAAATGAAAACTAGCACGACCTGGTTTCGATCCAGGGACCTCTGGGTTATGAGCCCAGCGCTCTACCCCTGAGCTACCGTGCTTGTGGGACGTATTGGATGAGCGGTGCCCGAGCATGAGTCTTTCAAGAAGCCCTGGAAATGATTCGCGGCTATGGGTCTGATGGAATGAAAATTTGTGTCAACTCAAATCCGACCAGTGGTTCCACGGACCCACAATAGGCCCGCTGAATCATTTGAGAACCGACCCAAATGAAAACGGCTGCATAGGTTGCCAGTGATCAAAGGTGGTGATACAAGATTGCTTTGTTGAGCAGTGAGTTGCAAATCGTCAAAGGTTTGCGGGCAGTGAAAGATTGTCTCATGTGGTGGATGTTGCACAATTTGGATCTGTGCCACATGGTGGAAGCTGAGGCAACATATGACAGCTCAAACTGACATTCAGTATTTTGTTTTACTTCCTGGAAGTAGTTGCATTGTACTGCAAAACACATTTCCACTTGACTCGCCCGAAGCCCTCATCATCTTCAAAGATCCAAGCTGAGAAGACCATCGAACTCAGCTACCACGATGGCTTGGAACTTCACAAAGGGGGCATAAAGGGGCACCAGGGTCCAGCATCTCGCCAAAGAACGCCATTCTGAGTTTCTCCCTGTGTCCTTCTGTCAGAGATTGATGTCAACATCCGGAAAAGGTACCTGAGACGTCTTGGGTCTCTTTCTCTAATGTAAAGATGAACGGTCTGGGATGCCTCAAACACGGTGCTATGGCACTCGAGTTTGAATCTGAATCCGTCCAATGTTCAAAAATGAGCTGGTGAGACACCAAAAGAGCCTACTTCATTAAATACATCGCGCCGCTTCCACCAGTCGCTCGTCCGATCTGTGCCTCTACAGGATCTTTTCGTGCATTCGAAGATCAGGCCCTCGCCTTGACAGGTACATACCACCTGTTCCCGTCGCAACCATGAGTCTCACAAACCTCGCTATGATTGTCATTCTATCCATCTTTGCGTCTACGACCATAGCCAGGACTTGCCCACTCGAGTCTGACTGCATCCAAAATCTGTGCAAGGATATCACATACGATATTGGTGGACCGGACTATGAGACGCCAATCGTCTTGAATGCCCGCTGCAAGAATGACGCCGGTAACGAAGTCCTCACGTGGATTGACCTTCGATGGTGTATCGGTAACTTTGATGGGTTCCTCAAATGGGCCGATGCGTTGAGTCCTCCTTTTCTTGACCCAGGCATGATTTTTCGGCCTTTCTCCCGGAGACTCTAGGAGGGCGCGCTACGTTTTCCTTGAATCTGACACGAGTTTGTCGGCTTTAAACGCAGCTAACACCATTCTTCCTCAGCGGAGGCCATAAATGCAAGGGCTGTAGATTGCAGCAAGACCCAAAAGAAAGAGGCAGCACTTTGTACTTGTACTGCTTGAATTGCCCGCGAAAAAATTGGTTCTGGAGAGGCAATAATTGGTCATGGGTAGATCTTTGTGAGTATTTCCAAAAGTAGCATGCATGCTCGGTTGGCTAACTTGAGGCGACTGTCTAGCGTACGGCATCTGGGTTAGAAATGGAGTCATTGGTTGTTACGATCACTACGGATCGAAGACCGATAGTTTGAAAACGTTGGGGAAGATCTGAAAACTTCAGCCTGGGGAGTTCTCATGCAAGACACTACGCTAAGAAGTAAGCAGGAAATGATAATGGGCAGCATTGAGGTTGACCAATAGGATTCTTCAACTTCTATCGAAATATTTCCGTTTTAAGTATTTATGAAGGAGAACCTGGCGTTGGTTCTATTACTTGCCGGACGCCGCCTTAGCATACTGCTCGCCAAACGCACCGTACCAGCGGTCAATTACTTCACCAGCCATGCCAGGGCCGATGGTCTCATCACCATTTTCCAACTTCTTTGCAACCTCCTCCATGAACTCATCCACACTCAGAGCGTTAGGGTTGTTCTCCTTCTTGTTGTCATTTGGATCCGATCGTTCCCGGTGAAGATCAGTAGCTACTGTCGGCGGTGCGATTTCCACCACTCTGACCTTGGAACCACCATTTTTCAGCTGAGTGCGGAGGTTCATGCTCCAGAAGTGCAGCCAAGCTTTCGTGCCATTGTAGACCGGGTTGATGATTGAGAATGGAATGAAGCCCAGGACACTCGACACATTGATGATCAGAGCCGATTCCTTCTTCTGCAAGTGTGGCAGTAGGCCCAAAGCCAGATGCATTGGACCGCGGATGTTGATGTTGATTTCTTGATCGGCTTTTGAGAGGAAGTCATCGTCCTTGAGCACCTCGAGGGGTCGCTGGACCCCTGCGTTGTTGACTAGGCAGTCCAATTCCGGATGATCGGTGGTAATCTTCTTGACAAAGCTCGGAATGGAGTCGACATCGCCGGTGTCAAGAACATAGTAGCCTGCAGCTCCAATCTCTTTTGTCGTTTCCTGAAGTTTTGACTCGGTGCGGCCAGCGAGAAGAATCTTCTTGCCCTTTGAGATGAAGTGTTGGGCCATGACCTTTCCGATGCCACCAGCGCCGCCGGTAATGACGGTGCATTGGAAACCGAGACTGTCTTTCGTTGGTGCCATAGTTGTTGCGGCGAATGGTTCACAATAGGGATATTGGAGAAGCGATGCGTTTTGGCTGGGATATAAAATGTTTGAAGCGGCTTTTATCTGTGATGGGAAGTCGCTTGAAGAAGTTCGTTGCTTCATTCTTCCTCGAGCGATGAAGTCGAATTCCGTCACCTTTTTAATTCCATATGTCGGGTGGTGACGCCAGGGCTTGTGTCGGCGACGTCATTCATCGCGCTAAGCATATGCTGGGCTCCGTGATTTCGCAAATACTTGAATAAAACACCTATATCAGCTCAGAATTAGTAATTCATTGCCACGGAGTTCTAAAGATCATTCAAAGAATGCCAGCCACGCAGCTTCTAATAGCCTAAACGTATAACGGAGAAGGATCCTGGACAGAGCAAACTGCCCACCCGAACGGGTCTAAGGTGGATATCGGCTATATGGTATGCATGCTAACTCGTTTGAGGCTCCATTGAAGGAACCTAGACTTAGTAAGTGGGATCAAACAACCTAGTGGCCCCCTCAAAATGGATCGACGGGATGATATTGCATTGTGAGCCAAAATCTGATGAGGCTCTTCAACTGAGCGATCGCTTGATTTCGTTGGAATCGCCCATGTTATCCACGCTGCATGATGATATCGTATTCCCAGAATTGTGTCTCAAGCTCAAAGTACTCTATTCACGATTCCGATGCTGATTTAATTTTTCTTCTAGTTACATTTAATGAGTTGACATGTACAGGTCTGCCCTCTCCCACGCACCGGAAATCTTTTTTCGTTACTCTCCATAAATGACTTTCGGCTTGAATGTTTCTTTCTAGTAATGTTTTTGGGGGTAGTGAAGTCCTATTCTCTCGTCTGTAGTTTAACTCTTGATGCGGGCCCATCAACATCCCCAGTTAAGACTCAACCCCCACCAGGGTTTCGTCACTCCCACAACCCCATCGACCCGCCCTCAAATCTTAGCGTCTCTTTTCGTCGACATCTTCAACAATTCAAATGGTTTCGTGGTGTAGTTGGTTATCACGTCAGTCTAACACACTGAAGGTCTCCGGTTCAAGTCCGGGCGAAATCATCTTGGGCGAATGGTTTAGTGGTATAATACTCGCTTAGCATGTGAGTGGTCCAGGGTTCGATTCCCTGTTCGTCCAGTCTTTTGCCTCGTCGCGTTGCGAGCTGCTTTTTGTGTCGATTGGGAATATTGGTGGATATGTAGATGGGCGTGGAGCGCTGGATACGGACGTTATGAGCGTATGTACCCATACGCCCACCTGTAAGTCTGAGTTTAACACTAGTAAGACTGTGCACAGAGATCAAATGTACATCATAGACATTACTCTTAGTTCTATTTTGCTTCTCTAATGTTTGTGCCCACGGTGCTGCATACTTAGGCGTACCCCAAACAGAAACTCTGATTTACAGAATGTCATCCGGCTTGACGATAACCCAGTTCTTGTCGGCAGTAACGGGGAGGCCCAGCTTCGTCTGCTCGGCCGTGTACTCCTCGATCATGCCGTTCATCTCCTCCATAGCACTGTCCTTGCGGTTGATCCAAAGGTGGATGCCGCCCTTGGAGACGTCGACGCCCTGGAAGATCATGGGACCATCGCTGGCAGGGGTATCGCCACCGGCGAGAATAGGCTTCTTCCACTCGTCAATGTAAGTGAGAATGGCAGCCCACTTGCCCGTCATCCACGTCGCAGGAGTCCATAGGTAGGGGGTCATGACGAGACCAAGGTTCGCCTCCTGATCGTAGGTGCCCTCGGTGATCTGCTTGCGGGAAGTCGTGAGCTCGCCAGAGGTCAGGTTCTTCATGACGAGAGTGACACCGATAACGTTCTCGGGCTTGACGTTGTAGCCATACTTGGGGTCGGAGGCAACCATGCGGACGAGCTCCTCGCCGGAAGCGGTGATGACGTAGACGTCAATGCCGTTGTTCATCAGCTTGTTGTAGAGCTCGACCTGACCGGTGAAGATCTTGGGAGGAGACACCTCGGTGGGGGTAATGACATCGCCCTCGTAGTAGGTGGTCGAGATGGTGGTGTTGAGCGCCATGAGCTCGTCCACGTAGCCCTTGAGCTCGCTGAGAGGAATGCCGCTAAAGATCTGGGCCGCAAAGGGGTAGCACAACATGTCGTCAATGTCGCACAGGCGGAGGTAGTAGCTGTACATCGTCTCGGTGTAGTTGGCCGTGTCCTTGAAGGGGACCAGCTTCAGCGAGGGATCCATGGCCTCGCGAGTGATGACACCCTTGCTCTCGAGGAACGGCAGCAGCGACTCCTCAAGATCGAAGCGCCAGCTGGTGTTGTCCATGTCGAATACGGCATAGTTGCTCTGGTTGGCGTTGGCAGCAATCATCGCGTTGAGGGACTTGGCAGCCTCGGCAGGCCAGGTCTTCAGCTCGGGGCCAACGGTGTGGTTGCTGGCATAGACCGAAGGAACGGCCGCGACGCCACGGGCGAGGGCCAGCCCGAGGGAGGCAACGACGGGGTTGACGGAGGTCTTCATCTTTCCTTGCGGTGATGGCGTTGTCGAGCTTGTGTTCTTGAGGGTAGCTGCGCCTTGCCAAAACTTTGAGACCAGTCTGAGAGAACGATGCCGGCAGAGATAAAGAACGGAACGGAAGGGGACGGGAGGGAGCGGGAGAAACCTCCATTTTCAACGGCGGCCGGGCCGTTGTCACGTTAGCAAAATGCAGGCGTCGATTGGACGAAGGCGACCCCGAATTTCGGCTTCACTCAATTCAGGGAATCATGGTCTCTCCTGTTCGCTTACCGCGCTGAGTCTAGTAGATACTGGGGTCGCCAAGGTACCGGACTCGAATGCGAGTGTTGGCGTTCGTTGGCGATGGTGTCGCGACGTCGCGTAACATCCACTTTGTGGGGTTCCCAATTTCCCCGGCTTGTCTTGGTCACATTTGTGACGTCGAGCGGGATTATTGAAATGAGAAGCTGATAAGCTTTTCGTAATCCAGTGGAGTGCTCATGGCCAACCCGATAAGAAATGAGCGCGAGTCAAGCCTCATCGCGGCTCGAGTTCTTCGAAGTCTTCAGCTGTGTTGCATCGGATGAACCGTTGTTCAGCCCTATGCCGCAGCGTGGGGATGATGCACGAGTTGCCAAGGCCAAATATGTGCATCAGGGGACCCGGACTCGCCAACCCGAAGCAGAAGGGTTCAACCAGGGCCCTGGTAGCATCGTTATCACTCGGACGGCTTCACGTCTGAGTCCGATCAGGTGATTCAAAAGATAAGACTCGAAGAGCTCGTGGTTGGATCGGGAAACTGGTCGCGTGCCCGGGAAACACTTGGTAATACCTTGGTAGCAATCATAGCAATGCGGCGTCAGCCAACGGAAGCCAAGATCCGTATGTGTACATGTTTCCGGATATTCGGCTTGGCTGCATACAATCTAAGTTGTGGCTGACTCGTAGCATCTTCTAGAAAACAATTGTTGTTGGTGGCACATTTGAGGAACGCCGATATTGGAGAGAGTCTCGATCTTGGGAAAACCCAGCCGCGGATTGAGCCATTGAGCGCGCCAGGTTGAGCTATCACGGGAGGCATCGATAACCCCACTCGATACAGGACCTGAGAAAACAACAGCAGCAACAACAACAGGCCTATGATACATGAGTTTTCTGTGCATTCAGAACTCACATGGGATGCCCTGATCGTGGATATGCATACAATTGCATGTTCAAGAACTGCGCATGTCGATGGCCAAGCGTCGTCAGGATCCATGTCGCTTGACGCTCGGGACACTTGATGTTTATCTAAACAGAGAAGAAGTTGATTCAAGGTTATATAGAGGTCGTTCTCATCCAATAATCTCCGTCCAGTCATAAATTCAATCACCCCAAGCGAGTGAGAGAAGAATTGAGCAGCGCTCTTCCAGATGTCGACATCGGGCATCGGGGGATCGCCCGGGCGATCAACCCCGCAGGGCCGACACAACACCACCCGATTCCCGCTCCAGTAAGATGTTTTGCCCGATGTTTCCACCGAGAAATCAGGCAGACTGCGCCGTTCCAGAAGAAAGAAGGTTTCGTACGACATCTTGTCCCGAATGAAAGGCCGGGGAATCTGTCCATTGCCAACTCTTCCCGCAAGAACATTACGCTAAGCCTTGGCCCGCTCCACGACACATTCGACTTAAAAGGCTAGCCCGGGATCTCACGATCTCGCATCAAGACATTTGTCGTAAGTGAGTAATTCATTTAGAAAGAGGAGTTTTGTTTCCCACCAAACCCACATCATCAACAACATGGCCCCTGGTACAATCATCGACCAGACCCCTGCAGACCGCTTGTCTTCGAACAAGGGCGCTGCTTACGCCGAGTCCGACAGTACCACGGAACTGAATGCTGATAGCGACACTAGCGTTTCTGAGACCGGAGGCCGGACTGCTTCTAGAATCAAGATGTCTCGGTCCAAGTCAACCAAAGACCAACTGAATGGCCTGTTCGAAGAAAATATTACGGCCAAGATCTTCAAAACGGCAACGGGTTCTCTGGTCAACAATGTGAGCATCACGAAGTCAAGGGATGATGACAAGTTGCTCATGATATCCAGAATCCCCCAACAGCATACCCCGAGTATGTGCTCCAGACGGGCCCCGAAGCGGGGAAATACCACCTGCGAGAGGCGTCCTTTTGGACATGCGGTTTCTTCCCTGGGAGCATTTACTCCCTCATCGAGAGACTAGTCAAGTTCCCTCAAACGATGCCAGGTGGTACCGAGAAGGCTGCGTTGCTCTCAGAACTTTGGTCACTCGGCGCCGCATGGTCAGAACCGCTCCACGAGACGGCAAAGCGAACAGACACCCATGACATGTCTTTCATGATTCAGCCATCAATGAGAGTAAGATGGGAGGTTGCACAAGACAAGCAAGCTTTGAAGTCCATCATCACTGCCGCGAAAGCTCTTCACACCCGGTACAACGACACCGTTGGAGCGATGCGGTCGTGGGACGCTCTGACCCAACATGGTGTTACCATCACAAGTTTGACTGATGACTTTCTGGTTATCATCGACTCAATGTGCAACCTCGATCTGTTGTACTACGCAGCATCTCATACAGGTGAAACCTATCTGTGGGACGCGGCGACTAAGCATGCGAAAACACTGATCAAGTCGAACCTGCGAACGGAAAAGGATCCCAGAGGCCTTGTTACTGGCCCATTCTACAGTACCATTCATGTCATTAACTTCGATCCCAACAACGGCGAAATCAAGGAAAGACGCACCGGCCAAGGATACAAGGCCGAGTCCACTTGGGCGAGAGGGCAGGCATGGGCCATCTTGGGCTACGCCCAGACTTTCCTGTGGACTGGCGACAAGGAATTCCTGGACGTTGCTCTCGGATTGGCTGAGTACTTCATCTTCCGTCTTGAGAATTCGCCAAAGTCGGTCGAGTTTCCCGTTGAGGGAGAAAACCGCACAAAGGGCCGCTACGTCCCCCTCTGGGATTTTGATGCACCCATTGAGGATGAGGCCAATCCCTTGAGAGACTCTTCGGCCGGCGTTATTGCTGCCAACGGCATGCTCGTTCTCTCTCAAGCTCTGGCAGGCCAGGGCCTCAACGAAGAGAGTGTAAAATGGCGAGGCATGGCTACTCTCATTATTAAGGATACCCTAGACTTCTCGCTGGCCGCTGAGAAGGCGAAGTTTGTTTTCGAAAATGGCAAGATCACGACCATTGACACGGAAGAGGGCAAGACCTTTGAGGCCATTCTGAAGAATGCGACGGCGAACCACAATGCACGGGACCACAAGAGATACTGGGACCATGGGTTGGTATATGGCGACTACTATCTTATTGAATTCGGTAACAGATTGCTGAAGATGGGACTGGTCTGAATATGCATTGATAGACAGGGCAAACTCGGGTATCTCAAATAGACTTCCTACCACCGTCATTACTTCCTACCATACCTTAGAACAAATCACTCCAATCGTGAGTTATCTACTTGATTCCACCCACTCACTGACATACCGGACTGTCCTGGGTTTGCAGTTTGCGCTGTAAACATCATGTCATCGAAACTGATGATTCTGTCCATCTCCATGAATCTCTGATCCATCAGCATATGCGAGATGGCGGAAAGCTCATCGGGCGCATCCGATTCACGAGGAGTAAATCCGGTGATGTTAAGCGGAGAACCCATTGGCCCGATCATGGACCCTTGGCGAAGCTGGTTTGGTGACTGCTGAGTGGGAAAGATTGGGGGCGGTCTCGATTGCGATGCGGCGGACGTCTGGTGAGGTGCCAAGGGGCTCGATGAAGGGGGCTGAGTCGCCTTGGATGGTTGTGAGAAGAGCGCGTTTCCCTGATGGTGGCTGAATCCTGGCGTCTGGGCAGATGGACTGCAACCTTGGCCGCTGATACCGCTGGAGTAACCCAGAACATCGACTGTGAACTGGGAGTCCGTCTCACACTTGTGATGAAGCTCCCGTAGTTGAGCAGCATACTTGCCGGCAAGACACAACCCATGCTTCTCTCGAAGAATTGGGCCGACCCAACGCTTGGCCATTTCCTCCAGTCCTTCCACGAGCAGCCAGAATTCTGAGACAAGGTCCGCATCATAATAACGCCAATGTACTACATATCGTTAGACAGTGAATCATGGATCCTCTCTTCCCGGCTATAAACTTACCAAGCAGGACCCTTGCACTGATGAAAACGCAAAACGCGAACTGACTGGTTGCCGGGCTGTTCTCGGGTGTGTATTTGAGGTACTTCTGGGTGATAGTTGCAGTCTCAACTGCTGCAATCTGGCAAGTTTCCGCACTGCAAAAGCTAGGAAGCTTCACAATATTCGACCACCGAGCCTCTGGATACGCTATGCGCTGGTGAAGTAGGATCATTGATGTGTTGTGGGTGACGTGCGCCAAGGTCAAGTTGGGATCCATGTTTATAAGGGCTGGTTGTCTAGAAATATTGGAGTCCTTCCATTTCTGAGGCAGAAACATCTTCCAACTGTTGCATGTCAGTATGGTCATCTGCGCATTACTAATGGTGAAACTCACTGAACAAGACGAAGGTCCAACTCCTTGAACCGTGTGAGCCAGCTGCTAACTTCTTGACGGTCCTGAAAGTTGATCTTCTGCTGGAGGAAGTAGGTCGTCACTCGACTCAACGACTCGGTTGCCTCGATACAGTAAGCAAAAGCGCCAACAGTAGTCATATCGACAGTGTTGGGTCCTTTATTTGGGTTTGCAGACACTGGCGTTTGCGGCGGCGCATCGGCTGTCTGCTCCGGGCTTGGATAGTGTGCGGGCAAGAAAGCGATGGAATTGCCTATCTTTGCAGCCGACCGGTCCCAAATGCCAAAATACGGGGTAATAACCGACTCTTCCTTGTGCCAAAGGCCTCCATCTGCAGGTAGTCTGCGGTGGACATCGTCGGAGGTCAAGCTCGTGTTCCATCTACAAGGATGTTAGACACCCACGATTGCTGCCAGTGTTGAACATTAAAACTTGAGTGCTTACCCTGTGGTGACTGAACAAAACCTAGGCTAGTTAGCTTCCAACGTCGACAACTTATGAATGCAGAATATTTACCTGTCCAAGTTGAAGATGTTCCAAAAGACTCTGCGTCTTTCTTCCTCTTCAGTCCAGTTTTGTGGCGGATCTATCGAGGGCAATGGCTTCAATAGAGGCTCTTTTTCGCGGTGGTCCGACTCGATGCTCAACTGGAGGTACTCGACAGTTCTTGTTAAGGACCCCACGATTGACCATGCCTTGGATGCATCGCCGTTCCCGATCTGAACCTGAACGTTAACAGGAGTCCACTTGTTCCTTGTAAGAAGACTCACATCACAGAAAGCAATTATGATAAGTGCCTGAAGATTCTCCACAGACAGATGGTCCATTGCGTTGAGAACCACGATGCTCCTGGACCTTGAAGTGCGGCGCTCAACTTCTTGGGCCGAGAGGCGGGTCTCGGGGTTGTCAACGAACCGAAGAGCACCAACCACCATCGCGTGCAGGACCACGACCAATCGTGGAAGTTGTTCTGGATCGTGAACTCGTCGTCGAAATTGAGTCTCATGCAGTATTGGAATCCATGGCTGAATGATGTTGAAGTGAATGTTGATGATATCTTCCAGGAGCTCTGGTGACGGCAAACTTGTGGTAATATTCTCGAGGTCTTCGAGGGGAAACGCGAGATCGATATTGGGATTGCCGCAGCTATCAACGCGTCTCCTTTTCCGGGGCTGGTTGTGAGGGTGAGACACTATCTCCAGCCCATCGACCGTGTACCTTCGGGATGAACTGGACGTCGTGGGGGACAGCACCGCATGGTCGCCAATGCCATCGGGACTGCCTGCTTGAGAGCCTACTTTGGTCTTAGAACTGAGCTTGTGCAACTCACGAGCCAGCAAAGACAAAATGCCGACAACGTTCTGAGACTCCGTAGGCCCGCTGCTCGACTCTCCACTTCCGCTCGAGGTCGGAAATTGCAGACCTTGCTCTGATTTGTTCAACAGAGCATTCTCCAATACCTCTGAGCAATCATTAGTTCATCCGCGTGTTTGGTACGTGACAAAATCGGATGACAGTTTAACTACGCACCTACTCTTCGATTCAAACTCTCCACCGCTCCAGGCTTGATTCCAGGCTTGTTCTTCTTCAGGTCATAAACACAAGGTGAATCTAGCCAATCAGCATCTCAAGTTCGCAGGTGAGACATCGGCGGAGCCCGCCGGCCGCATGAGTCCGACGTACCCAATCGCTTGCAGTGCGAACATGTCGGCTGGTCGCGCGAGCAACGGAGCTTCCGGCGCCGACAACCCTGGCAAGATGGGATGTCGTTCTCGGAGGACCCATCGTTGGGTTGCTGCGTTGCGGATGCCGATGTGGCCAGCTCCATGGCCTCGAAGAGGATCGCCGGGCAGCGGGTTGGCAGACGGCAGTGGCCGGCGGCACGGGTGGCCGGGCTGAGGGGTCGCGAGCGATGATCGGCCGTAACAAGGAGCACAAGCGAGGACGGGCGCACACCGGGCGCAAGTGCAGCGCGTCTGTGTCTTCCCGTCGGTTTTGCGTGAGAATCGTCGGCCAGGGAATCGTGCGACGCGACGATGCAGGATGTGGGCAAAGAGGGTTTTCCGCGTTTATGAGGTGGGAATTTGGGGGCGCTTGTGGGGGAACCGGGGGCCCTTCATCGTTCGGTTGCAAATCGCCGAGGGACTTTGAACGCCGAGGGGGCTAACTGATCAAGGTGATCTCGCCTCTTGGTTTCTTCGCTCTTCTCCCCCTCAGACGGAGAGCGAGACCAGAACGGAGCTTTCCCCGCATTCTCGGCTTCGTGGGACCGGGGTGATAGCAAACAGTGGGCAGTTTCGTGGAACGAGGTTGGTGCGGAGAAACTGGAGAGACGACAGGGGTCACGTCGAATAAGCACCCCGGTGAGCTTTTGCCCGATGCCCGGCGCCACGCGAACCGCTCACTGCCGCCCGACTGGAGTTCGTGTGGGAGGAGAATTGTGGCTTTGGCTGGGGTAGCGTAGATCAGATGAACGTCGTATCGACGGCTTGTTCACATAAAAAGATACGAGGACGGCGTGGAGTTGCATCTCCAGTTTTTTGGCGTCGGCTCCAGAACCACGGCCTCGGATCTTCTGAGTCCTCCGTGCAGAATTCTCCTCGTTTACAGATACTTTAGGTGAAAGCAGCAATGGTCACAGCGGCATCGACCACAGTCTCAATGGAGACTTCTCAACATCAACATGCGACGACGGAACATCATGTGGCTAAGGACGCAGCGGTCCCAGCTGTTGCTGCGTCAACGGTGATGGAGGAGGCCGGCGAGACTGAAAATCAAGCACCGAAGCGTTCCCTCTGGATCGCATGGCTTTACATGTTCGACTGGTATCCTTCACATCTTTCGAAACAGGAGAAGAAGTTTCTGCGAAAACTTGATGCTTTTCTGCTCACGTTCACATCACTAGCCTTCTTCTTGAAGTGGCTGGATTCTTCCAACATCAACTCCGCTTACGTCTCTGGCATGAAAGAAGAATTGAAGCTTTTTGGAAATGAGTAAGATACTGAGACAAACCGCAACTAGTAGATTGACGGCAACTAACAAAATGAGTGCAGATACTCCATGTTCCAAACGTTCTACAACATCGGCTACATCATCTGCCAAGTCCCAGCAATGCTACTACTTTCCCGACCTAAATACTCCCGATACTTTCTGCCAACTATGGAGGTACTGTGGAGCATATTGACATTTGCTCAATGCAAGCTTCAAACCGCTCCTCAGATCTACGGCACCAGGTTCCTACTCGGCGTACTCGAGACCCCAGTTGCATCAGGTTCTCTGTTCATTCTATCCTCATGGTATAAGCCTGAGGAACTCTTCAAGCGCGCGGGCTTGTGGTATGTGTATGTGAACACGAACAGACTTCCCCCCATCCTCGACATCGCACTGACACTTATCAGATCAAATAACATTGGTGTGATGTTCGGTGGATATCTTCAAGCGGCAGCTTACAAGAACCTAAACGGGGTTCATGGTATGGCAGGATGGCGCTGGCTATTCATCATCGACGGCTGTATCAGTCTTCCCATCGGCATCGCTGGCTACTTCATTTTCCCCGGCATGCCCACCAGCGGCAAGCCTTGGTGGCTTACTCAGGAAGAACATGAAATCGGCCAACGAAGAATGCGAGAGGAAGGCATCGAAGAGCCCAAGAAGATCAGCATGCAGATGTTCAAGCGCGTTTTTGGTCACCGGCATTGGTACATTGGCGTTCTCGCCTATGTGTTGTTTCTGTCAGGAGCGTACCCTCACGGTTCGTGATTTCATTTACCACATCATCGCATGATGTATTTCGCCAGGCATAAGCTGATGCACTCACCATATAGGCCAGATGGCTCTATGGCTCAAAGATCAAGCAGACAAATGGGGCATTTATACGGTGCCACAGATCAACACCATCCCCACAGGAGCTCAGGGGGTTTCAGTCGTGGCGGCAGTATTGGCCACATCCCTGTGCATGGTGTATCCCACATGGGTCATCTTCCAGATCGTAATGGCGATCTTCATGTTTGCGAACATCGTGCAAATGGTTTGGTTCGTGCCGCATGGCCTGCACTTTGTGTCTTACTATCTCTTCGGCGTCAGTGCAGCCGTCACGCCCATCTTGGTACCAACCGTGAATTACTGGCTCAAGGATTCGGCTGAGGCACGCGCATTCTGCACAGGAAGCATGCTGGTAAGTAGCTTATACTTTCAGAGATTCGAAAAAGCTAACAAGAAATACCAGACGCTCGGTTTCGCGATCTCAAGCTTCTACCCCCTTGTCGTCTTTCCAGTGGTAGAGGCTCCCCGATGGAGAAAGGGCTACATCGTCAACTTCTTCTTCATTCTAGGATGCTGGGCTTCTCTCACGACTGGTTTCTTCCTATATCGTAAGCAAGAGAAGAGGCAGAAACAGCTGGATCTTGACGAAGAGAACCTTAAAGGTGCTGATGTCAAGCACGTGGATTAGCTACCCTAGGCAACTACTCATGTGAACGAACAATAAACAAATCATTTGTATAACTTGTTGCTCGATTCAGTTGGTGACCCACAGGTCGTAAGGGTGCCGTTGAGCCGTATGCCGGCAACCAACATAAAGAATGAGCATCCGGCAGATCACACAAACGCCGGAGAATCACCCGGTCATTCGCCCGACGCCCGATTTGATTTGTGGAACTCATTATCCGTCCCCTCTGTCAGGACGAAATAAGACCTAGCAAGGTTGCAATAACTAGTTGCGGCTCTTTTCGCCATCCCGAATAATTCATGCTATTCCAAACTCATCCAAAATGCCACCCCTGCCAGGCTTCTCAGACAACCCTTTCCGGACCCGATCGGACCTAATCTGTGCCACGCTTGCTCTCCTCCGGCCGCTGATACCCCACTTCTCTCCGTCCAAAGCCCGAATCCGGATCCCAGTCTCAACGGCGACGCACTTTGACGAGACAGCAGCCCAGCTTGAAGGGTTTGCAAGACCACTGTGGGCGGTCGGGGCTCTTCTTCTTGGGGCTGAATCAACATCGGATCCAGACTTGGCAAACTCAATCAATGAAGTGGTTCAACCGTGGATCGACGGCTTCGTTGCCGGGACTGATCCAGAACATCCAGAATACTGGGGAAAGATCAACGATATGGACCAACGCATGGTTGAGGCCGAGACTATCTCATTTGCCTTGCTGTCCGCCCCTGAGAGGATCTTCGCTCCACTAAGCGACCAAGCCAAACAGAATGTCACGAACTGGCTTAGTACCCTCAATGGGATGGAGATGCCCAAGAATAACTGGCGTTGGTTCCGAGTCTTTGGTAACCTAGCGCTCAGCAAAGTCTGTGGTGTTCCATTCGAGGACGTCCGAGACGAGTTGAACTCGGACCTAGAGCTTTTGGATACCTTCTATCGCATGGATGGATGGTCAGCCGATGGACCTTGGCAGACCGCCGAACAGGCCCGCGATGAGCTTGAGCAATTCGGAAAGACGGGGAGACGTGATGCCATTGGAATTGGGCGCCAGGCAGACTACTACTCTGGCAGTTTTGCCATCCAGTTCAGCCAACTGCTTTATTCACGTTTTGCTGCAGATCTAGACCCTAAGCGAAGTGCGGTCTATCGCCAGCGTGCTAGAGACTTTGGGGCTACTTTTTGGAGATATTTCGACGCTGATGGTAAGTATTGCGATTTCCGAGTTTAGAAGAAGAATAGGTTGCGTCTAACTATTCGAAGGTGCCGCTATCCCCTTCGGGCGATCCCTGACTTATAGATTTGCCTGCGGTGGCTACTTCGCAGCCGTGGCTCTGGCCCAAGTAGAGGACTTGCCAGCAACTCTGAATACACCCGGTGCCGTGAAGGGGTTCTTGATGAGACATCTTCGATGGTGGGCCGAGAACTCCAGAGACATCTTCTACCCAGATGGAACTCTTAATATTGGATGGTTGTACCCGTAAGCTTTCACCCGTTTTCTTCTAGTTTAAGGCTGTTCCAGTCATTGGCGACTTCATGATGATGAGCCCTAACCTCGGCATCAAATCCCCTTCAGTTGTGAATGGATGGAATGGGTTCGTAGGAGGTACTGACATCAGAGTCAGGAACATGTTCATGTGTGAGGATTACAACTCACCGCAGTCCCCCTACTGGTGCCTGAAGACTCTTATTGCCGTTGGACTCAGCGAGAACGACTCGTTCTGGACTGAAGACGAGTCGTCATACCCTGAATCGGCGCCTTCGGACTCAGTGACTGTCGTTCGGGCTCCAGAACAGATTCTCTGCAACCATCCCAGCAGCAACCACCACTTCCTCCTCTCGCCGGGCCAATTCGTCGCATGGCCAATGAAAGCAAACCAGGCAAAGTATTGCAAATTTACTTACTCTTCGGCTTTCGCCTTCTCTGTGCCGACAGGCCCCCTCATCCAACAAATTGCGCCCGACAATGCCCTGGCTCTCAGCAAGGATGGGGGCGACACCTGGGCAGTCAAGTGGAAGTCCGATGAAGTGAGATTTTCAAGAGCTCATCTCAAAAGTTCTTTAGGTTCAGAAAAGGTGCAAGTGGCGAGCGCTGTCTGGTATCCCTGGGGCGATCGTGCGGTCACCGTCGACACGACACTGATCCCGCCGACGAACCGTTGGCCAGACTGGCATGTGCGAATCCACCGGATCAAAGCGAGTGAGAGATTGAAGACATTGCATACGGTCGAGGGCGGGTTCGCTATTTTCAGTCGCAAATCGGCCGACGGCATGCCACTTCCTGTCACTGATACCATCTCAGATGACGCTACACTGGGCGTAACTGAGGCAATCATTCAAAAGAAGGGTTCAGTGCTGATACTATCCTCCGCTGGTGCGAGTGGGGTGGTCACGAAAGGTCTCGTTGGCAGTGGAAGAACTTCAGACTGTTCCTCCCTCAAGCCAGATTCAAACACAAACTTGGCATCCCAGCGAACAATGATCCCAGTCACATCCCACAGCGTTGCTGAAGGTATCGAGGCTGGATCTGAGTTCGTTCTGGTCGAGTCAATATTTGCAATTTCTACAAAGGCGAATGGCGGACGGGGTCTGACCGGGAAAGGACTGCAACAGCGTTGGATAGATGTACCGCTTGTCCGCGTTGGAAGTCATCCTGCGTCCAGTGGAGAGGAGGTCATTGCGGTTGATGTGTGATATGGAACGCATTGGACCACAAGGTCTTCGGAAAGGAGGCGACGATTGCATTGTATGAAGGAGACGTGGATTATTTGGTGAGGTTTAATGTATGTTATCATGCCTCCTGACACCGCTTACATCCACAATCGAAACCCCAATTCTTCCTCAGGATCGCCATCCTGGCATCCCTTGGCATATCTTTCTCTTCGCCGCCCAAATAGGTGATATTCATCTCCTCTCCACTCGCAATGTTCTTTGCAGCCCTGAACTCCCATACCCTGTCTTCCCTCCTCTTCACAATGTTCGGGCCGCAGGAGTGGTTGAAGTAACTAGCCGATGGCCAGCACCCATAACCAAAGAACTCAGACCCCTCGTCTTCCAACGAGCGGATACCGAATGAGTTATGGCTGTCGTGCGAAATGAGTTGGTGTAAAGTCTCCCGGGTGGCGAGGGAAATAAGTCGGAGAGGAAGAATGGCGAGCAGATGCAGATAAGTGCGGGTGAATGCCTTCAAGTTGTCTGCATTGCTGTACGGCGTTGAATCCACAGCGAGCGACAGCACATGCTCCCACTTGTCGGGGTGGTTGTACCGGGCGACGAGGCCGCTAACGCAAAAGCTCATGACGTCCGGCTGGATTGGTTGCTGGAGCGCCTTTTGAACAGCTTTGCGGTGTTGCTTTGTGATCTTCACGCCCTCGCCACCCAACTCCGCCATCCTTGACGCCCGGACAAGTTCTGCCTGTGCCTTGGTCTCCTCCCAGGCCTCTGCAATTTCATTTGCTTGCGGCCGGGGTAAACCAATGTCAACCAGTTCATTATCCTCTTTACCCCTCTTCTTGACCAGCTTCTCGACTTCAGTCCATGCCTGGACGCCAAGCTCACCAGTTTCCTGGTGCCACTTCTTCTGGCATTCCTCCGAGCAGAAGGCGAAGCCCACGACCTGATCCCGAATGCGCAGGTCTCGGCCGTAGTCATACGCGAAGCACTGTCCGCAGACCTCGCGCTTGTACTCGCGGAGGAGGGCGAAGACTGTGAGGTCCTCTGCACGCCAGAGGAGGGTGTCGGCTCCGATATCTTGGGTGGCGAATACGGCACGACCGGCTGTGGGTGTGTCGCGTACTTCGAACAGGGGCGAGATGGGTGCTCCCGGGAGTTGTGCTTTCGAGAGATCGTCGGAGGGAGCTGAGGAGGCGGAGGAGGGTCTCGAGGCGCTCGATGCTGGATAGCTCGTCAGTGAGGCGGCGGTATCGCTTTCGAGGAGGTCGATGGTGGGGTTAGTTGTCGATTGAGACATGTTGTCGCTGTCGGTAGCGGTCATAGTGAGCGATTGTAGGTTAGCCGTGAGTGAAGCAGCCATGTTGAATTTGGTGATGTCCACAGTGAATGAATGCACGTTAGTCGCGGGTGAATGTGGTGATATCAATGCACACGATCTGAGCAATGTGGTGACACGCGGGGTCAATAGGCGTCTGCAACCGGGGCAATTGAGTCTCTGTGGTCAATCTTGGTAGCACTGATGATGCAAGATAGCAATGCAAAGCGAGTGAAGTGTGTTCAACTCCTAGAGGCACGTATACTGCTGCTGGAAATGAGTAATTGAAAGAATGCCATGCTGCAGAAAAGGTGATTTGAGGTATGGGCAATTTGTCTTGGAGGGGTAAAGGGAACGGAGAAAAGCGATGAAGTAGGTGGCGGTGGGTTTATAAATCTCGTGGGTGGACCCGGACCCTGAGATTGGAAAAGCTGACTCTGGACTAGCGTGAAGCAATTCCGATAAGCGAGCTGGGTGCTGCTTGCGGATTGGGAAAAAATCTGTCGTGTTTCGGGGTTAACGACTTGTTCAACGGTCCAGACTCTTCGGGGGCAAGGTCTCAACAAGCGGTGAAGAACACAGATAGCCGCCCACACATGGTGCTGCAAAAAGTTGAACACGACATTGAATGTCGAGTTCTGGCGGCGACAAATCCAACAACGCCAGAGACATGCAGGTTGAAACATTTAAGCTTCGGATGAACTATGGTTTGAATCAAGGTTTCAGCCTCAACCCGTCAAGGTGAAAGACGCTGCTGGACAACGACTAACACAGAAAATTCTGGTTAAATGAGACGGGAGTCCTTTGATTGGTCAATTTGAAAGAAAGAGACAGAGTCTTTTACGCGAGAAGAAGACAAAAAAGAGACAGAGTCCTCGGGCATTTGGTGGTGAAGAGTGACAAAAAGGCCTCGCACAATTGGTCAGGGAACCCCTGACCAATCACATGCTTGCGACCGATCACATGTTCATAGATCCAGTCCATGAGCATCCTACATAGTTGCTACTGGACATCGCCATATACCCCGATCTTTCAGAGCTCATCGACGAACATGAGTCGAGGAAATGATTCTTTTACTCCTAAAATTTGCGTGTCGTTCAACAAAGGAAAGCTTGTGGCTGTGTAGAAAGATATCACGAAGTCATACACGAAGGTCTGCTCCAGCGACCTGTCCAAGTTAATTATCTGATATTTAAGCTGCTGGCAAAAATTGCGATTTTCGTGGGGATGGCGCTGTATTTCGTTTTTTCTTGGAGCCATTAGTTGCTTGAAGTGCTCGATTACAAATGGGGACAGCGGAGTTTTTGGTTAGCGGAGTTTCACCAAACGTGAGTCTTACCGTCTTACAAATCAGGAAGGCAGATCGTAGCTTACTTCTGCGTGCCGTCACTCCGACTTCGTGTGCTCGATCTCATCCTATCATGAATTCGATCATTGCTGACAGCAGTCAACAAACCTTACCCCATGTTATTCCCGGCTTCGTCAAACGTTCACCACAAAGACTATCTGATATATCATGCGGCGGAGATTGGTCACCTCTTGCATGATGGTACGGTACCCGCAACCCGACGAGGTCATATAAGGCTCCCCCATTCTCGATTCTCGTGAAATGAGATTTTGCATTCATTCCGTTACAACAGCATCTTCTCTCCTGAGAACACAAGTCATCACTGTCTTCCTCATCTCAACATGGCTTACCCAGAGACCTATCAGTCCATCAGGCGAACTCTCGGCAGCTTACCCCTGAGTATTGAAGCCGCTACGGAGACACTACCCATGACCCTTGGCTCCAACAACGTCGTTATTAAAATTCACGCGGTTTCTCTGAACTTCAGAGACGTCGGCATACTCTATGGACGCTATCCCGCCAAGTCCATAGACGGAGGTATCATCGCATCTGACTGTGCAGCCGAGGTCGTAGCGGTTGGAGACGCTGTTGAAGACTTCAAGCTGGGTGACCACGTTGTGCCTATCTTTGACATCAACGACATCGATGATTACATTGACGATGATGTTGCAGCACTTGGAGGAGATGCTCAAGGTGTTCTTCGAGAGTATGGAGTATTTGAGGCGAAACAGCTCGTTCACCTGCCCGAGTATTTATCCTGGGAGGAGGTATGTTCCTGTGAATGTCCATCTTCAGTGTGAGTGGTTGCTGATGAAAGCTGTTTTTTCAGGCATCCACTCTCGCTTGCGCCGGAGTTACTGCCTGGAACGTGTTGGATCTTCCCAGCGATGCATCCGAAAAGAACATGAGCGTTCTGTTGCAAGGTACGTGATCCTGAATCACACCTCTGTCAACCTTAAGTTAAACTAACCTTCTTATGAGCAAGGGACCGGTGGTGTGAGCATGTTCTCCCTCCTCTTATGCACTGCTGCCGGAGTTCAGCCAATCATTACATCGTCTTCCGACCAGAAGATCACTGCCATCAAGAAGCTTCATCCTTCGGTCCAAGGAATAAACTACAAGACAACACCCGATGTCGCAGCTGAGGTCCGGCGCATTACCAACGGTAGAGGTGTCGACGTCGTGGTCAACAACACTGGTCCAGCATCCATCATACAAGACCTGGATGCTCTGCGCCAGAAGAACGGCCATGTTTCTCTGGTTGGATTCTTGGACGGATTCAAGGCAGAGTGGGACCAGAGCGCGATTCTGGGCTTCATGAGCAAGAGAGCTAGTCTGAGGTGAGTTCAGGCAAGACAAAAGACTACAAGCTGTGCTAATCACTCTTCGAAATTGCAGGGGCATTAAGGTTGGGTCCAAAAAAGACTATATCCAGCTCTTCGACTTCCTCGAGAAGCACAAGATTGCGCTCACTCCTCTAATTGACCGCGTTTTCCCTTTCTCCGAGTCTCGGGAGGCTTGTGACTACCTGTACTCCGGAAAGCACGTGGGAAAGGTGGTGATCAAAGTCTGAGGGATGCTGTGTCACCGTCCTCAATGACATGTTGGCATTTTCCTAAGTAACACATATTATATTGGTTTTTCTTTGTCACAATGACAGTGCTATAGTTCCTGATGATGTGTATCTGTTTAATACGACATTTTCTGTTACGGTACTATCAGCCGCACAGAATAACGGCTAGCCCATCTACTTTTGCAAGATAGCTAGGCTGCGCTAGCTGTTAACAATAGCCACAGCCAGCGGAGGCTGATCTGTTGTCCGAAGAAAAGAGGCGGTGGGCTGACGTGACGCTCGACATGCACGAATCAAGGGATGGCAACGCCAATGTACCTATTGAAATTGAGAAAAAAGTCAATGGGATGGCCGTTGATTCAGGGGCCATACCTATTATTGGGCAACCCACGACATTATACCACAGGTCTTGGGCATTCTGGTACTCCACTAGAGCTGGCGAAGCAGTCATTGCCATGCATATGGGGGCGAAGGAAATCCTGTTATCAGCAACACAGGGCAGCAGCAACACGCAGAAGCGACGTGCAACTTCCCTATTCATGCACCTCGCGAGTCAGCAGCCCATGACCATCCCAATGATGCCCATGTTCGCCAGATGGGATTCGCGAGTGCATGCCAACACAAACTGCACCAACAAGACAAGATTCCCAGATGTAGCCGATGCAGCCGATGTTGGGACCGACGGATACTTTTAGCTCTGCAGGGGTATCGGGCAAGGTGTTTGCCAGCTCACCATTTTTCGGTCTCCATGGCGTATCGCTGGTTGAATGACGTGCACCTAAGAAGCGTCAAAATCCAATTTTCTATTCTTCAAACAATCAGATCGTCTACCACGAGTATCTTGGAGCACTGTAAGGGTAAACATAGACGTGCAAGGGTGTAAAAATATCCTTGGTTGGTAAATCTGCCCTAGATGCCCCGTCACACCCTCTGCCTGACAGGGTCTTCGAGGAACCCACCCACTCTATCGTCTGATTTTCGCGGTCTGTAGGCGTGGTACTTCTTCTCAACTTGCATGCAAGCCAGGAGGTGCGGGGTTGGGTTACGAATGATACGTCGGTATTCGTCCTATCCAAGTTTATCGGTAAGGGTGTCTTTTGCGGCCGGGCGTTGGTTGCCACATTTCATCAGGGGTTGTACAGAAGGAACTCACCTGGGGAACACCCTCCAGCCACGCCAACTTGGCTGCGATAATTAAACATCATTGGCATTGATGAAAGTCAAATTCGTTGCCTACTTAGAGTTTTGAATGGGCTTGAATGTTGATGCTGACGCCAAACTGTACACACATATCCAGCTGCATCACGAGCCCGAAACCCCCAAACATGCCCAGGAATTCGCCGGCGGGGACTACCAACAGATCTCTATCTGTAAGGGATCAGGGTCTCCTGCGGCCCCCAGTATCGGAACCAACAACCAGCAACACACTGCATTGGAATGTTTCCAGCCCCTCCCAGTCGCAGAAATCTGCAGCGGGGACGAGAACATCCCGATGACGTGTCATGGTAACCACATCATTCATAACTCGGAGACTGCTCCGAGGACTGTGGGCTTCGACTGATGAGGGACTTCCAAGGTTGGTACCACTCTCTACGAAAGGTGCCCAAATCATCACACAGTCTAGATTGACAAGATGTATGGAACGCTCTCTTTTGACAAGAACGAAGACAATTCTCCAACAGAGTTCTACGAATTTTCATCGATTCGCGGCAGGCGGCAGAGGCAGCCAGCGTGCGACGAGTGTCGAAGAGCACGCGTCAAGTGTCGAGAGAAGTTCAGCAAAGACAAATGTGCCCAGTGTCACAGCACGAGAAGAACATGCACATACAGCTCAAATCAACACGCACCTCGACAATCAAATCAGAGTGACAAGGATGGACCACCTAGATCAACTAGACCAGCCAAAGTCATCGGGGAGAAAACGGTTCAGGATGGAGACAGCCACCCAGCCATAAGTCCAACACCGCCAAGAGCAATCAGCTCAACACCAGGCGGACAGAATGACTTTGTTGGGAGAGAAAACATCTTTGATTTTCAATTGGACAATATCGATATAATTGACGACCTAAGTGGAAGTCCAAGTACGGCAGCTACATCTCGACACATAGCAAATCGACAAGCTGAAGATGAAGTTGACGACATGGGCAGTCTGTTTGGTTTCATAAACGACACTTGTGTCATGTCACATGTTCCAGACATGATTTCAACATCAGAGTATATTAATGAAAGGTCTATTGGCGACCATAATCCTTCGGATCGGGCTTTATCAACAGCAATACTCTCATCGGCACCCAATACAAGCAGGAGTACACCACATGGGCAAGATGGACGAGCCAAAACGTTGGAAATTCCTGTGGAGACACCTCTTGATCACTCGTGGACTTTAAGGCATTCAGGATCTACCCAAGATAAGCTGCCTGCCCGTCTATCACCTCTGACTGGGTTTCACGATGTCATAGACGTCGTACGATTTCCTAAAAGTCCTTGCCTATGCGACTCGGCAGCCTCGTTCTCAAGCGTATGCACATGCCTCCAAGACCTGACTGCAGGTTTATTTGGTTTCCAGACATCTGGCGAGAATGTTCGAGTGGACCGTCTACTGCTTCTCTTCAAGCGTTCCATGTACAGATGGAAGGGTGTCGACACGTGCGCTTCGGCATGTTCTACTACCCCGAGCCTCGCACTTCTCATGTTGATGAATGTTCAACAATTGGTCTCACTGCTATTGAGTGCTTCATCTTCAGCAAGATCCGGAGACGTTGCAAAAGATCCAGGACTGTCAGGTTCTCCTCTGAACATCAACATGGGATCATTCGTTGTGGACGATAGGGCTGATCGGCGATTCATCACTCAACACCTTATAACTTCGAGAATGAAGGAATTGTTTTCTTTTATTTCAACTACGAGTCTCAAAGTGAATGCATCTGGCCTAGACACTGTGTATGAAGAGTACCAGCGGCAGATGGAAAGGCTTAGGCAAGCGTTTACTTAGAAATTAGAAAAACATTCGGAATCGCTGCAAATTCTCAATTGGGCCCTTCAAAAACATGAGACTGCCAATGTTTCCTGCTCAAAATCATCAGCAATGGTGGTTTTACACAACATGGATTCGCAGAAGGCCAACCATATGTTTTAAATGTCAAAACTTCGCACCCTTGTCACTGTATGGGGAAACATGCGCCTCAGTTGGTTGATTGTGGTGAGCCCAGTGCCGATCTGTACTGAGTTTACATGAAATTGCATCCGACATCTTTCAACAATAAATCATCATCTCAAAAGGAAACGCATGATTTTACATAGTTCAAGTTTGAATGGTTCACCGTGATGTTGACAAGATAGCACGGCTTGCGACTGGGCCCAATGCACTGCGGTGCCAAGCAAAGCAAAGCGTTTCCGTGGATGTCTTCCTGTGAAATTATGGGACTTGTGTTACGCGAGTGGATGAGGAGCATTCGGGCAAACAGTCGCAAACATCCAAAGACAGATAATATTCCGCACAGCCTGCTCGAGCCACACGTCCGAGTGAGCATACGTTGGTGTCAATTGCATGCTTCAGTGGGACCACGTTGGCGCCGTCGAGGATGATTGGGTGAGGTGTTCAGGGTCAGACTCATCTTCCGTCTTACATATTCCGCAAAGGGTTATTGCTCTAAATTGGCACATCCTACCCCGGCATCGACTTTCGCCCGGCCTTTTACTTCTTTTCCTGCAACTGGGTGATTTATCCGCATTCTAGCTTCAGCCTGCTCAAGATCCAGGTTCGTAAATCACATTCCTTATCTATAAGAAAAAGGTAACGCTGCCCATCTTACTACATAAAATGGCTCGGATTCTTGAGACGACCCTCCTGCCCTTGGGTTGAAATCTTGGAGAATCCGCAAATTATTCGACACAATGTTCAACTTTTTTGCCAATTATTGGAGATCACCGCAACCTCAGCGTGTGTCAACTGATGAAGTTATTCCCGTGGGATTTTTTGATGATACCATCATTTTCAGAAACTTTGTCTTCTACGCCCTCTTCAACTTTGACAGCGTCCTTGCGCCTGGATTGCTACATGACTCTCTAGGAGGTCTGCTAAATCAGCCGGGTTGGAATAGGTTGGGAGCCAGATTGAGAAGAAATGTAAGGCATGGTGCTCGAATCATCCGAAAAAGCATGTCTTCTTGAACAATTGATGAAGATCTGACTTGAAATGGCCGTATAGAACCGCGGAGAGCTTGAACACCACATCCCGAAAGCGTTTTCCGCAGATCGCCCAGCCGTCGGATTTGAACATGTTGACCTAAGTCATTTGGCTGCCGAGGATCATCCCACTGCATCCATAATACCCCGCTCACCGAGCAGCGGTCAGCCCTCTATTGTCGGTGACCCCAGCCATCTATCGGACCTCTAACTCGGCCCTGATATTCCCAGAGGATTGAATGACTACCTCTTCACGGATCGGCCACAGATTGGACTGCGTATCGTCTCCTTCAAGAACTCGACAGTGATAGTCCTTCATTGGCTGCATTTGTCGGCTGATGCCGTATCTATCGGGTCTCTTCTCAACGCTTGGTCGCTGAAACTTCAAAGGCGGGAAGATGACATACCAAAGCCACTGACAGGTGCATATGCTCTGGAAGATTTGGGCAAGAATCCGACTAGGCCACACGTCCTTTTTCATCAGCACATGTCCACGGTCAGTCTGGGCAAGTGGCTCTTCTGGAACTTCTACAATCTGGTCATCAAGCCGAAGGAGAATCGCGTTGTCTGCATTCCTGCTGAGTACCTCCGGGGGCTCAAGGAAAAGGCCATGGCTGAGCTTCAGGCGCAGCCAAGCATCGACGGCAAGGAAAAGCCAAAGTTTGTGAGTGAAGGAGACGTGATCCTGGCATGGGTTGCACGGCTCTCATTTTCAAGTCTATCTGAAAATTCTGAGCGTACGGTGAGTAACCATGCAAAACAATCAAAGACTGGTGTGGCATACTGACATAATGGCACTCCAGATGGCGCTACAACAGGTTTATGAGTGGCGGCGGGCTTTGAAAGACCTCATACCCAACGACAGGCCGATACTAAGCAATTGCGTCGGCTTCGTTGTAACTCTGATACCCGCGGAAGATCTTCTCCAAAAGCCGCTAAGCTATGTGGCTTCCCAAATCCGTCATACGCTCATTGAGCAAGGCTCACGAGAGCAGATTGAAGCCTATACGTCACTCATCCGACAAGACCCGATTAACAGGGCCCCTCCTCTATTTGGCGACACCTCCATGAAGCTGTTGATGTTCACGAACTGGCAACGGGCTAGACTCTATGAGACCGATTTCTCAGCGGCATCTGTCAACAAACTTGATGGCCCCCTGTTTCCTTCGTATATTCAGGCAGTCCCAGGCCCTTATGAGTTTAATGATGGGCTCATTCTTTTTGGCAAGGACTCCTCAGGCAACTACTGGTTTGGAGGACAGAGAGCGCAGGGTCAATGGGGTATGATGGAGCGGAAAATAGAAGAAGGCATGAAAGACTTCTGAGGGGAGAACATAGCCGTTTACGTAGGACGCCTATGCCATCTAACAAACAATTTCGGTTTCCACCACAAGACATGCACTCTGCTCTGCTCTATGAACCTGGCATCTTTATCCACGAGCTCCATGTCATACGACCACAGAAGTTTCGCCAACATGAGGTTCAACTCCATCCATGCAAAGCTAGACGTAGCAAATTTGTCAGACCGGTCAACTTTCAGAGCGATGAGAGTGAATTGTGACTTACTTTCTTCCTAAGCAGTCCCGAGGACCAAGCAGAAACGGACGACTGGCATCCTTATTATCTTTGCAATGAGGGTCCAGCCATCGCTCTGGTTTGGTATGCCAGGGGTCGGAGAAATACTCTGGATTGTGAACGGTGGACCAGGGACTGACGCTGATGTCCGTCTGTACATCCATCAGTAGTTGTTTTAATTAGTGAAGAATACACTGATTGCCTTGGCTTGCTCAAACTCACGTCTTCAGGTATATATTGGCCGTGCAGCTCAAAGCCAGGAGAGAGCCTAGTCGCGCCCCCGGAAGCGGGAGGAAACAGTCTAAGACCTTCATTGATAACAGCTTGCAGGTATGGTAGCTGCTGGGCCTTCGATCCGGTTATTTCGTCGTAGGTTTTGAAAGCGACACGAATCTCCTGGCTGAGAAGTTCCAGCTTCTCTGGATTCTGACCAAGGAAATATGTCAACGCTGATAGAGTAGTTGTCACGGTCTCTCCATCAGCAATTCTGCGAGGTCACGTTAGGTGTATCCTTCAGAATTTACGGAAGCAAACTCGACGGAATCTTGATTGAACGTACGCGATTGTTGAAACGTGAGCTGTCATTTCCTCCTTAGAGACTTCTCCTGCGCGAACCTTGTCGACGAGCGGACTGACGAAGTCGCTTCGTGCCGCTTTGACTTGAAGACGGCTGACGAGAGGTTTCGTTAGTTCACGAGTTGACTGGGAACCATTGGACAACTCTCAACTTACTTCTCGACCTGTTGGCGGCTATAGTTCGAATGTTGATTGTTGGTGACGATCCATGTGGGAATGAGACGTCTTGCAAGTTTGGACACCCACCCAATGCGCCGCAAATTGTCAATAAGAGTGACAATAAAGAGATGCTCGAGGGCAGAATCCGCCCAGGAATTCAGGATATCTGGTCTTGGAATCAGCGGAGCTGCCATCTGCCAAAGCATTGAACCCGACCGAAGCCAGAGACGAGTTTGCTCACCAATGTCAAGATTGCGGAAGCTCTCTCCAAAAGCCATCTCGCCAAGAATCTCAAATGAATTCATGTTGTAACACTTGGTCATGTTCAAACCTTTTGTTCCAGATCCCCCTTTTTCTCCCATTTTCGTGACAAACCTGTCAACAATTTCTGAGATAATATCCTCTTGTTCGACCAAAACACGTTGCGAAAAAGATGGGCTCAGAATCTTGCCCATGACGGCGTGTTTCTGGGGATCACGCTCGCTTCCGATGCATCTGCTGCTGAAGCCGGCAGCCAGGACGTCATAGAAAGGTCCTTTTCGCGCAATCTGCCTGCCACTTCCGGAGTGACCGTAGATGGCTTTCCAGCTCTCCGCACTGGCAAACGAGAGCTCATTAGGCGAGATCCGGACTATATTGCCTGGCAAAATGTGTCAAGAACAATGTCGCGTGCAATCGAAACAACGATGGTTCGAAACACACCATATTTGTCATGGGCTCGCTCAACTGCAATATGGATTTTGCCCCCAGAGCTGTGAAAGAAACGATATAACTAATTTTTGAATGTCGCGTTAATACTTTAGTTTGGTGCTGTCATTTTTGTCTCTCTGCCTACCAAAGAACACCGGCCCAAAGTTGGTCCTGGAAACTTTGCCAGGGGATGAAACCATAAATTGTAGCTCCATACGGCAATACATCGACAGATTATCTCATGTGCAGCAATCAGTGATATCGCTCTTAGTATGCCTCAGATGTGTAATTGATCCTCACAATAGTAATTATCCATGTGGCCACTGCTTTCTATCCCCACTGCTGCGGCGTATTGTGGATTGTTTTGGCAAGCTGGGACCCGATAAATCAGCTAGACCTGGATTCACGGGTCTAATTTACGATGACATTATCGTAATTCATGGTGAGTCGCGTTCTTCGGATATCATAGCGCACTTCTGCGAATCCCCAAGGTATGGATAATCTACCTCCACATATACTGTTGGTGCGCCCCTTCTCAGTGTACGACAACCAACCAGAGGTGGCCGGGGAGTTCCAATTAGAGACTTACCGATCGCTGAATCCCGAAACGGAAATCCTCGATACTCGTTTTAGGAAGAACACCCACAAAGATTCATGGGCGACTCAGATAGGGGTTTGCTCGACGAATGTGCAACTTCATGTCTTACGATGGCTTTTCTTCACCCGATTATCTCTTGGATATCAGAACGTGGCTATTTCCTTACCGCATCAAAGCTAAACTCTCCCGGCTGCACTCATTCATGTGGAGATAAACCTTTAGCAGCAGTTTCATAGTTACGGTGGCATTAAAAGTGGCATGACAGATAAGGTGCACATGAACAACTTGTGATAGGGGTCACTTGATACCTATGGTATTGAGCTTCATTGGAATCCATAGATATAATCAAAAATCACTGTTGCTGCATGTGAAAACAATATGCTGCGCGAAAAGTCCTGTATTTCTAAATGGTCTCCCATTTTGGGGTTTGTCGAGAATCCACTACGAGAAACAGCAGCGCCCGCGATCCTTGCGTCAACTTTTGTATCGGTCTATGATTAGCTCCACTCCAATGCACTCCAATTTTCCCAGCAACGATCAAGATTCCTTCTATGCGGGTGGAAGATGCATGATGCCTGTTTCGTGCACGGCATGGCCCTCGCGGCTTAAGTAACGACCTGTTTTGAAGCTGTTGATCTTGTTAGCTTTCCTCGTCTAATGTTCATGACAAGACAGTCGAAACTTTGGATTTACTTACCTCCAATAAAGATTCCCTTGCGCCAACGCCCTGCAAACCTCCACGAATCTCATAGCTTCGCGGTCGATTTTCTCCCCATAGGATGGCAGCTCTGCCAGAGCAAGATACCATCTTCGGTAACATTGGTTGACCATATTACCAATCTCGTCCATTGCCTGCTGGATACTCAGACCATCTTTCTCAATGAGCAGCGAAATTAGGTTGTGGTCTACGCCTAAGGCCAGGTCTTTGCGGTAAGACAAGACGTCGTTCACCCTAGCAGAACGCAAAGTGTCAGCTTGAAAGGCTTGAATACAAAACGCTGTGCACCCTTAATTCTTACAACATCACAATATCACCAGGTCTGCCGAGACAGTCATGCATTCCTGCAGGCTTGGATGCTCGTACACATGTTGTGGCAGGTTGATGTTTGAGCCGTACTCGGTCAGGTTGATGGCTGGGTACACGCCAATTGTGCCTCTGCGCATGTTCATGTACTCATCTACGTCGCGTATGAAGTTTTGGCCGCTGACTTGCTGATCGACCTGCACGAGCAGTTGTGCAAAGTAACGCTTGTGTTGATCAATCCATCGATTTTGCATCTCTAGATTTAAAAGTCAGCACTTTACAAACTTGTCACTTCCAATTACATGCAAAGCCTAGTCATCTGCTATGAGGAGCGGATGGACAATGAGAAGGAGTTGTGGTCGGTTTCAAGGGCAATGTAGAACGAACCTGGACTGGATACTTCGCTGATGGCATCCCAGCATCTCTGAAACACATATCTAATGGGATTGGAATCGGCAGTATAGCGAGGCGCATCGCCGCCCATGATGGCTATGTTTTGACTAATCTCCTCGGCAGCAGCTTGAGGTGTCCTTCATCAAACTCTGTTATGATAACGCATTATCAGTAACTTCTTGGAACAAGTTCGAGATTGGAGTGCCACCTACGATCGTCGAAAAGAAACACCTGCATTGATCAGTATTTGGAAACATACGAGTTGGCTTAGTGGAAGAACGAACCCAGTGATGCCAATCCAACATGATCTTTAAGCGGTCTTCTGGGGCGATTGGTGACCAAATTGATGCAAGGAAACACACATCAACTTTGGAGTTCTTTGCTGCTTCCACCTCGTTGTACTTCATGACAATGCCGGGCGAAGCTCGGTGCGTTAGTTTCGGACTGAAAACGATTCCAAAATTGGATTTAAAAGCGTATGCTTACCTTGCAATCCATTCGTCTCCGACAGCGTTTACCTCAAAGTAGTTGGGGTTGACAACAAGCTTTGTGGACATGATGGAACCGAATAGCTCTGGGATGCGAACGAGTGGGGGCCGTTTGGCAATCTGCTTTCTGTCTGGTTTTCATTGCATCGGGGACGTCATACTGATGGTTTCGTAGCCAGAGTCTGAGCTGTTGCTACTGGCATCGTCACAGGCTGGATCCATCTCGACGTCCTGCGACTGCCATAAGAGCGTTTCCATATTCGGAGGTTGTAACTTCTGATGATAGACGTGTAGGGCGAATCGAATAATTCTTGACGAGGCTTGGATCTTTGGAGTGAGCGAAACTACCAGATATAATCGACCATCGCTCACCCGTTTCATATGAGTTAGGCGTAGAGGTTTCCCTCTGATTCTTAAGTATGACGCCTCATCGTTGTTTGCCTTACGCAAGACGTAATCGTGTCATAGCAGGGCGGTAAACTGCCGTATTGCAGCATATCTGAAGCCTGTCAACGGGATGGGAAAGCATCTGAAAGCACGAATGGGTGTACTACAGGCTATCGTTCTCCCAAAGGAGAGCATCTGATACGGCCAAACGGCAATTGCCAAAAAGAGTAAATGTCGACAGACCACAGCATTTGTGCCGGAGGCTCGTCTATTCAAAACAAAATCAATAAGCCAATCTCAATCTAGAAATTCCAACTTGAAATTCTCATTTTTGGTAATGTTCTCTTTTCCCAGCATGAAATCAGGCTTTGCCAGGAGAGTAAAATTGTGCGACCCCGGTTCTCTGGCGTTGCCGTGTGGGCCTCCTGAATTGATGTTTTTTGTAGACAAGTCCCTGTGACTCAGTGCAGCTTGGACGCGTTTATAGCGCGTTTTCCACAATTCCTGCAACGATGAAGGGTGATGAAATCGACAACTTTGACCTCAACTCTGATGGAGGCGACGTCTTCCCAGGGATGCGTGGGATTTGACCAGCCAAGTTCAGTCGGATTTGTAGAAGCATTGATGCACGCGCCTCCAGCCAAACGATAAGGTTGTTCTTTTTGATCTGGTGAAGAAGATGATGATATGCATCGATCCATTGCTAATTACCCCTATGCCCTTCTTCATTTAGCCGACGACCAACATCACTCATGCCTTTCCGGCTGATCCGCATATCTCCATCCACTCCATCGTTTGGCGCTTCACATGATACGTCCCCTCCTCGATTAAGGTAGTGTGCGGTACCCGCGCAACTTGATGTCTAAGATGCATGTAATACTCGTCTAGGACCAACTTGTTCACATTGATTTTGGTCGCCCCTGCAGCGATGCATTGCCGCATAAGATCCGGCGGGAATCCATTTGTGCCGTGAAGAGCAACCCGTACTCTCCCGCCAATCTGTTTTTGTATGTTGTCGAACCTGATTCTCAATTAGAAGCACACCAAATTAACCAGCGCAGCGGCATACCTGTCGAAATCCAATTGCGGACCTTGCTTGCTATATTCGCCATGGACGTTACCAAAAGCCGGGGCTAGAGCATCAACGCCTGTAGCGATGAATTGATCAACCTCTTCAGGCGTGGTCTTGCTTGCTTCCAGCCCGGCCGTATCCATCACCCCATCCTCAGCGCCCTCGATCCTCCCGGGTTCTGCCTCCGTGGCAATACCGCGCTCGTGACAGTACTTGACCCATGTCGCGGTCTTCTCTAAGTTCTCCTCCTTCTCATAGTGCGACATGTCGACCATGATGCTGTCGAACGGGAGGTTATCGGCCGCATGCTTGATGATTTTCTCATCTTGAGCATGGTCTAGATGTATCGATATCGGCACGCTTGCTCGGCGAATGGATTCCTTGGCAGTCCTGACGAGCAGACCGTCGGCGTAGGTCACCGCCCATGGAAAGAATTGGAGGATGAGGGGTGACTGAGTTTGCTCAGCAGCGGCAACAAGCCCGTAGATTTGCTCGAGGTTGTACGCAATGGCTGCGATCACGCCATAGCGCCCCTTCTCAGCATTCCGTAAGATCTGGAGATGTCGATTGTTGTCCTTCCAATTGGTCGGCACGGCCATGATGTGTGTGTAAACGTTGGAACTAGGATAATGCTGATATTGATGTGTTCGTCAAGCGGTAGCCGTTGGAAACCCCGAGTATTGGATATTTGACTTATTTCTGTGCATGATCCGATATCGATAGTGGCGAATTTACGTCAACCACATGACGGATGGGTCTGGGGTGATGTGTTGGCTTCCGTGTCGAGGAAATCGAATGGCAGTGGGTCTGGGTCGTCACGAGGGACGTCACGATCACCAACCAACACGAACCATTGTTCCATGTTGACCTTTGTCGTGTCTCATCCCCGCTTCTCCGACATGCATGAAAACTGCAATATGAATGGGAGAAGCCTGGGCTCAAAATGCTTCACAGAGATTTTGTATGATGCGGCTCGACCTTGAGCACCAATGCGAAGTCAGAGAGCTTTTATGTTGGGTTCACTAGCAGTCAAGTTTCTGTTTCCTTTTCTACCAAGTGAATTGAATCTGTGTTCAATTTGATTTTTTCTGGAGTCATTCCTCAATTACCCTCTGAGATTTCCCATCTTGCTGAGAGTTCCTCTCCTAGCGGCTTGACTGGCCAGCCGGATCTCTCGCGACAGGCCTCCAATAGCCCTAGAACACAATTCCGTTCTCTCCTGCTTTCAAGAGGAATTCCAGCTAAGGCCATGAGCACGCGTTCTAGTTCATGGGGCCGGCGGTGACGATGACATACCTATGTAAAGACACTGAGAACACATGACACTTGATGGGTAGTCAGAGAGTGTCAAGGCAATCCCACAGACCTTCTTCACGCATTCCATGAGACGCTTCCGTTGTTGTGTGTACTGCTCTAGACCTCCTAGTACTGGCACATTCAAAAGCAAAAGTATGTGAGCGCAGTAATAGACTTGGAATGCGATCGCTTCACAGGGCGTCAGTAAACATCTTGGTCGCTGGGGGCGGTGCTCAACATGTCACAGCTTACCGCATGCTGGGGGGTGAATCCAAATTGGCTCAAATACATCGTCCACGGAACCGGAGTATGGCAGTGGTTGGAATTCTGCCGTCAAATGCCTCCTCCAATTTTCCAATTGATCTTTGAGCGCATCAGCCGCGGCAACTCTAGCAATCGGGTCATTCTTTGCTGCTTCTGTGTCTTCTTTGGAGCAGAATGCTACGACTTGGGCAAAGAAGTACACGGAACGAGCCGCAAGTTGATAAGGATCAAGCTCATCCAATGTCTTGACCGGCCTCCAGAATGTGAAGGGGCGACGCTTCTCACGGAATGCAGCCCAAACATCTTGGCAAAGCCACGTCCACCATACTGCTTGCTTCAAACCCCCAGAATCACCATGTATGGTTTGAGAGCGCTGTATCCAGTGAACACCTTTGAGATGTCTTTCCCAGTCTTGTCGTGATCCATCCAACATCTCATATGCAGATATGATGGATGAAGTAGCGAGCAGTTCAAGGCTTGTTTTGTATGTATCGTACTGCATTGCCTCTTGAATGTAGTGCAGAGTCTTGTAGTAATATTTCAAGGCCTCATTCAGATCTTGATGGTCCTTTTCTCCAACCTTTGAGCTCAAGGAAAGGTGACGAGCCGAAAGCGCTAGGACTGCATTCATAAGACCTACATTATGCATCTAAGTCGAGACGTTACTACTAAGTAATAAGTTCTGCAGAGACAACTTTCGTCAGAGACATACCGCTAGTTGAGGAACCTGTGTCCCGAAAGGTCTCCGAGGGTCGAAGAAGTCCATCTACTAAAGGTTTAGAACGGCCAAACGCCGGGGAAACATGTCTACGCACCCACATGCCGATATGCCTCACAAAGTTCTGGAAAATCACATGCTCATGAGAAGAGATGTGTATTGGGCTTGTCGAGTACCAGTTTTGCTTCTCAAACTGTTGGTAATCGTTCAACCTCGGTGTCCTCTCCATCAAATAAGAGTTGGAGGTGCATGGAGTCGGCGACAGCCCATCTGAGGAAACCCTTGGTTGAGCTTTTCGTACTGCTGGTGACTGCACGACGGAACTTCCGAAGATATCGACACTTTCTTGGTCCACATTGAAGCTTGTGAAGTCGAACTCTTGCATAGCAGCATCTTGAAGAAGTAGGTCAACCCATACTGCCGTTGCATTCTCCAGATTGGCACCGTAAGAGCTGCTTGTTGTAGCTGACTTGTGAGGTGTAATACCCGTGCATCCTGTCTCTGGAAGATGCTCCGGACATCCAGCCTGAGCATTGGGCGTTTCGTTGACGTGAAAAGCTGGTGATGTTTCATCCTGAGCTCCAACACTAAGGGTGGTGTCCGGCGACGTAGTAGGTATGTTCAGTTGCGGCTGTGCATCCCATGATACTACGGGGGCGGAAATAGGCTCTTCATCGTTTACTGCTGGAGGTGTTTCTTGGGGCTCTGGGGATTGCTGGCCGGGGCTAATCGATCGCGGAGGCAAAGAAGACTCTTGTTGTGCTGCATCGCTCTCATGTTGAGTGTGAGCCACTTCTCCGGGACTGCCTGTGCGTTTTCTGTTTGGTGGTCGCCGTGGCGCATAGATACAGATGTGTTTGGTCCTTTCACAACCTCCGCAAGTAGGCTTTTTCTCGTCGCACTTGACGTGGCGGCGACGGCAGGTTGCGCTGAGCGGTATGCGTTTAGCCAATGAAATATGAGACCACACGCCCGATGAATAGAGGATGAATAGGTGTATTACCATCCAGTCGTGTTTCTCAAGCCGCGGCCTCTGGTCAGTCGACCTCTTGTGAAGTAACGTTTAGTTCCCTCCTCCTCGATCACCATGTTGTGGACTTCAGTGGATACTTTGCGCCCTGACAGATATTGGAACGATAACTGTGCTCGAAGTCACGGGATGGCAGAAATCAAGGGTGCGGTGATACCTGGTGGCATCATTCGTGGGGTCATTGAAAGCAACTTTAGGAGAATCCGAGCAGCGTGAAGGAAGCCGCATGGAGATCTTGCAGCCGGTGCGGGGTAATCTGGGGCAACGGTCCACAATTTGGAGACCCGAGCTTGGGTCCCGGATGTCCCGTAACGGCCCGGTGGGCGGCCGGCCCTGGCGCCGATGTTGTCTGGTGTGTGAATGCAATGTAGCCCTCAGAGGCTAGTATCCGTTGATCGAGAGACGAGATTCGAAGGCTTCTGGCGGCGTGGTCGAGACGAGACGAAGTCTATCTTCTCGTCGACCTGTAACACCGGCAAATTGGCTTATACCCATCGGGTTTCCCTCGAGACGAGGGAGTGGGACCTTCACTGGTACGTTGATCAAGCGGGGTAGACCATTTCGTTTGTTCACAGGGTAACTCACCCTGCAGGTTCGATTCAAGTAGTCTGCTCTTCCGCCGTCCTTGAGTCTCAGTACCGTTGATGACAAGAGGGGCTACTCAACTCTTTAGCATCCATCGTTCTCACAATGGCTCTGTCTAGTTGCCGTCTGTTGAGAGGCAAAACTGCTGCCATCACAGGAGGCACAACTGGTATCGGCCGTGCGATTACTTTGGAATATCTCAGACAGGGAGCCAATGTCGCTGTAAATCATTTGGGCCTGCCCCAAGATGAGAAGCATCGACACAGTCTATTGGAGGAGGCGGAAAGTATCGCAAAAGCTGGCACCAAAGATCAACCGACTGGCCAGCTGATAGAACTTGCTGGAGACGTCACCAACCCTGAGACAGGCAAAGCTCTTGTCAGTGCAGCAGTCAAGAAATGGGGTGGACTTGACGTTTTTGTTGCCAATGCAGGAATTTTCAAGGCTGCTGAGTTTCTCACGTACGTTGGCCCTTCTTTGCATCATTCTCAGCCTCGAGGTTACTAACTTTATGAGAACTCAGTCTTGAAAAAAATGTATTCGACAAAAGTATGCAAGTCAACGTCAACGGGGCGTTCTACTCCTGTCAGGCGGCAGCCAACCAGATGGTGAAGCAAGGACGCGGCGGATCGATCATTGGAATATCATCAATATCTGCTCTCGTTGGTGGTGGCCTACAAACACATTACACGCCGACAAAAGCCGCTGTGTTGTCCATGATACAGTCAATGGCAATTGCGTTGGCGAAGGACAAGATTCGGTGTAATGCATTGTTGCCAGGCACTATTCACACTCAACTGGCGGAGCCTGATATGCAGAATGAGGAAAAGCGCAAATATCTCCAGCAGCGCATACCCATGGGTGTTGGAAAGCCCCAAGACTTGGCGGGGCCAGCAGTCTTCTTGGCCTGTCCGGAGCTGAGCGGATTCATGACGGGATCTCAGGTGCTTATTGACGGAGGAATGTTTGTAAATTTGCAGTAATCGAATTTGCTTGCTACTGGGCTGAGAGTTTTATACCGTAAATGAGATTTTATGACCATGACTACTTGTTCAATGAAGTGAAGGCATCATCTGATCTAATTTTGGAAGTATTCGATGGCTTACTCTTACCAGCGGCGTGCAATCCCTACGAGAGGTAAGCTGTGGGGAACGACCTGGACAAATATCCCGGGCTGCCTGCGGCATCCTACAGAGCCGCAAATACAGTTGGGAGGATCAAATACTCGTGTTAGGCGTGCTGCACCTGCATCAGTCCTACTAATTATTCCTAGATTTCTGCTCTTTGCTGTGGGCCGGCATACCTTGTGTTGGTTCCACGGTGATGCATGTTGACTGTCATCGCCAGACCAGCTAAGTGGGATTCCGGTTCGCAGGATCCATCTGCAAGGTGCGGTGAACATATTTACCAGGGAACGTTGGAGCACATGAGACCATGCGCGGACCTTGTCTCTGCGCAGCCATCATTCGCGCGCGGGCTCATCTTCGTGAGACCTCGATTTGTCGTGTTTTGTCAGGGCCAGCGGCGCCTATGTCATTAGCTTACGGGAGCTGGTAACGAGTTCGCCAAGTCCTTAAATCCCGCAATCCTACGTCAAAACCAAGAGATTCAATCCCATCGGCGACGCCCTGCAGATGACATCGGTGGTACTCCACTTAGCCGTTGCTTACTTACCCGGCGCGCCAGAGTGCCAGTCTGACCGACCCCATCCTCAAGACTTAGTCATGGCTCATGAAACCAGGACCACCATTCCATTGCTGTGTGCATCGTGAATGAAGTTGATGATCAGGAAGCTTAGCAAGTTCTTCATGCTGGTTCCAGAAGGAAGGTGCACCCCAGGCCGCGCGCTAATCAGTACAGAGTAAGCAAGACTATGAAGCCGGTGTCAAGAAATGCAATGATTGTGAAGCGGTAAGAGCAAATCGATATCTCGGAGGCAGCGACAAATGCACTTCTTGCTAGGTGGATACAGACGTTTTCACGCGCGGGAAGGTTTAGCAATGGCAGGGGGGCCACGAGTAGCGAGGCGCAAGTAGGAACATCCTTGAACTAATTTTTGCCCCGAGTCCCCGCCCACGATGTCAGTCATTGAGTAGCTCAATTAAGTGCTCAATAATTGACCATCCTTTATCCAGCTTCCATGATGATCCGGTGCTCACAAAGACAAAGATATATTGTAATGTGTCTTAGTAAACAGTGGAAGAGCGCTGCCATCTGAAGTCATGGTCGATGAGAAGCAACCACCGAGTCAATTCACTGGAAACTCCCAACCTAGCCTCGTCGAACAGAAAGCATATAAAACATGTCATGCCTTTTTGAAGGATGTTTCCTCGGCAATAGACTTTCATCCAATCTTCGATCTTCCACGACCAAGCAACAAAATCATCTAACGGCAATGTCGACCTTGAACAGTAAGAACGGAACTCGGAGCCGCAGAGCCTCAACTTCGGGTGGCGAAGCAGCAGAAGCTTCAGTCTTGGGGGATTTTACGCCAGAAGAGCAGAAGAGAATCATGAGGCGGGTTGACATTCGTGTCGTAGCCGCTGTCGGGCTTTTGTATTGCTTTTCTGTTATTGACCGATCGAACCTACCATCCGCCGCCGTTGCTGGCATGACAGAAGATTTGGGCCTCATTGGAAACCGTTATGTAAGTCACCTGGATGGGTAGGACTTCGACTTCCTTAGATTTTGTTTCCGACTTCAACAAACGTATTGGGCATATCAACTCTAACGTCATTTTGAACAAAGTCAATTATCAGCCTTGTATTCTTCACGACCTACACTACCTTTCAGCCAATTTCAATCATACTCGCTCGAATAATTGGCCCAAGAGCCTACTTCACGGGAGTCACAATGATTTGCGGGTTTGTTGTCATCGGCATGGCCTTCCTCAAACATTGGGGCCAGATGGTTGCTCTGAGAGTCGTTCTCGGGGCTCTTGACTCCGGTTTCTTCCCCACTTGTGTTTACCTTCTCAGTACCTGGTACACTCGCTGTGAGTTTACATTACCTCAACATGAACAGGTTGAGATATTGATTTGCCATAGACGAGGTTGGCAAGCGCTACTCAGCCTTTTACATTGTGGTGTGTCTCGCCACTGCGTTCTCTGGGATCCTGGCATTTGGGGTATGGTGTTCTTATTCAACATCAACCAGGGTGCCTAAGACTAACTGAGTGGGACAGTTCACCAAATTGGAAGGAAAGGCGGGACTTAGGGGTTGGTCATGGATTTTCCTCATGGAAGGCATCATCACCTGTTGTCTCGGAGTCCTTTGCTATTTCGTATTGGTCGGTTTCCCCGACACCAAAAAGCGAACCTGGGGATTTCTGTCTCAGCAAGAGATTGCATGGGTTGTGTCTCGTGTTCAAGAAGATCGCGGGGATGCAAAGCTCCCCGCTCTTAGTGTGAAAGGATTCCTGCGAGGCGGGGCTGATGTCAAGGTCTGGGCATTTGCATTGATTTATTTCAATCAGGCCCTTGTCAACTTTGGTGCGTTGTTGAGTCTTCGAGTATCCATGGCTGAACTAACACCCTGTTTCTTCAGCTTTGTCATTCTTTCTCCCCATTATCTTGAAGGAGAACATGGGCTTCAGCACTGGCAAAGCCCAGATCATGATCGCCCCACCGTACGTTCTCGGTGCGATTCTCATGTGGATTTCCGGGTGGCTAGGAGATCACTTCATGGTACGTGGTCCCATCATCATAGGAGACATGGTTGTCGCCATTGTTGGAACCGCTCTGGTCGGATTCCATAACGACGTGGCTGTACGCTACACCGGCGTCTTTCTTCTTACTGCCGGCTCTTTTTCTTCTATTCCTGTCGTCATGGCCTATCAAGCAAATAACATCCGAGGACAATGGAAGCGGGCATTCTCTAGCGGCCTGGTCGTTGCGTTCGGTGGTGTTGGCGGCATCGCCGGTTCTCTCATTTTCCGGTGAGTATTCATTTCAGAAGCCCATCGTTTCAGCACCCGTTTCAACCTCGACACAACCACAAACTCTGATCAAATTACAGGAGTCAAGATAAGCCCAGGTATCTCCCAGGCTTAAGCACCTGCATGGGATGTGCCGTCTTAAATATCATCATTATTCTCGGCCTCAGCGCTTACTTTTACTACTGGAACGCTAAGGCTGAGCGTGGTGAGGTTGAGCTTGAAGCCTCAGAGGCAAGTACCATACATTCACCTCATTTTGACAGGCAATTTGAATCTAACTTGCTCCTATTTTCTTCCAGGAAACTGATGCCTCCGATTTCCGATACACTTACTGATTTATTTTGAAGAAGAATCACTATGGTTACCCGAATAAAGCATGCACCTGATCAGAGGCTCGTATTATTTTGTCAAAATGATTGAAACCACCGACTGCTGCTCGACTGCTATTACTGGAGGAACCCAACTGCGCAAGACATACTTATACCACTCTCTCATTACTCATCACGTACCCTATAACCATCCAATCGTTACCGAGAAAATAAAATAGCAACCCTTCAACGCACGGCTCGCTGTTGCCGTCTCATCAAGAAAGACTTGCGATGCGGTTCTTCGATCCCAAATTCAGTGACATTCGTTTCCACCGTCTTGAGAAGCTGGAAACCTAACTTCTGATACATCGGCTGCGCGGCCATTGTAGCCATAACCCAAACCTTCATTCCAACAGCATCTGCTTGCTCTAGACCCTTTTTGACCAGGGCGGACGCAATCCCTTTCCGTCTGTATTGCGGATGCACTGTCAGATAGTCGAGGACTTTTAAAGTTAGTCTTGGCTCACTTCCGAGTGATATGGTGCAAGTATTGAGGTGACTGAACCAAATGGGGCCAGCATACCCAGAAATGGTCCTTCTTGGTTCTTCATGAGTTCAATCTCAGCATTCTCGAGGGGAAGACCAAGAGCCTCTTGCAGACGCGTATCCATCCCCGGAATCATACCTTCCTCGGTGTTGGCTTGGAACTTGGCCTTGAAACTTTCTGATTCATCGTCGGTTGGTTCTCGGACAAGAGCCTCTGGCCAGTTCAATGTGCTACTGGCATCAGGCAGAATCCACCGAGCATACCCAATAATTTCACCAGTGTCGTCATCAGTGGCTTTCAAGTGCCGTTTTCCTTCGCGGCCTGATGCAAGACCATGCGACATTCGAGCAGCGGCACCTCTAATGATTTCTTCAAGTGTGGTCGACTTCCAAAGAGCTCGCCAGTGGGCGTCGGTATGGTAAAATGCCGTCATGTTATTCTTGGAAACCCCTTGAGCGTCGTCATAGTCGACGGCAGATATCGTGAAAGTCATCGAGTCGTAGTTAAGACGCTTGCTTAGGGAGGTTTCAACAAAGTCGACACCCAAAATCGGAGTGAGGACAAAAGCACTGGTGTTTGGCACAAACTTTGTAGTTGAGTGATAAATCAAATGTACATGTATTCAAACAGGGCATCTGAGCTTTTTATACCCTAACTCATTTTCGATTCAACGACACTCACACATAATCCCGTCATGAGTAGGAATACGTGTTCTCTTCTAAACGCAGATCATATGAGTCCGAGCATCAAGAAGGAAGAGCCTGGTGTTATCGCATCGTCAGCTGGACCCCTGTCAGTAACTTGACTGTATGTGGCCTTTGGTAAGCCGGCTACAAGCGGCAGCTCAAACACCTCCAGGCCTAGGTCTCACACCATCATCGCAGTTGCTGACGTAGTGGGCGATAAGCACGAAGTGGATTAAAAGCATTGACGGGACCCTTAATCGTCTTTATGCACCTTCCAGTTGACTAGTTACCCTGAGATAGATGGAGTAACTTAGCATGCCAGCCAGAAGCGCGTATCAGCTGTCCGTAAGGAGGCCATGGTGAGAATGAATGGACTGACACCCCGTGCCTCCAGACTCAGTGATGAGATCCTCGCTTAGAAGCCGTCTGACCCGACAAATCAGGTCTACCAGCGCTGACTCATCCTGGCTGGGCGCTAAACCTGCTGCCTCAGAAGTCGTCGATTTCTCCTTTGTCTACGGACAAACCCCACTCATTCGACACGACTATGATGAGTGATTGCCTGCACGAAGGCAACCATCTATTGATCAAAATTCCTGCTGATTTTCTTTTCTCCCATTGGGCGCTGTCATCAACAACGCGATGTCCTTGTGCCTGCAGCCTATCAAAGCCTTCCTCCAATCGCATTTGGCAGCCAGAAACGAAGGATGTGCCGAAATGCAGGGAGCAACACGTTGCGACTTTTGCAAACGATTCATTTCGGCGATGAAAAGGAAACCAACCGACCACGTATCTCTTGACCTCGAGCCTGTCAATCAAATTGTGTCTTCAGCATGTACTCGCCATCGACCACTGTTGGAGAAGATAACGAGCTGGTTAGACTTGCAAGAGGGAGCCACAGAACAACCGCACCTGTTCAGAAACTACTTCGATTATTCAGTCACTTTTACGCTGAAAGATAATTATGGTCAATCGTCGCCTTCATTAGATGTATTGGAAAGCCTCGACAAAAAGCAATTCATTGGATATGGGGTCCAACTTGATCCCTCCTGGATCGACAACAAGACTCTTATTCGGTGGTACGACACATGCACGTCTGGCCACGTAGACAGGTGCAGTAAACCCGAGTATCTTGGATACCTTCCCAAACCTGAGCTGAAGATTCTGATCGACGTCACGGAAAATTGCCTGACTCCAGCTCCTGAAAATGCTTCTTACATGGCACTCAGTTACGTCTGGGGCAAAGTAGACATGCCCAAAACGTTCACAGCAAACGTATCTCAACTACAAAAGCTAGGGGCCTTGAACAACACTGCTCTTCCCCAAACCATCCGACATGCGATTTATTTGACGAGGCTGCTTGGCGAACGTTATCTTTGGGTGGATAGCCTCTGCATTGTGCAGGACGATGAAGAATTTCTCAACGGTCATCTTGGCCGAATGGCATCCATCTTCGCCCATGCTCAAGCTGTCATCGTCCCAATTGACGGAGAGAATGCCGAAAGTGGGATTCCGGGGTTGAAAGAGGCGCCTGCGGCGCAACCCAGGCACCTCGAGCAGGAGACTATCCCATTTGGGGAGAGGTTGCTTCTGATTCGTACCAAGATGGGTATGCGTGGAAGGGGTGAATCTTCATCCAAAAAGGCTGACTACTTCGATCGTGGATGGACGTTTCAAGAGTATCTGTTCGCAAGAAGACGCATATGCTTCGAGAAGAGTAGCGTATGGTTTCAGTGCTGTCAATTTACCCAGTACGAAGACCACAGCCATCCGGACCTTCCCGACCGCAATCGCGACTTCTTGTTGGATGTTGGGTACCCATCTCTCACTGTCTTTTCACGCCTAGTGGAAGATTTCAACCAAAGACAACTCAGCTACCCACAAGACTGTCTCGCTGCTATAGCGGGAATGCTTCCATGTTACTCAAGGGCATTCAAGGGAGGGTTTCTTTGCGGGCTCCCAGAGATGTTTTTCGATGCAACTTTACTTTGGCAGCCTGGAGATGATCTTGTACGTCGCGTACCAGTAGACACAGGTACAACATGCGGCGGTATCAACAGTGGGAGCCTGCCGACCTGGTCCTGGGTAGGATGGCAAGGCCGTCTCCATTTTGCGGGTTGGGCAACAGGGAATGACTTCTTGGCCGCATGCAGCGGCTGGATTGCCTCTTCACGGCAACAGATTATCCCAATTACCAAATGGTTCACCAGCTCTGATGTCACTGGCAGGACTGGCAAGAGACCGGTGGAAGTTGAGTGGGCGCTATGGAGAGATCGCCACAGAGACCCAAAGTGCCCCCTCCCTTCAGGGTGGACACGAAAAAGGCGGCGAAAAGGCGAGAGCTTGACCATAGAGGAATTCCCCGACGGGTTCGGCGAGTATTTGTACAAGCACGAGTCTTGCACAGCACGGTTTTGGTACCCTATACCTCTCTCGGATCCAGACTACTCGCACCAGCAAAAGATTCCCAGCTTCTCTGAGGCGACATACCTCTTTGGCTCCGTGCAAACGGCACATCTTTCAGCTTCAGGCGCAGTATGGATGTATGAAGATATAACTAGCATGGGGCCAGTTAATCCATCAACTGCTCATGTGTCGATGCGCACTTCTCAGAACGAATGGGCCGGAGTGATACGACTGCACAGCCGGGATCACTTCGAAAGACAAGGTTTGGATCCGGCGAAAAGTCCTGTTGAGCTGCAGCTGATTGCCATATCCCGGGGCTTCATCGCAAATGGCCTTGAGAGTTATGTTGCAAGAGAAATTCCAGAGTATGTTTTGGAAGAACGACCAAAGGCTGGCGAGAAGTATGAATTTTACAATATCATGTGGATCAGCTGGAGGAATGGGATTGCTTATCGAGAGGGCCTTGGTCGGGTGCACAAAGACAAGTGGGATTCTCTCCAGGTCTCAAGTATTGATATCGTACTTGGATAATATTAATAATGAGGACGTTGTTGCCAACGTTTTCTAATAGTCTACATGTAGTGGTACCCGAGGGTATTTCGGTCAAGATTTTCAGTCGCATACCTGAGAGAACCCCTCATACTGTCTGCTTAAGTCGGCCAAGCATGAAAGCATCGAGGTACTCCAAACTTGACTTCAAATCAGATTTGAGCAGAGACTTTGCCGCCGTCATGGGTAGTCTCTCGGGAGCGGGATATGCTAGGTATGGCAAGGAACGAGTCCTATGGGCGGCGCGAAACACCTATTTGATGTCAGTATCAATCGTCTTTCCGATGAGACACTCGGTGGCAAACTTACTCTAAGGCGCTTTACAACGTCCTCCATCTCTTCCGCAATCCGCACATGGAGCTTGTTTTCGGGAGAAAGCTGGTCCCTAAAAGAATGTTTCCGGAAGGCTTTGCCTAGTGCGCGCTGCCTTACAGGCACACTACGCTCCAGGTCTTCCTCTGATAGGTAAGGCTCGAGACCAAGGAAGGCGTCCAACGCCTGGAAGAGCAAGACCTGGTTTCCGCTCAAGCCGTTGAATCGAACGTCGGGCTGCTCTTTGTTGCCGGCGCTCCAAGCGAAAAAGCTCTGTACTCTTGAAAGCCACACCGATCGAGGGATGCGAGTTTCATGCATACGGTCGTAATAGCTTTTCAGTACTGTCCTCAACTGTGTGCCAACGGCCGCCACATGACGCGCACACTCTGCCATGTCGCCTCTTGTCCAAGTGATAGTGGCTTGAAGCATTTCATAGTAAACGGACACGGCCCGGACTTCGGTTTCGTGGAAAATACGTGCGAACGCTTCTTCGGCCGCAACGATGTGTGGCGTCATACCAGTGTTAGCTCGAAACATGTATTCGCCGTCGGCGTCGAAGTTCAATATCAGATTACTGGTATTGTTTCCAGCGTCGGATGCGCAATCAAAACTTCGCTGCATGTACTTCCATGGAAGAACCAGCTCCTCAGGCAAGTCGACCTGCGTCTCCATCTGGGCTACTTTCACAACCGGAATAGTAGCCCATCGATACGCATGTCTGCAGGAAGCGATGCAGCAATAGAAGGCGTTGTATACATCTTGAGGCATCGCGTTCCACTGGTCGGCCTCAGTGCTGCTCAGAAGACCTTCGACCTGGGGCAGGTCAACTTCTTCCCGCAGGAGTGTTCGGAATTGGGAGCGGAACTCGGCGATGCGAGCGAGATTGACGTTGTCGTCCAGAGAGGGGTTGGCTTGTGGGATTTGGGGAGCCAGCTCCATGTAAATCTTCCGGTACGGCCGCAGAGCTTCGGGCCAGGCACCGAGAGCATGGTTCGCTCGGGGTGGCCAGGACCCAGCTCCATCGTTCTTGACAAGATCGGAGAGCACAGCGGCAATCTCGTGACTTCCAACGAGTCTTTGAATATTTTCGATATTTCGGTCTCTCAATTCTTCGTCGGTTTCTTCGGAGACTGGTTTCTCATCCACGACCTTGGATCGTTTGTATGACCAGAAAAGCTTCCATACCCGGGACGCCAGACAAGCAGCCCCAAGGCAACAGAAATATGTGATGAAGATTTCCGCTCTCATTATGGCAGTCTCTTACTGAAGGAGATTGGATGTTGACGGACGATGCAGTTGACCCTGGGGAAGGCTGAGTAGACAGAAATGAGTGAAGAGAGGCAGTGTGTCACGCCAAATGTAGACGGAATGATGGGAGTATAAATAGTCGGCTCCGGATCACCAGCACTCTCTCGATCAAACACAGTTGCCTCATCCTGATCTCATTTGCAACACCGAAACTGCGGACACATGTGTGACTACCTAGCTGTGCCTCCTATCACCAGAACCCACAAGTGACTGTGCCCCATCCACGCGCCTTTCTTCACCCGGCATCGATGCCCAAAAGAGATTCATTAAGCGCAATCTCCAGTTTATAATCCAAGCTGTTACGCCCGAACTCGAAAATGAGGACTTTTCCACAGCCAATCACACCTGAAAAATTGTAACTCAAGGTTGGGGGCGTTTGAACCTCAAAAGTCTAGATTTCGATACGGGCGTAGTAGGCGACCCACCCACATACAAGAATGAAATTCCAACAAGATGGGAGCCTAAAAGTCGTTGTGGCCTCAATCCCAACTAAGAATAGGACATGGCTAGCATCGGAATGACAAAGACTGGATTTCAGCCATCCTACTTCCCAAATTCCGTAAATGGCAGAATGTTTCGAAAACGAAAATATAGTCAGCCTAACGGAACTAGACCACAACGATTTGCTTTGGATCAGCAGCGTCAGCAGTAAGAATCTGTGAAGACTAAGAGCTCGAAAACGGAGTCGAGATTGACATTTTGATGGATGTGTTAGTTCACAAAGTTAGAAGGAGGCTACTAGAGAACCTTCTTATGATCACTCCCCTGTTATGACAACATGATTACAAGATCGCGGCGGCGAGATGTTCTCCTCTGAGACTAAACCATTAGGCGAACCTCGTGACGACAGGACTCTCGAGAGATCCCGGTACTTTCTTTCAAAATGGCTATAAGAGGAATCACGTATCAAGATCATAATTGTTTCTTGGTCCAATCTTTTTGAATCTGTGTTTATCTGGAAGACGGGCAACCGGTCTTGCCCCTTCGGCAAGTGTTGAATCTTGATGTAAATCTCGGTAATTCATAGAATGGGTAGCTTTTCGGGAATCTCGCTGGATTTATAGGCCACAGCAATGGGTACATCTAGTGCCTTTGATGGTAGACAACTTACCTAGTCACTTAGGTAGTCACAGAAACTATCAGCCATCCTCGATCACCAATGGTTTCGTTTGGTTTTAGCCGCAGGTACTTTGCGCCAGTCTGTCTAAGGAGGAGTTTGGAAACCGATTACTACTAAGCTGAACATCATGTTTTCCCGTGTCCCAATTCCATCCGAAAGTTTGCAAATCTCAAGCTCAGCCACGAATGGCGAGACATAGATTGGACGGCCTAGTTGAACGACTAGTATAGTAATTTATGCCAATGAAGGTTGTAATTCTGGTTAACATGCTCAAGGGAGTGGCTCCAAGGTTACGTCAACGTTTTGCTGGAGTTTCCTCTCGCATCTCCACATGTGGACGTGCATGGAGGCAGCCATCTGCGGCCCAAAATTGTACTTCTCAGATCTAATTCGCCAGTCTCCCAAAATTCCATCTTGATGGTGACATGCAAGAAGATGCAATCCAATACCATACCAGTGGAACGGCCGTACCACGTGTTCATCCCCGTAGATGCGTGTAGTTCCGCAATAGAAGCCCTGATATTGCATGCTGCGATTTGGACACATGCAGCAGGATAGCCCTCTAATCAACCCATGCATACTTGATCTAGATAACACTGGAGCGGATGAATCAAAGCACACATGAATCATGTTCAGACCAGACGTCGGAATCATTGGCGGCCACAGCTGACCTAGCGGGACAAGGAGTAGGCTCGGCCTAGGTCCACCTGAAGCCAGAAAGCGCCTTACCCGCTCAACTAACCAATAGCTCCATGAAACTCAAGCCATACGTCCGCTGTCCAATGGCCAGAGGAATCGAAAACGTCCACGTCTTCCTGCAGTGCGATCAAATCCGGATTCACGATATTGTGCTGGTTGCAGAGCGCGTAACAGATATCGAACTCTCCATCCACTCACCGCGCTCACCGGACTAGCTTGCATCGCAACACGGAATATTGGTGCTCATAAACAGGTCATGTGGGAAGCAATCAGGCAGGACAAAAGCCCGTGGTATTGCTACCGCTTTTGGCCAGCCTAAAAGTTATGCCTCCCGCAAATGCTCGACTGCATGCCCAGAATTCACTTTTTCTCCGCAAGTACCCGACAGTGCCCTACCCGACCCCTCTATTTCATGTTGGCGCTTTTATCAGTTTCGTCGGACTGTTTTTGCCGTGGCAAATGATCAACTGCCGTTGGTTAGACGTCGTTCGATAGCGCACGTACAGGGGCGCGGATCCCTCTCAACCCCATGCACCCCGCAGGCCCGGTCTGGCAGGTCATCCGTTGTGTTGTTGGCCGTGCGGGGTGATACGGATATGTGTATGGGACGATCACAGACCTTCTGTTCGACAGCTTGATAGCGCAACGTTGAACCGAAGGAATGCAACGTTGTTGGGGGTTTGGTGAGGAGATGGAGGAGATAGCGGTGCTTCCCCTTGTCGAACGACCTATCTCGCCCGACAGCTGGGCCGAGACCCCGACTCCCCCGCCTCTGCATCCGCCACCAACTCTAAGTCGGGAGACGGGTTTTCCGACATATATTGTCGGAGCTGTCCCCGCGCTTCGAATGATGCAGAATTGTCAGTCCGGTGCTCATCTCTCTCTCTGAGTTGTCTTGTCAATCCATTTCACCGGGGCCCGGACGGCACCACCGCGTGGAGTTCTGAAGCCATAATGTCCGGAAAAGCGGAGATCACCGCCGACCAGCCGTCCCCGGCCGCGGACGATATCGAGAAGATCCCGGCCAAAGTTGAGAGCAATGAACGGATCGGGGATCAGATCTCCCATGAGAAGCTGGAGGAATTGGCCCCGAACGGCGAGCATGAGTACGTCTTGGAAAAGATCAATGGCATGACAGAGGAAGAGGCCATCGAGATTATCGAAGAGAGCGTGGAGTTCTTCAAGGACGACTGGAACTTTCCCTCTGATATGCGAGAGCGCATGAAAAGACTTCTCGAGGGACCCAAAGCGTACGGCGAGTTTTACGACCGCGATCTGAGGATCGACGCGGTCATGATCCGCTACTCGTCTCCTTACCCTGGCGTTCGCGCCGTTGCCGAGATTCTGGACGATCAAAACGTCCCGATCGAAACCATCCGAGCCTATTTCCTGGGCATTGGATGGGCTGTCATCGGCACCTTCATCTCGACATTTTTTAACTCCAGGTTCCCTGCCATTTGTGAGTCTCCTGGGATTTATAGGCGGCATGCTAGTGCTAGTTTTGCCTTTTTGTCTTCTCGCTAATTTCTTGGGCGTGTAGCTCTGAGCGGACAGGTCATCCAGATTCTGTTATTCCCATGCGCAAAAGTTCTGGAGTTCATTCTACCTGACTGGGGCTTCACAGCTTTCGGTGTCCGCCACTCCTTGAACCCGGGTCCGTGGACTTTCAAGGAGCAAATGTTCGCGACCATCACTTACAACATCGCCATCTATACCACCAACAGTTACGGAATGATCCTCGTTCAAAAGTCTCCAGTCTACTACGGCCTTGATTTCGTCAATTTCGGCTACCAGATCATGTTGACGCTGTTCGTACAGCTTATGGGTATGGGTTTCGCAGGATACCTCCGCCGATTCAGCGTCTATCCCGTCAAGGCACTGTGGCCGACGATTCTGCCGACGATTGCTATGAACCGGGCGCTTACTCGGCCAGAGCCCAGGGAGAACATCAACGGATGGACAATCTCTCGATACAAGTTCTTCTATGTCTGTACCGTTTGCATGTTCTTCTACTACTGGATCCCTGGATACTTGTTCACCGCTTTGGCGACCTTCAACTGGATGACCTGGATTTCGCCTCAAAATGTTACCCTCGCAATCATCACCGGTTCTTCCCTTGGACTGGGACTATTCAACCCCATCACCACGTTCGATTGGAACATCGCCACGTCCTCGTATGCAGCGTTGTCTATGCCTTTCTTCGCCACTTGCACCCGTATGTTGCCCCAAAACACCCCAGAAGGTACAATTGACTGACATTGAAACCAGAATACTGCGGCGCCATTCTCGGCGGAGTCATCATTCTCGGAATTTACTATACCAACATGTACAACACGGCGTATCTTCCCATCAACTCGTCCTCGCCGTTTGCCAACGACGGCACCCCATATGTGGTCCAAAACGTGGTCGTCGACAACAAGCTGAACGAGACTCTCTACCAAGACTACTCCCCTCCGTTCTACTCCGCGGGGTATCTCATCACTGTTGGAGGCAACTATTGCTTCTACCCGATTTACTTCCTCTACATCATGGGTTGGTTATATCAGCTGCGCCCATTCTCGCTGGACCTGAGCTAACATGTTGCAGGCAACCAATGGAAGACAATTTCTGCAGCCTACGTTGATTTCTACAAGGGTCTTCGTTACAAGAAAGGTAACTACGATGGCGCGATGGACATCCACAGCAGACTCATGGCCAAGTACAAGGAGGTCCCCGACTGGTGGTTCCTCCTGATTCTCGTAGCTGCCATCGTCGTCTCCTGCATATTCCTCAGCATCTACCCGCTCGACACACCCATCTGGATCACGTTCCTCATGATCGCCATCAACTTGGTCTTCGCCGTCCCTCTCTCGTTCCTTTCGGCGACGACGGGAACCAACCTGGGTCTCGGCGCGTTGATCCAGGTCATCACCGGCTACATGCTCCCCGGCAACACCAACGCTTTCCTCTTCTCGCAGACTTTGGGCTCTTGGGCGCTTGCAGGTTATGGTGATAACTACGTGCAGGATCAGAAGATGGCTCACTACACGAAGATCGCGCCGCGCGCGGTGTTCAGAAGTCAGATTGGGACCATCATTATCACCTGCTTCGTGGCTGTTGCGACTCAAAACTTCATTTTGGAGAACGTCAAGGGGCTTTGCACACCCAACCAGCCGAGCCGATTCACCTGCGCAAACGACGGTGCGCCGCTCTACACCAACTCTCTGGTTCGTTCAACAAACACGCTTACACCATGAACAAGAATACTAACAGTCGCCTAGATGTGGGGTCTTCTGGGCTCAGAACGCATGTTCGTCTCATTCTACCCAATCCTCAAGTGTAAGTGCTCCTCCATCCAACATCAGAAGTCTGTCTAACACCGAATTTGCAGGGTGCTTCCTTATTGGCACTCTCATCGCCATCGTCTTCCTGGTCGGCCAAGGATACGGGCCTAAGTACCTGCCCGGCGTACGCGATAAGCTGCGCGTCAAGCTCAGCCCCAAGACGTTTGCCCTCCTCGACCGGACCCTGTTCCCCTTCGTCGCCTCACTCCTCTGGCTCAATCCCGTTCTCGTCATCCAGGGCATCCAGCACTGGGCGCCATCCAACCTTTCGTACAAGACGCCCGGGATGATTCTGGGCTTCATCTTCATGTACTGGCTGCCCCGGCACAGGCTGGCTTGGTGGGAAAAGTACAACTACGTCCTGTCGGCCGCTTTGACTGCCGGCGTGGCGGTCTCGGCGCTCGTCATGTTCTTCGCCGTCGGCTATAATCCTATAGCTCTGAAATGGTGGGGGAACACGGTGAGTGGTGCAGGTGTAGACGGCAGCCAGATCGGAATTCTGCCAATCCCAGAAAGGGGCTATTTTGGACCAGAGAAGGGAGCGTTTTAGTCGTCTTCAGGCGGTAAGGATCAAAGCATCGACATAGCCAATTGATTTGGGAAGAGCTATCGTATCCGGCATTTGTCGGGTTCTCCGGACTCTGGCGGAGACGCCACCCCGTGGGGGCCGGGGGAGGTGGAGCCTTCACGGGATCTTGGCTCAATGCGGTCTCCTGGCGCCGCCGTTTGACATTAAGAGACATGCCCCTTAATCCAAAAATATCAAACATTCCCCTTTGAGCACTCGAGCTTTCTCGACGTAATTCATGGTTAACCGCAGCAGTAATGAAAAAGTGTAAGTACTTTGGTGGTATGTAAATATCTGAAAAAGTATAGACAAGAAGATGACTCTCAAAGCTGAGCCGACATGTGCTAACCCCAATCCCAATGTGAACGCCGTTCTAACCGCAGTAGGACTGCATGCAATGAAACGTAATCTGACAAGTCATGAGTGCGGTGCTGTGCGTGTGTATGGCACTGTTTACTGCTGGTTGAACAGGTACACGTTCTGCTCGAGCTGGCGGGTGTTGAGCTGCAGCATGTTAGCAATGACTCGACAACAACGGACAATGATGGGACTTACGAAGCTCATGCTGATGTTGTGGAGGTTGGTAGCACCCATCTGAGCGCCGTCACGGACGATCTCAGTCTTCATGATGTTGATGGCCTTGGTGACACCCTCGAGGCCGTAGCAGTTGGCGTACATGAAACTTCGCCCAATTAGCGGATAGGGTCTGAATATAGATAAGACGGGATTGACTTACGGACGACCCATGCCGACAGCCTTGACACCGAGAGCAAGAAGCTTCAGGACATCGTTGCCGTAGCGGACACCAGAGTCAGCAATGACATCAACCTTCTGGAAGACCTCGGGAGCGTTGCGGTAGATCTCGTAGGCGATCTCGAGGGGTCCAGGGGTGTGGTCAAGCTGGCGGCCACCGTGGTTGGAGATGTAGATGGCCTTGGCACCCTTCTCAACGGCAAGCAGAGCCTCATCAGCAGTGGTGATGCCCTTGAGAATGATGGGCAGGTTGGTCTGGTTCTTCATCTGGTCGTAGATGTCCCAGGTGAGGGCGGAGGAGACAGAGTTGGCGTTGGTGGTGTCGTAGCGGGCGGCGCGGTGGCGGACAGAGTCGCCGGGGGCGTCGATGGTCCAGACAATGGCCTTGGCGCCGGTGCGCTCGGCACGGCGGATGTTCTCCCAGGTGACGGACAGGTTGCCGTTGGTGTAGATCTGCTGGAAGATGACCTGGGGGCCGTTGAGGGTGTTGTTGCTCTTGCCGGTGGCGATCTCCTCGATGGACTTGGAGGCGTACATGGAGGGCTTTGGCCGCATTAGCTTGTGATGTCTACCAATCATCCTTTAGGGCCATGACTTACGACGTAGAGAATGTTCTCGTTGCCAGCGGCGCGGACGAGGTTCAGCTCGGCAGCCTCATCTCCGTAGGCAGCGCGCGCAGCAGGCGCGATGAAGATGGGGGCACTGAAGTTGTAGCCCAGGATAGTGACGCTGTTGGAACGTGTTAGTCAAAAGGACTTTTGTACTTGTATTTGTCGTTATAACATACGGAAGGGTCTCGTTAAGCTTGGTGACATCGCTCAAGTGCTTAGAGCGAAGCTGGACCTTCTGCCAGACGTCCAGGTTGTGGCGGTAGCTGAACTCGCCAGCAGTACCGGTGCGGTAGAAGGAGTACTTCTGGTTGTCGAGCTTCTGGCGGGCGGCCCAGTCGAAGTCTGGGATGGCGCGGATGTCCTTGAGAAGGGGCAGGCTGCCCTTGGTGTAGTTGGTGCTATCGAGGTACGTCACAAAGCCGGTGTCGACCTCGTTCTCCCAAGGCTCAGCCGCGAAAGCGGCAGCGACGAACTGCGCGGCAACGAAGAGAGAGGAACGCATCGTGAACTATGCTGTAAAGACCGTCGAAAGGAGTGAATGGGTAAGACTGAGTGTAGATCTTTGCCAAGCACAGCTGGTGACGCCTTTCTTCATAAGTAGCTACTGCGACTCATGCCAGACTTATATGCTCCTGTCCGAACGAGCTAGACCCCTTCCATCCCACGATGATCTCCATCGAGAGCACCCACTACCATGTCGGTGCATTTTACCCCCGGCGGCCTCAGGGTTAGGCCGTATGTTCTTCACGTCGAGCAGGTACTGGTTCATCTCAAGTCCTCCCAAAAGAGCAAACATCAGGCCTTGGCCAAGTCACTTGCCAAGTTGGGAGCTGGGACGCCCCCTGCCGCGCGAGTCGAAAGGAGGTGAAGAGAACCCGCCGACTGGCCAGTCACGATCTAATCTAATCAATCCGAGATACCCGAATGCCTGGATTCCTTGGCTGAAGCAATCAGGCCTCCGTGGGGGGTGTCTGTTCAGTCATCCTTAGTAATGGCGCGGAGAGTCCACTCGTTTCTTTTGGAAGTTGTTTTTGAAGGCATCGACTTGCCTAAACCGGAGAATTTTGGGACTTCACATGTGGCTGAGGCAAGGGTATCCTGTCACCGTGGTCGGATCTTCAGGGCATTGGTTAGTTTATTAAGAAGAAGAAAACCCACAATGAGGTAAATCCTGCCCAAGATTTGGTAACGACCGTCCGAGTACGGAGAAGCAGCCGAGTCGTTACCAGCTTGTTGACCAGAATGGAAATGAGAATTCCTCAACGATAACCAAGATTGCGAAAGTGCCTAGACCTGCCAGAGACAGCAGGTTGGGATTCCTGACTTCCTGAAGCAGGAGGCTTGGCTCCGGCCCAAGACTGCGGTAACAGGATGTCGCTTGTCGGCAGTGCTGCTGCTTTGGCACTGGCTCTGTTTATGCGCGTTTTCCCATCATTCAAGATGCAACATCAACTCCGCTTGTGGAGAGAGTTGGGAATGACTTTGGACGAACGAGAGCCGCGAGACGAGATGAAATTAAGTTCTCGTTTCTAGGAGGGAGTGGAGTCGCCAACAGGAATAAAAGAGATGGATCTGCTGTCTACAGAAAGCTTGGCGCGGATGTAAAATGCTTCCCTGTCGATGGATGTCTTCACTCCCAGTCAGCCGTACGTACGGTACCCGTTGCAAGGTCCGTCTGTCTTTAACGGGTTGAGTTATAATTCTCCATAGGGTCCGCTCACACTCGTGTGTGCGGACTCTGCGGAGAGCTCGCAGTTAAACTCATCTCACGGTTGGGGCTCCAGGCTTTCTTTAACGGAGCTTGCCCGGGGACCTGTGGACTCCTCCGGTTCTCCGATAGCCCGAAATGGGTCTTCGCGCGCGGTTGTGCTTGAGAAGGAAAAAAACCTAACCGACATCACTGACCCTCCCTAGCAAAGACTTTTTGTTTTCTTTGGAATCAATGGCCCACGCACACGGGTTGGCGAGGGCGATTGGCAGCAGCATTGCAACTATCCGCGGGGCTTGGTTCGGACGACGATTCCGAGAACGGGAGCTGCCAAGAGATAGCAAGGAATTCTCAAGGGATATCGTCACGCAATACGGAGGACTTTTGGCGCAGATTCAGACTGGTAGCGGCGCTTTTCAACAAGTCCTTATTCCCGTGAAGAATCCAGGGAGCAAAATGCAGCACAAGTACTAACAACGCAACCAACATGACTGACTGGACCCATTTGATCTTTTCCATGTTGCTTTTCCTGCGGCCGCCGCGGCTTAAGACTTCATGAATCACACTCTGAACAGCCCCCATCAACTACTCCTCATAGGCTGGTAATCAAGATGAGGCTCCCTTGATGTCCCTCGATTTAAATGGCACAGTCGCAATGCGACGGAGCCAGGCTCACCAATGATGTTGCGAGCCGATATGAGCGTTGCACCTCCTCGATTAAGACAGACCCCCACGCTCCGATCGCCAAAGTCCGTGGTCGCACAGCCAGCTTTTCGGGCCCTACAAGGCAGCCCTTAATCAAGTTTGGAAATCATCATCTCGGCTGCAGTTTCTGATCACTTTGAGGCTCCAAGGCACGGACTGGGCGTGGGCAGTAGGAACAATGTTAATTCTCACGATGCGCGGGCGCGGGCCCCGGTGGTTTTGGTTGTCAAACAAGCCGACTCTCTCATTCTCCCTCACACAGACACCCTCTCTCCGTCATTCTTATTTCTGCTCAAATCCTTGTTTCTTGTTCGTCTCTTGTGCTCGGCTCCGATAACAGGGTGACTTTCACAAGTAGTGGGTTCGGTGTTCGGCGCAACAACACCGCGTGCAGCGCCTGCAAGCCAGGGGGCGGCACAGCCAAAACCCGCAGCCCCTGACTCGAATCAGTGCTGAACGACCAAATGCACACAACACCATGATTCAAGACGGAGGCAGGATCGTCGAAAATCTTTTGATTTGATATCCACCGCAACTTGCAGCACTACACCGCTTAAAAAATCGACACTATCCAGGTGGTTTCTACTTGCACTCCACCACTGGTGAACTATGTGACACATGTTGACTCTATCTCCTTCTAAAAAGACATCGCTTTGCTTAATTTTTGTTGTGCTTTCTCTTATCAACCACACTCAGCAGACTAGAAAGAACTCGTCAGACAACGCTCAATCATCATCACACGATGGAATCAACTTACTTCCAATAACACCGTTGACGGGAATGTCTATCGACGTGGTGTAGCTCGCGGCGTCGCTCAGGAGGTAGACGTACGCGCCACCCAGCTCCTGAACCTCCGCCAGCCTTGGGATGCCTCCGTAGTACTTCAGCTGCTGCTCCCAGTCCGGCTGTTGCGGGACCCAGTAGGTCATCGCGGTGCGGACGAGACCGGGGGAGACGCTGTTGACGCGGATGCCGTACTTTGCCCACTCCATCGCCAGCGTGTGGGCCATGTTGCGGATGCCGGCCTTGGAGGCGCCGTAAGGTGCCGAGGGCACGCGCTGGAACAGTGTCAATCGTGCTCTATGCGACGGCTCCTTTCGAAATTGAGAGGACAAACCTTGTTGGGGCGGTAAGATGCCATAGACGCCGTGAATACCACAGATCCCTTGATGCCGAGCTTGATGAACGCCCTCGCCGCGGCTCTGGCTGTGTAAAAGGCTCCAAACAACTACGCATCATTAGCAACAGCTTCTGGTTACCACTCTGCATCAAGCTCACGTTAACACCGAACAACGTCTCAATCTCCTCCTTGGTAAAGTCCAGCGCCGCCTTGTGGTTCGTGCGGCCGGCGTTGGCGACGACGCCGTGGATGGCGCCGGCTTCCTCGACAATCTTGTCGATGGCGGCGGTGATGCTCTCCTCCTCGGTCACGTTTGCTTGCACGTTGAACAGGCGGCCGGGGAACTGCTTGGAGGCCGCCGCGAACTCTTCACCGGGCTCCGCGAGGTCGATCGAGTACACCTTGTCGGCGCCGTTGAGAAGACAGCACTCTGCGACGCCGAGACCGATGCCGCGGTTACCGCCGGTGACTGTGGTGAGTGTCAACGGAGGGGTTGTGTATACCTCACTTGATGGTGTGTTGTGACGTACCCGCGATGACCTTTCCCTTTAGTGTGAGAACTGGCTGGACGTCAACGGCTGTCGTCGCCGCTGGCATGCCGGTTGATGAAGACATGTTGTCTGATGTGTGTGATCTAAGATATCTCGGGATAGAGAGGTCTGCCGTGTAAGCTTCCAAGGGCTTTAATCGGTTGGTATCTGAATTTTGCTGATGATTTGGGGAAAGAGACTATAAAGCCATGGCATCGTCACGTTATAAGTGCCTTCAATTCCCCAACGTGAAGCGCAACCCTGATCCACAACTTCGTAACAAACCGGATCATCTCGAGCTTCAAACGCATCATCACACGTTCCCTCGAGACGAGCAGAGCTCTAGGCTCGGCGCAGACCACTCAGCGCTGGCGGACGCGTGCTCCACAATCGCGGGGTGAACGCGGGGTTAACAACGGGCAGCATGAAGGATTCCCTCGAGACGACGCTGCGGGGTGATCTCCACCAACACAACCAAACGACAGCAGCGCCTCTCAATGCGGTCCGGCGGGCATCGGGCTGTAACAGTTGGTGGTGTTTGGCTGCAGCGTGAGATATCCGGCTGAAACACCATTGGCGAAGTTGGAGAGGCGAGCCGTAGGTTTGGCGCATGATGGATGTCGCACCGCGTCTGTTCATCCGGAGAGACCTGCTGATCATCTTGAGGTTCTGCGTAGGTGAGAGTTGGGGTAGCAGACGGAGGTTCTTGGACCAGAAGCCGGTGGGAGGAAGGATGTTGTTGTCTTCATGCAATGTAGCACTTTCTTCTGAATGAGAAATGCGATATAAAGCCACCGTCTGATACGATTATTCTGCTGTTCCTCTCTCGTACCAGACGTGCTGGTTTGGACCATATAACACCCGCCATTCCCCTCAAAACTCACCATGAGCATGAGTTTCTTCAGATCCGGTTCGGCTCAAGTCCTGAGGCGGCGCAGCCTGGCCCCAAGGCATCAACTGAGGGGCCTCACCACTCACACGCTCAACACCGGCGCAAAAATACCCGCCATTGGCTTCGGAACCTTCCAAGATGCAGACGCCCAGGAGGGCGCCGTCAAGACGGCGTTGCAGTGCGGCTATCGCCACATCGATACCGCCAGAGTGTAAGCCAACGACCGGCCTACCTGTTGTCGACGCACCAAACTGACATGAGCCAGGTACGACACGGAGGTGCAGGTAGGAAAGGGCATCAAAGCAAGCGGCGTCCCCCGCAAAGACGTCTTCCTCACGACCAAGCTGTGGTGCAACTCGTACCACCCGGACGACGTGGAGCCCGCGCTCGACGCCTCCCTCAAGGACCTCGACACGCCGTACGTGGACCTGTTCCTGATGCACTACCCCTGCACCTTTGCGCGCGGCGAGGACCGCTTCCCGAAGGACGCGTCGGGCAAGATGATAATGGGCAAGACGACGTTTCTCGATACCTGGAAGGCGATGGAGGCGCTTCTGAAGACGGGCAAGACCAGGGCGATCGGGGTTTCCAACTTTAGCAAGGACGAGGTGCAGACGCTGCTTGACAAGGGGTCTGTGGTAAGTTTTCCCAGAGGCGACGGGTGATAAGTTGATGGAGGCTGAAGCTGATTCACTGCTTTTCGCCAAAATAGGCGCCCGCGGTTCACCAGACGGAACTCCATCCCTACCTCCAGCAACGCGAGTTCGTAGAGTGGCAGCGCGCGAACGGCATCCACATGATCCACTTCAGCCCGCTAGGGAACGAGAACTCGTTCTACAGGGAGGTGTCGTGGAGCAAGAGGGAGTCGCACATGCATCGCCTCATCGAGCATCCCGTCCTCGCCGATGTGGCGAAGAAGCATGGCAAGACGCCGGTGCAGGTGGCTCTCGCGTGGGGCGTCAACAGCGGCAGGTCCGTCATTCCCAAGAGCGTGATTGAGTGGCAGATTAAGGAGAACCTCGAGTCGGACTTTGCGCTCGATGGCGAGGACATGGATAAGGTTGCCACGATGGACTTGAAGGCTAGGTTTAACGTTCCGTCTGAGGAGTATCGCTGGCCGTTGTACAAGGGACTAGACGGAGTGTAAGAGAATTTGAGCATAGATCTGGGTTTCTCAATTCAACTTGGCTAATCGTATTGCCGCCTCATTTCTTCCGTGTAGTGATGATGTAGCAAGCAAGCGTACCGAGTGGTGGTCATCTGTAAGCGCTTGGCTCTTTCATGTAGTATCTTAACGTTCGCACTGAAATGTACCACATAACACAAAGGTCATGATAGACTGGGTCTTGCGACATGAGACGGGATCAGGCTGCGCCCGAGTGGTGTATTTCTTGAGTCTAACGTGCAGGAGATGGTATTTTAATGTCAAAATTGTCGTCGATATCATGGTTTTTCTGTCGCCCGCAACAAACTCTTCAGCACCCCTTGAACAACACCCATGACACACTGTGGCCTCTTCCACCACAGGTACACAGCTCCCACAACGAAGGGACTGCAAACAAGAGCCTCGAAAGACTTCATCAGGACGTGTCCCTGATGGTCGCTCTTCGCTACAACCTCGGAGTAACGTTCGTTTCCAAAGCTAACGCGGGAGTATTTCGTCTGCCATCCAAGGCCAGGCAGGTAGACAGACATGGTTTCTTCCAACCACTTGCGGAGGCGGTAGCGAGGAGACAGGACTGAGGCCCGCATCTCCACGTAATTCTGCAGCGCGAGATCGTTGATGGAGTGGGCGTCCGGGACTCGGTTGGCCGTGTACTCAGCGAAAGCCACTGTTCTGTGGTACGCTGCGGTTGAAGCGTCGCTTCCTTCTCCCGACGGGTTGTTGTTCTCATCCAGAACCCTGTGCTTGTCGAGGACAGAGAAGAGAACGCGGACGTCTTCGAGGCCTGCGTTCATGCCTTGGCCGTAGAAGGGAACCATGGCGTGGGCGGCGTCGCCTACCAGGACAGCGGATGATTGGAAGTGGTGAGGGCTGCACTTGATGCTGATTAGAGGCAGATGGGGATTCCTCTTGAATGACTCGATCAAGTCGTCAGCGGGAATCAGGTTTGTGACGCCGGGGAAGTGCTTGTCGAAAAAGGCTGGCAGGCTGTCGGGGTCATTTTCCAAAGCTGCGGTCTGCTCATTGGGGAGAAACAGCGTGCAGGTGAAGGATCCATCCTATGATTGTTAGTCAGAATGACTTGGCGATTTGTCTAGCTTCAGCAACTTACATCGCTAGGGATGGCGATAAACATAAAGTCCTTTCCGGGCCAGATGTGCAGATGGTTGGGCGAGATTCTAAAATGAGGGCCGACACTGTCCTTAGAGGGAGGCTCCGCCGGCTTGATCTGGAACTCGCACCAGAGGGTGTCGATGTACTCTTGCTTGTAGTCCATGTGAGCAAACTTCATCATATGGTACCTGACGGCGGAGTGGGCTCCGTCGGCGCCAATCATGAAATCGAAGTCAATCTCAATCTCCCGCGCGCGACCAGTAGCCGATTCTGAGGTCATCACCTCGAACCAGGCCTTGCACTTCTTGAAGTCGGCGCCGGTAAGCTTGTGACTGAAGAAGAACCTGACGTTGGGCATCTCCTCGAGAATGTCAAGCATGCGCTTGTTCAGACCAGCGCGATCCACGGCGTAGATTGCCTAAGCAGTCAGCATCTGGGTTAGGACCCCTAGAAACCGGTTGGCTCACCCTTCCGTGAACATCGTAGTCCTGAGAGGCCTCGTACAGTTCACCTTTCGGGGTTCTGCCATGAATCATGCGACCGCGCATGGGAATGGTGGCGCCAAAGACATGTTCCAGTAACTTTGGCTGGCCAGCATTGCGCATGGCGTTGATGCCGCGCTCCGAGAGTGCCAAGTTGATGGAGCGGGTGAAGTTCAACAACGTTGTCGTCGGATCTCGCAGGTCTGCATTGCGAGCGTCAGCGGCATTCAATTGAATTTACGAGTGACCAGGCTTATCGTGAATGAAGTCGATGCGGCCCCATTTCAGAGATATGCAGAGGCCAAAAGCAAGCAATCTTATCAATCTCATCCACATCACCGCCTCGGCGCAGACGGTGGTGGGGCTTGGAGGATCCCCCGCGACTCTGCAACGGCGGCCGAGCCGAAAGAGGGCTGAACGGGAATAGCAACACGCGACCGAGACCAAGAGAGAAAGACTTACCAGGACGCAACTCGTAAATCTCGACATCGTGACCGCGTTGCGCGGCATAAAGCGCAGCCAGCGAACCGACTGGGCCAGCGCCCACAACTACAACTTTCTGTTTGCCGGCCATCGATGGTTGGGCGCCGAAACCAAGAGATTCTCCAATTCCAACGGGAGGGATTGCTGGAAAAAGGAAAACAGTCTACGGCCGGTGGCGTGAAGAGAGTCGCATGATGATTTCGCACATTGGCGGGTCGAGTCGGCCGGGGGGAGAAGCAAAGTGGGCGGCCGGGGACAGAGGGACAGAGGGAGAGAGCGTCAACGACTTGCCGCAACGCCGCAGAGCGCACCTTTCTTTCACCTGCATTTGAAAGCTTTTTTTCACCAAGAATCCAGGTTCAGGTCCAGGTGGTGCCCGTTACCGTCTCGGAGACGTCGGCTATTTCCCGGAAGCCCCGACAAGGGAAGCTCCGCGGTGCCAGTTGCTTCGGCCTTTAGCCGCAAACGCTGATAACCTGAAGTACGTGCTAGGTATCGCCTATCGATAACAGTCCTTATCGGATAAGATTGAAGCCAATCGATAAGACACATCAGACCGTTGGAGCAAGCGCCCGCCCGCCAGCCCACCAAAAATTGTCGCTGTTGGTGGCGGGGAACCGACCTGGTACGTGTGGAAGCGCCCGAGCTGCGGCAACGTACCTATCACAGCCTTGGACTCTTGGCCTCCACTGGAAACAATTCTTCGTCAGGTCACTTTCCAGTCCCGTCGTACCGTACTATATGCTGTGCTGTTAGCTGCCGCGCCGCATTCTCCATCCGAACCCTGTCGTTTCCCAGGGTCTTTTCTGCGTAAACTTCCATTCTCTGTTTTCAAGTGTCTTCAAACACCATCGTCACCTCGTGAACACCACTGCCGTTCCTCTTGCGACACACGACCAACGACCGCCCACCATGACGGAACCCCCCGCGAAGAAGAAGTGCCTGGGAGTCGACTGCCCCAACGATGCTGGCTCCCTCCAGTGCCCGACATGCTTGAAGCTGGGAATCAAGGACAGCTACTTCTGCTCGCAGGACTGCTTCAAGAAGAACTGGGTTAGCAATGCAGAATCATGCCCGCGACGACAACCACGACGGCTGCTAACTGCGTGCAGGGCAACCACAAGGCCATGCACAAGACCGAGACAAGTATACTCCACCACGTCCTCCCGCCAAAGGTCGTCTCTAAACCAGATCCAGAGACAGGTGTCTTCAACCCCTTCCCGACTTACCCCTTCAGCGGCCCCCTCCGACCCGTCTACCCTCTTTCCGCCCGCCGCGAGGTTCCCAAGTCGATCCCCCACCCCGACTGGTGGCAAGATGGCCAGCCCAAGTACCCCAGGTCCATTCTGAACAGGAACAAGGTTGATATCTTGGATGCCAAGGGAATTGAGGGCATGCGCAAGGTCTGCCGCTTGGCAAGAGAGGTTTTGGATATTGCTGCCGCTGCCATCAAGCCCGGCATCACCACGGACGCCATTGACGAGATTGTCCACAAGGCTTGCATAGAGAGAAACGTGAGTGCTTTGCGCTGAAACCAGCGCGCGTGGGCATGAGAGCTGACCAGGTGCCCAACAGTCCTACCCGTCTCCCCTCAACTACAACCACTTCCCCAAGTCGGTATGCACCTCCCTCAACGAGGTCATCTGCCACGGCATTCCCGACCAGCGCGTCCTGCTCGACGGTGACATCCTGAACATTGACGTTACGCTGTACCACGAGGGCTACCACGGCGATCTCAATGAGACGTACTACGTTGGCGAGCGGGCAAAGGCCGACCCCGACTCCGTCAGGGTGGTGGAGGCTGCTCGCGACTGTCTGGACGCCGCCATCGCTGCGGTCAAGCCCGGCACCCTGATCCGCGACTTTGGCAACATCATCGAGAAGATCGCCAAGGAGAGGAACTGCAGTGTCATCCGCACGTACTGCGGCCACGGCATCAACAAGCTGTTCCACTGCCCTCCCAACGTTCCTCACTACGCCAAGAACAAGCAGGTTGGCGAGTGCAAGCCCGGCATGACTTTCACCATTGAGCCCATGATTGCTCTTGGTAAGTACCGGGACATCACTTGGCCCGACAACTGGACCAGCACAACGATTGACGGCAAGAGGACTGCGCAATTCGGTGAGTGATATCTGGTGAAAGATAGCAGGCATGGATAGATTGCTAATGATGTTGTAGAGCACACGCTCCTTGTCACCGAGGATGGCGTGGAGGTCCTCACTGCCAGGAAAGCCGACTCCCCTGGTGGAAAGATCCCGATGCCCGGCGCCAACGGCGATGCCAACGGAACGACCGCATAAACAAGCATTAGTATACACATATGCATAAACAAGCAGCAGGAGGCGTTGTGGTGAGGGGGGAAACAAGGAGATACATGGTTTGGTGCAGTGTTTACGTGGTGACGACTGGCAACACCTAGGCATCGAGCTCATGCAGGGTGTCGAGCCGGCAGAGCGGACGAGGTTGCTAGCGTTGGGCATGATACCTTGGAGAATCATGACTTGAAAAGCGAAAGAATTGATACTGAAAGCACGGGCACGTGAGATCGGATCCAAGCGTGACGTCTGGGGCGGTCCCCTGTCCCATGTGGTGGACGGAAAAGACAGCTGTCAATCGAGGGGCATTTAAGCCAGGGACATCCCAAGTTAGGAACATGGACATGTGCTTCTGCTGTTCAAGCTTCCGGTCCAGGCTGCGACTCGGACTCGTAATACAATAGCACGCGTTGTAGGCGGCTGTCCGGGCCAAGACCGGCAGACAGCCCGTCGAGCCCCCAGCCTCCGCTCCCAGCCACCCGGCGGGCAAAGAATGGACGTTTGACGATGATGCGAAATGCCCCTCTCCCCACCAGGCACAGCCATTGATGGACTGTCGACAGCTGGATGAGGGGCGGGAGCAGCACCTGGCAGCTGGGACGAAGGAGGGGTCCTGTTCGCCGCGATGGGGACCCCTGGGGATTTATCTGGGATTTTCTGTGTTTCCCCTCACGCTTGTGCCATCAACTGCTCAGTGTGGCTCAACTGGCGGGTCTGAAATTCGCGGCCACGCATCGATGGGATTCGCTGGGGTCGCCGGTCGGAGCGTGAGAAATCAGAAAAACGCTGCCGGAGGATTATCTAGCGGTACGTATCCCCTGTACTGCGTTATTGCTAGGTGCATCTGGTGAGTGTGGTGCACCTGTGAGGTGCAGGCTGGCGGGGCGCAATCCCAGGGCGCTGACTGGCTGTTGGTCGGGTGTTGGCCGCTGCTGGCCAGGCAGGGAGCCCAATCTGGGCCTGCCCGCTGCTTGGAGGTTCAGTTGAATGGAGGGCACCTCACGCTGCCCTGATGGTTGTTGTGGTGGTGGTGGTGTGCTGGAGCAAGGCATCGACACTGGAGCCTCTTTCATCATCAGGGAAAACCTAGCCCCGTAGCCTTTGCCCGCGCGCACCACACCCACCCTCCCGATTTTCCACGGCCCAACCTCAGTCAACGGCGCACTACCTCACCTCAGTACCTAGCTTGGCTTGTGTGGTGTCCTCAACCCTGTTCGGCTCGCTTCCTACCTAACCTTGCCTTTGCCTCTCTTACCTCACCTGGCTTCGCCTCGCCTCGCCTTGCCTCAACTCGCCTGCTAGAGCAGAGTCTCCTCCGTCTCCGTCCCCGTCTGCTGCTTCTTGCCTTCTCCCACCAAAAAGCCAACAAGATCCAACCACGACTCGGCTTCGCCATCGACCCCTTGGATACCCACACGTGTCGTCTGGCTCTGTCTATCTATCTCTCTCGCACTTTTCTGCAGCTTCCGCAGCATCCCCCCGACTGCAATTCCTGACTGCAACGGTTGCCTCGGCGCAGAGCTTCCCTCGTACATCACCCCAGTGACGTCGAAGCATTCCACCTGCCCGCATCGCACACAGCTCCAAACCAGCCCTTTTGAGCGCAGAAAAAAAGAGACGAGAGCTTCCTCTCCTACCTCCAACAACAGCACCCCCGATCAGTGCTGTCTGTATCTCTGCCAACTAAACACCTCATCTTCTACATCTCGATCAAGCGCAGCTCGCTGCCAAAGCCGTCAACATGTCTGGCGAAGCGTGGTTATACCTCCTCGCCGTCCTCATAAATGCCGTCAACCTGTTCCTCCAAGTCTTCTTCACCATCATGTACAGCGATCTGGAATGGTACGTTGTCCTCCTCCTGACCTCGAGTCGACGCGCGCCCACCGTGCATCGCCGCTGGCCGCTGCCCTGCGAGCTTAGACAAGCTGCAGCTGCTGCAGACGGCTGCAAGAGCGCGCTCGTGCTCTCGATCACTTCAAAGATGGGACAATTGACAGCTAACCCTCACCTCCTACAGCGACTACATCAACCCCATTGACCTCTGCAACCGCCTCAACACCTACATCATCCCCGAAGCCGCTGTCCACGGATTCCTGACGTTCTTGTTCCTGATTAACGGCTACTGGGTGCCGCTAATCCTGAACCTGCCGCTGCTTGCCTACAACATCAAGAAGTACGTCACATGCTTGAGACCACTGTGGAGAAGGGATGAAAGCTGACTTTGGCCTAGGATTGTCGACAACACCCACTTGCTGGATGCCACCGAGATCTTCCGCAAGCTGAACGTCCACAAGAAGGTAAGCAAGCACTACTCTAGCAGAGGTTATGCATGCCCAGATCTAACACCGTTGCAGGAGTCCTTCGTGAAGCTCGGCTTCCACCTCGTCATGTTCTTCTTCTACCTCTACAGCATGATCGTCGCCCTCATCCGTGACGAGGCTCACTAGAGATGAATCGCATACTGCGAACGACAACGGGACGGATTCCAGTACATACATTACCATGCCGTGTGGACGAGAGTGAGCACACCGAAACGCAGACGCTGCGCCTCCCCGCAGCCGGACGCTACGAGGTGGCTCATTATGAAGGCATAAAGCAGGCAACTGCTAGACATGGGGTCATGATACCAGGATGCGGTGGTGGGGGTCTGGGGCGGAGAATACGGCGCGGGTGCCCGCGCCTTGGTCTCCCGGAGTTTACGGGCAGAGGTTTGGTTTATGATCGCCTCCGTTTGGGATTCTGATGATGATGAACGGGAAAGGAATGTGACAAAGGGGAGGAGGGAATGGTTGTGGAAGTTTATGATGCGAAAGACAAATACCTAGCTGTTTACTTTATGTTGCTGCCAGGCCGGCTGGTCCTGGGAGCGGCGGGTTGCGATAATTGAGTAATGACAGATGTTTTATTGTGCCTCTTGTGCCTCTATCACTGCTTCCATCATGTTCAAACACAAAAGCTTGCCAGCAGCTTTCCCAGGGTTCGATTCGTAAATGTGCTGTGCTCGTAGACTGCAGATGTCCAAGCTTTTCTGCACCCAGGAGCTTGCATCGCAGCGAAAGCTCAGGCCTGACATCAGAGTCACGTGACACCAACTTTTGCAGATGCGACCAGGACCTTGACAATCGCGACCAAATCTTCCAACCGCGACGCAACCGCCTTTCAACCCCCAAATCCCCGCAACTAGACGATACTATCCAAGATGTCGGGCTTTGGAGAGTACACGCCAAACATGGCTCCCCAGGACGCCCTGATTGTGCGCCAGGAAGCAGAGCCCGACCACGCCGTCGTCCCCTACACCGGCGAGGACCTCGCCCGCCCGAAGCTAGGGCCCGCGAACCCATTCAAAGACGAGACAAACACCACCCTGAAGCGCAAAAACGTTCTCACGGGAACGGCGGAGGAGACTTTCCTGTCAGAACACACCTTCCGCAGCAAGCACCGCGCGATCGAGCGGAAAGGGGGACCGGAGCGCGAGTACCAGACGGGCGAGGCGGTCAAGGAGGAGGCGGCGAGGATACGCTCCGGGCGCGAGAAGAAGGGCGACGCGTCGATTGCGGAGGGCGACGGCGCATACGTCGGTCCCTGGGCGCGGTACCGTCGCGAGGAGTACGAGGTCGTCCGCGAGGGCGAGGAGCTCGCGAGCGATGAGGAATACGAAGAAGTCACGGACGACGACGATGTGGTGGAGAGCGGCACCGTCGTGCGCGCGCCCGAGGCCGCCCTGACTAGGCGGAAGGAGGTCGAGGAGATGGGTGAGGAGACGACGACGTTCCACGGCGCCGCGGAGCGGGACTACCAGGGCCGGACGTACATGCACGTCCCGCAGGACCTGGACGTCGACCTGCGCAAGGAGATTGGCAGCATCACGAACTACATCCCCAAGAAGCAGATCCACACGTGGCGCGACCACAGCAAGGCCGTCACGGCGCTGCGCTTCTTCCCGGGGTCGGGCCATCTGCTGCTCTCGGCCTCGGCGGACTCGACGGTCAAGATCTGGGACGTCTACCACGAGCGCGAGCTGCTGCGGACGTACTCGGGCCACTCAAAGGCGGTTGCGGACGCGACGTTCAACAACGACGGCACGCGGTTCCTGTCGGCGAGCTTCGACCGGCAGATCAAGCTGTGGGACACGGAGACGGGCAGCTGTCTGGGCAAGTTCTCGACGGGCAAGACGCCGCACGTCGTGCGCTTCAACCCGTCTGCGGAGCATGCGCATGAGTTTGTGGCAGGCATGTCGGATAAGAAGATTATCCAGTGGGACACCCGCGCCGGCAACGAGATTGTGCAAGAATACGGTATGTTTCTCACTTTTTTCTCTTGCTCTCGGTATATGCTAACATGTACATGCAGACCACCATCTGGCCGCAATCAACACAATCACCTTCGTCGACGAGGGCCGGCGCTTCATGACGACCTCAGACGACAAGTCGCTGCGCGCGTGGGACTACAACATCCCCGTGCCGATCAAGTACATCGCAGAGCCGTACATGTACCCGATGACGCGGGCGGCGCCGCACCCGAGCGGCAAGTACGTCGCGTTCCAGTCGTCGGACAACCAGATCGTCGTGTACGGGGCCAACGACAAGTTCCGGCAGAACCGCAAGAAGTCGTACCGCGGGCACAACAACGCCGGCACGGCCATCGACGTCGACGTGTCGCCCGACGGGCAGTTCCTGGCCAGCGGCGACACGCAGGGCTACGTCTGCTTCTGGGACTGGAAGACGTGCAAGATGTACCACAAGCTGAAGGCCGGCGACCAGGCCGTCACGTGCGTCGCGTGGCACCCGCAGGAGACGAGCAAGTTTGTCTCGGCGGGCGCGGAGGGGGATATCCGGTACTGGGACTAAGAGGGGGGAGGCTCTCAGGGACTACATCCAGAGAAGCACGCGGGGTTTCTTGTAATTCTTTTGGTAGGCATTGCTTGGCGTTGGGAGAAAAAGGGAATGCAAAAATTCGGACCTGCGCGTGTGTGTTGCGCGCAGTATGCTACTTGTATGGCTTTGGTGCAAGCACCCTCAACCAGTCACAACTAAGAGATGGGCCGAATGGTCTAGTTGGTAAAGCATCTCTAACAACTTAAAACCAATACTACCCGATGAGTTTCTGGTTACTCTGTTGAGGGTAGGGACGCTCAGTTCGAATCTCGCAAAAAACAAAAGCGAGGAGGGCCTAACGGATGACCGTCGCGTTATCTTTTGTCATTTTGATCTGATTTACTTTTGATGTAGAAGCTGCCCATCTTCTAAAAAGAGGTGTTGCTGCTATTTCCTTTTAGTGAGGCTCGTGATGGGATGTTCGTTCCTTCCTTGATGGTGTTCTAAGGTGAGGTTAGAGATGTCCGCACGTCTCCACCGGCTCCTTCCCGCTTGAAATCTCAAAACGCCGCCTCAGAGCTAGAACCACGTCAAATTCTAGCATTAGCTTCCAATTGACTGCTGCAAAAATAGAACAGCTTGAGATTTAGTCAATACAGGCTACTTCCCCAGACACACGAAGCGCGCCGGCGCAGATGGCTGAAGTAATCCGGCGCCTCCTTCCCGCAAATCAGGTGGTGTAGTCATCGACCGGCCATTCTTGGCTGAGCTACCCCAAATGCATGTCTCAACTTTTTGTCACGCGCATTGAACATACCTCGACCTTTTTTTTCTTGCCTTCACATCATACATCTTGTCACCTCACTCACGAAAGAAACTGGGCAATCACATGTTCGTCTGATCTTCTCATACCTACCATCACGGAAGGCCGTCATATCTTCAACCTCCGACAGTCTTGTCTCTCCCCTCTCTTCCAGGCTGTCACGATTCCTTCAAATAGCACTGGCGCGCAGAGATGGACTCGATGTACTGGGACGTCTTCCCCGCGGACGACTCAGAATCCAGCAGCGACGAGGAGGACAACGAGTGCGCGCCGTCTCTAGAGGTCCCGTGTGCGCGATGCAAGGACAGGAAACACTTATGCAAACGATGCAAACGGCGCCAACAAATTTCAACCGCTGGAGCGAGAAAGTCGTCGCTGGAGAAGGCCTGCTTCCCTCCCCGCGCGACCAGCTCCGACACTCCCGCCCCCGTGCCCGAGGTGCTCCTCCCGTCACCGGACGACGAGACTCCTACGCCCAGAAACGGCGCCGCGGCCCCGGTGTACGCGGCCATGTACACCGCCTCGCCGTCCTGGATGTCGACTTACACGTCGAGCACGTGCGCCACGACGTACACGGCGGCGCATGAGCGGTCGCAGCGCGAACGGGGGCCGCTTCTGGAGGTGGCGGGCCAGACGAGGAGGAGGATGCAGCCCCGCCGGCCGCGGATGAATGAGAGGCGGCGGTCTTCTGGGTGGCAGACGAGCGAGCTTGAAGGGTGGGATGAGAGGGAGATTGAGGGGGGCGGGAGTTATTGGGATGTCGAGGGGGCGCGGTGGGAGGAGCAGAGGATACGCACGCCGGAGCGGAGGGCGCAGAAGAGGGTTTGGCAGAATGAGAGGGTGCAGCGGGCGCCGGTGAAAGGGGTTGCAAGGAGGAGGAAGTGGGATGAGCAGAAGGGAGAGCTTCGATGGAGGTCGCGGCCGCTGGTTGAGCCGTCGACGCCGAGGTATCTTCATGATGTTGTGATGGTGCAGAGGGCGAGGTTGCTAGAGATGGCGTTCGTGTCTGGGAAGGGCCATTCGAGGGCTGTGTTTGGCATGGCGTATGCGAGGGGGACGGGGCACGCGAGGGGTCTCTTTTGTCTGCCTGCTCCGAAAGGTGAGCCTTCTGGAGATGGGTCCGGGCTTACATGGATGGAAGGTATGTGGAATGGTTTGGTTGGTTGGTTATGGGGGACTGAAGGGGGTCTTGCTGTTGACTTGAGGGACATAGACTAATGCTTCAATATCTAGGGGAAGAATTAACTATGAGCGTCTAGATGAACTGAGAAAGATTCTTGCCATCACTTTAAGGGTTCCAAGGCACGAGAAAATACAACTCAACTCTTTCCCACCACCCCTTTCGTATTCTTTATGCCTATCCCGGTAGACTCCCATTGACCTTGTACGTTTAGTGTTCTGTTCCCTCCGTTGCCCTGGCTCTGCTCTGCTTATATGTCAGCTTGGTAGCCCTCACCAGCATCCTCCACGTCTTCGTCCTGCCTGGCGTCTTGATGGAGGCTAATTGTCCCCCCTCCAGCCCCGTCCTCTACTTGTTCATCGACTGAATCATGACTTGTGTTGCTTGTATTCTGACCTTCTTATTGCTGGGGCTCCTCATCTTTTTCTTCCTCGACTTCGTCTTGCTGGAGATCGTGCTGTCCCCCCTGACCCCCTTCCTCGCCGGCCCGTGAATCGTCGCTCGTGTTCGATCCCTCTCCTTGTTATGGTTCTTCATCTTGCTGTTCGTGTACCTCGCCAGCTTGCTGCACGTGGTTGTCTTGCTGATCGTTTTCGACCTGCTGCTCATCCTGTTGCTCATCCTGTTGCTCATTATCCTCCTCATCTTCTTGATCTGGGTCTTGCTGCTATTGCTGCGCAGGAGCCGGCTGAGATCCACCATTCTCCCTCTTTGTAGCCCTGTTTGCCGCTCTCTTCGCCCTCGCCGCCGCATCTGTCTCCCTCTTTGCAGTTTCCGTCTTACTGCGCGCCTCTTGCTACTGCGCCGCCCCCTCTCTCTTCCTCTTCGCGGCTACTCTCTTATCGTGCGCCTCTTGTCGTCGCGCTGCGTCCGCAGCCTGCTTCGCCGCCTCTCTCTTCTCCCTATCCTCCTGCACCTGATTGAGGTTCCTAAGTCCGTAACGAGGATGAGCGTGCCGAGGAGGTCGTGTGTTGTTTTGAGCAGGAGCAGGCGCGGGACCTGGGGTGGGAGCCTTGGACGCCGCCTTTTTGCCCTTCGCTTCGCCCTTTGTAGTAGGCCTCGCGTTCTTTGCCATGGCATAAATCGTTGAGCACTCGATGACACTGACATTCTCGATTTCCATCATCTCTGTGTCGCTATCGCTGAAATGATCACTGGGAGGAAGGACGACAGGTCTGGTCTCGGCTGAGGGCGATGGCTTGCGGCGCTTGGGACACGGAAGCGCGTCGATCCCATCTTCATTTTCGTTATCCCGCGAATGCTTATACTTGACAGAGCTCCCCTTCGCGCCTCGCAAGGGATGAGCGCGCGCTTTCTTTGCCAGCCCCGTGGGACGACCACCACGCTCCAGTCTGCAGAATGCGGGATGATCGCTGGTCCAGGTCCCACGAAACCCGTTGCGCAGCGCGTCCTGAATCTCTTCGAGGTCCTTGCGGATGCTGCTGATGCGCATGGAATCGACGTCCTGACGCTCCGAGATCATGTCCATGCGGTCGTCCAGCGATTCCTGCATGGCTTCAGATCCGGACTGGCGGCTTTCGATGCGATCCTGGCGGTCAGAGAGGATTTGCATGCGCACATCGGTGTTGACTTCCCATGTGCGGCGCTGGGTAGGCGAGGGGACGAGATGGTCGGACCCGGAGCCTGGGGATGGGGTCCGACGGAAGCCGAAACCCGCAACATAGTCGTAGCCTGGCTCTTTGTAGTCTGGGAGGCTGCTAGTGTCGTACGAGCGAGTGGGTGTAGACGAAGGTGAGTCTCGCACGTATTGAGGAACGGGGGCGTTGACGTTGAGATGGGAGTCGAGGTCAAAGGACATGGCGACATCTTGGGGGCTTTCGGCGGTGTTCATGTCGGAATCATTCGAGGTGTTGGAACTCAAACTCATTTTGAAATGATTCGAAAACGCACTCGGTGTTGATCAATTTGATTATGGATTAGAAATTGATGCTGTGATGAATGATACTCGAGGAATATTATTGTGTGAGTGCGAGTTGTGAGCTGAGTTGAGATGGACGATTGAGCCGGCTGGAACCTGTGATATATGGTCGTCGAAATCTGCAAACCAAGTGAGCGAACAATGCTTGGTAAGTGACAATGGGCTTTGTCAGTGGAGAGTTGCCCGCTAACTGCACGAACACCTCGAGTTGCCTTTGTCTAGATGAGGAATGCTGTTGGGCAAGGTCAAAGTGGCCGGCTTTGATCCTTGAATAGTCGCGGTGTAAGAGATATGGCTCCATTGTTTTTGTTTCTAGTGCATAAATCAGAAAACAAAATCTCAAGGCCCTATGCGACTTTGAACAAAGGCGCCTGTGCATGTCGCCTCGACAAGCAGGTCCCTTATTGTCTATCACATTGGGTGAGCACTGATCTTTCCTTTACATCTCATAGGTCTGCAGTATGATCTTTCATGGATATGGCTAGTATTCATTGGCCGGTTTCCAGGTCAGCCTTTGACTTGACAGGAGTTGTGACCATGAGGTCGATGAGGGAATAGGCGACCTCGGCCGCGGCTAGGACTGTTGTTTCGCCTGCGTTGTCATAAACAGGTGCCACCTCCACTACATCGGCGCCTACAACTGAAAGGCCTTCTAGACCTTCGAGAATTGTGAGAAGCTCTCGGGTTGACCAGCCTCCTGGTTCAGCCGTTCCGGTAGCTAACATGTGTTAGCATGCATTTCGCGGAGCTTAAACGGGCCAGTCGAAAATACCTGGAGCGAAAGCGGGATCAAGAACATCGATGTCAACACTGATGTAAACCTTGGAGTCACCGACACGCTCCTTGATCTTGGAGATAATGCCCTGTGCGCCGAGCTTGTCGAGATCCCGCGCAGTTACTATCTCAAAGCCGCATCGAACATCGTTTCTCAGATCACCCTTTCGTCTGATAAGAGGCGCCCGAATCCCGGCATGGATGGAAGTATTCAGGATGAGGTGCTAGCGGTGTCAGTCGTGGTCTACTGTAATTTGCTCCAGGCTTGGTTACTTCTTCATGGGCAATATGTAGGAAGGTACCGTGGTTGAGGCCACTAGCAGCAAGTCAGTCTCAAAGACAAGTACATAAAGAGTGACTTTTCAACTCACGCATAATCTGATATGCCTCCACCTGAAAGGCTTGAGTATAAGCATCGACACATATTTCAGTGAGATGCACTTACCAAGAACGGAAGGGTCCCACGTATCTGAACTCCAATATCAGCAACTGGTGTCACGGTGGTCAGTGGTCGTTGAGACAAACCAATATGACTATCAAAGTGAATGACAGAGACAGGTCCCCATTTCTCATACGTCGACCGAAGAGCTGACAATGTAGTCGTGTGGTCGCCGCCCAACGCGAGAATCCTGGGTGTGACAGACACGGCCGAGTTTGCTGCTGGTCGTCCGGAGATGCCCTTGTCTTCATTAGCATCTTGTTCCTGGGTTTGGAGCTAAAGACCTATCACCTTGTGTGCCTTGTCAAGTCGCTTCAGGGAAACGGTGTTGTCCAACCATGTAAGACGTGCATCACCACAGTCGACCACTCTGGCCCAACTCTGCAAGGGGTCACGACCTATGAGGACGGTCAGCTAGAGGACCGACTTGTGCGGCCGCTTGGGGGGAAAAGCCGACCAGTGAAAATGTCCCACTGCCCAGGCCCTTTTCTCTGGCTGCCCATACGAATGGCCGGTGGACCAAATCGAGCTCCCGGGCGGCCAGTAGTTGTCTATTGCGTGCATCAAGTCAGATGTACACGCCAATTAATGTTGGATTCGGGGTGGACGGACTGTATCGTGAGGGGCGCCGAAGATGGCAATGTCATATAATTGACCTTCGGCGTCCCCGCCAGAGAAGCAATCCACAAACGGCAGATTGGCAAAGGTCTTCAGCCCAGCGATGGTATCGGCACCGGAGATGTCGATGTCGTCGTCATTGGTTTGAAAGGTCAAGGGCATCTGGCCGTGAGGGGAATTGGCTAGGACCCGGTGGGGGAGCTGCCACGCAGCTGTGCCTTGAAGGCCAAAAAGAGCAACGAAGAGGGCATGCATCGTTGATAAGAAGCTCTACGACCGGACGGCTACCAATGCGAATTTCCTCGGTAGCCAATTCCTAGAGAAAAAAGTGTAAATTCTCTCAGGATAGACATAGGCAGCGTGCCCAGCGCTGTACAGGCGAATCACTCCTATCGGGGAGACGCAGCGAGCCGAACATTACCTAAGGAGGTTCCTTCATCCGTCCCTCCCTGCCTCGTTCCTTATCGTCGTGCATATCCAATAGGTCTGCACCAACCTCTTCGCATCAAGGAAAGAACGACCCTTCGTCAGGCAGTTGCCGGGGAATGAGAAATAGAAGAGGTTTCCTTCCGCGAAAAGTCGAGCGCACGATGTTTGCCCACTGCTCGATGCCTCGGGTGTCGTCGCGACTTCATCCAGACAACAATCCTTCCGCGCTGCCATCTCCAAAATATCAACGTCGCATCACTCACCTAAGATGATGGCAGCAACTGCTTGACCTACCTATTATCCTCTACGAACTGCATTATTAGCATTCCTCTTTCTTGCTGCTCTTTCCATCTCCGAATCAGGAAACTACTCTCTTCCTCCTTGTCCGCCACACCATGAATCTCCGATTTGGCGGAATACGAAACGAAAACATCCGCTTGACCCAGATTGACCACGATGGCGCTGTTGACGACGACGATGCAAACGAAGGTCCTCCAAGGCCTCTCCCGAAGAGCAACTGGAGATCCATCTCGAAATAGTGGATCGACGAATACCTCCTCGTCGTGGTCTGCATCATCGGGGCGATTGCCTTGGGAATCATCTTCAAAAGATTCGATAAGGATTTGGTACCAGTGCTGCCCTTAGGCGTCGACTTCGACGTCATCATAGTCGCCATGTTCACATGTGTCCGCGTTGCAATGAGTGGCATTGTCGAATCCTGCATCAGCCAGGCCGCTTGGATTTGGGTTTCTGACGCGCGCCAAAGCCGTACCCACGACATGCGTGCAAGATTGGAAGACTTCAAGATATACGACGAAGCCTCGCGTGGTCTGTGGGGGAGTATCTGCCTCATTTGGCGTCTGCGGGCAAGGTAATGGATGCAACACCCGACACTCTTGATAAATCCCATGGTTAACTCTGCAAAACAGGCACCTGGCATGCATCGGAGCCTTGATTGTCATCTTAGTCCATGGACTTGAGGCCTCCTCTCAACAGCTCTATCAATACGAGCCCAGACCATGGAAAAACGAAACAGCAGGTCTAGTCGAGCCTCCCCCGAGAAGTGATTTGTAGGACTTCACGGTAACGCGGGCACTTGATCCTCGTAAGTAGATGCCTTCTTGTCGCTTCACTTCACCTGACAAAACGCAGTGCCGGCCCTAAACGTATCCACGAAAGCCGCCGTTTATAGCGGCATTTTCTCGCTTGATGTCAAGGATATCGGAGCCGATTGTAAACCGGAAAACCATACCTGTACATGGGAAGCCGTTCCAACACTTGCGGTTTGCGGCGAATGCAACCAACTGAGCGTCGACACTGTGTGCACCGACAAGTCACAGACTTGCAAGTACAGGACGCCATCTGACACTTCATTCGATGTCGCCAACTCACCGAACACGGAAAAGTTCAAGGTGACGAACTCGCTTGACGGTATCTTCCATCACATGAACTCAACTTCACGCACCTACATCAACGTATTTGATTTCCTTTGGGTGTCGAGAACGAGGCGGAAGACCAAGATCCTTGCACACGAATGCGCCCTGTGGTTCTGCATGAAGACTTACACGATCAAGGCTGGTGACGGTGGTTTGAATCAGACAGTCCCCGAGGACAAAAAGTGGCACACAACACGCTTTAAGAAGGACAACAGTGCGCATTTCGGCGAGTACGTTTTCATTGACATACCGGAGGGAATGAACGTTACAAATTCATCTCGATACAGCGTCACCAAGGAGGCATTAGCGGCACTACAACGGTTCACAGATCCCCTGCTTGAGGGAACGTACGAAAAGCAGTACACCATCATCAACTTCTCCTCGGATTGGGTCGAGGGTCTCTACAACGCTCAAGGGAACCTCAAAGACTGGATCGGTCGGTTCAGCACCAGTCTCACGAATGAGGTCAGACTTCATGGACATGTGCGAAACAGGCGTAAAGACTGGCAGCGGTACGGCTGTCCGGCAGTCATGGAAAGGCAGATGATTATCGTCGCGTGGTGGTGGCTCATTTTCCCGACGGCTTTGATTGTCATCAGCATCTACTATCTCTTCCACACCATTATCCGGGGAGCCCGCGATGACATATCTGTGTGGAAGAGCGACTCGTTGCCAATGCTGTTCTGCCGAATCGATCCCTCGATCCTCCTGAAAGTCGGCGATGGCATGGACCTGCCCAACGGGTTGGACAAGCGCGTCGGGGACGAGAAGGTGTGTCTGTTGAGAGAGGAAGATGGCGATTGGGTCTTCAAGCCGATCGAGAGCGAAGAATCATCGTCGGATTCCGATTCTGAGGGAGGGATCTCATGGTGATCCTGGCATTGGATCGACATCAGAGTGCATTGATACATCAGATCGAACCTAAAACAAAACGGCAGTGCGGGTGAGGCAGTTGAATATGACGGAATGGACCTGTCATTTCCGCGTCTGGTGTGGTGCTTCGTCCCTTGAGGTGGGTTGCGTGCGGAAATGTTCCGAGATTCGGGGTTCGGAGAGGCACTAATGACTCGACCTGCATGGTCAGTTGGAGAGAGTTACATCGCTGGTGATTGGCTTTCGGCGCCGAGCTCGTGTGGAGAAGTTCTGGGATGTCTCCCTTCGAGACTCGGCTGGTGTCATCGGCAAACGATTTCCTGACTCTCATTTGCTCTGTCAATTCCCATCCCTCCACTTCCAGCCTCGGCCTTCTTCTTCGAGATCGAGCCTCCAGTTCGTGATGCTGGATAGCGTTTTGCCAAGGGACATGGATATACGAGTCAGCAAATGAAAGCCGTTCAGTTCCGATCAATCCGATTTCACAAACCATGCCGCCGGCGCAACGGACGGGGACGGGGAATAGCTTCCCCTGGTCATAATTTCCGGCCGCGAGCTGCATGCCCCCCAAGCTCCGTGTCCACTGTCCAGGACGAGTAGACCACCGCTATTGATATCCCCAGACGTGTAGCGTCAAAGGATCGTCGACGGCTCCAGACCCCCAGACTTTGTCTCCAGAAATTCCATGCAGTCTCCCCTCTTCCCCACACCCCGCAAACTGCTTTCCGTGTCCCGTCCCCATCCTCCGTCTTCGGTCCATCCTGATCTGGGAAGTTGAACTTTTCCCGACATCCTCGTGTGTTTTCTCGACCCGTAGTCACTGCCGATAGACGAGCTTCACCTCGGTCAGCTCTCTCCACGGATACCACGCAAGCATATACAGTGTCCCGGCCAAACCCACATCATGGCGACTGAAGCAGCAGCTGCGGAGTCTTCCAAACCCAAATCACAGAGCAAGATCCGGAAGCGCGCTCCCAAGGCGTGTCTGTCGTGTCGCGCTCGCAAAGTGAGATGTGATGTCTCACAACGTGGCCGTCCGTGTATGAATTGCTATCTCGACAGCGAGACATGTGTTGTGACAGGGAGAGCTTCGAGATTGTAAGTGGAATCGCGACTACTGGCGCTTCTTGTAGCGTTGCTGACCGCCCATAGTCGGCGAGCTCAGCAGAGAGATGACGCCCCGAACGCAGACACCGCAGAGGCGTCCTATCCGCCGTATGGCGCCGAGTCTGGAGAGCATACTCACGATGTCGACCCCATTGCAGCAACAGGCAGCGACGGCAAGACAATACCATTGACTGAGCCCAATGGCCAGCATCACGGTCACGACCACTCTCACAGTGACGAATCATCGCCATTGGCTGCGGACAATGACCGACAGAAGAGCCCGACGGCGCACAAGAACACTTGCCGGCATGACCACGGCAGCCATGGACACACGGCCAAGCCCTCGACCGCAACAGGAGCGAGCTTCGAGTCTCTCCCGGCCGGTTCATTACCTCTGAATAGCGCCACTGGAGGACAGCTATCTGCCGACCAACGGCACCTCAACCTGGACGTCACCTTCTCGTTCTACCCTTTCCTGGCCCTGGGCAACCTTCACAACATCCCTCCCCAAGATGTCAACTTTCTAGAGCTTCAGGGCTGTCTGAGGATACCGACGCGTGCGATCCTCGACGAGTTTGTACAGCAGTACTTTCTCCACGTACATCCCCTCCTTCCAATGCTCAACGAGGGAGACTTCTGGGACGTGTATTGCATGAACCCGAGCAGTATGCCAAGCGACCGACTGTCACTACTTCTGTTTCAAGCGATGCTCTTCGCTTCATGTAATGTGAGTTTCACTCAAAGACAGCTCTCAAAACACTCAACTGACCTCATTCTAGTTCGTGTCCCGCCAAACAATCAAGACTCTGGGCTTCGCCACAATACGCGCCGCCCGCGCTGCGTTCTACAGACGCGCAAAGCTCCTCTACGACCTTGAATCCGAGTCCTCGCCCCTCGCCATCTCCCAAGCCGCCCTCCTCCTCTCCTTCTGGTCCCCTCCCTCATCGCCCGCCTTGCGGAAACAAAACACCGCCTGGCTCACCATCGCCATCCAGAACGCGAAGACCGTCGAGGCGCACCACTACGCAACCCGCACCGCGCCCCCTAAGAAGCGCAACCTGCTCAAGAGGCTGTGGTGGTGCTGCATCATCCGCGACCGCATCGTCGGCCTCGGCATGCGCCGCGGCGTCCAGATCACCCGCAGCCACTTCGACTTCGACGCCAACGGCATCCTGGGGTACTCGGATTTCGCGGACGAGATCGAGCGGAGCAGGGTGTACAACCCCGGCACGAAGCGGTGCCTCGCCGAGATCCTGGAGCAGCTCGTCGAGCTGTGCGTCGTGCTGACGGATATCCTCATCTTGGTGTTCCCGCTGGACGACAGTCCCGGTTGGGGCCGGGAGATGCGCGCCGAGGAGCAGGACCGGGTCCGCGGATGTAAGATGGCCCTGCGGAGGTGGTACAAGGGCGCTACGCTCAGATTCCCCATGTTCGGGGGCGGTTCCGTCGCGAGGATGAAGTCGCCAGGGAATGAGTTCCAGCATGATTCTGTGATCTTGTACACCAACCTGATGTACATGTACTATCAGTAAGTTGCCTGCACTTATCACTCTTTTCAAGCATCGTCGCTGACATCAGCAGCTCTTCACGCGTGGTTCTCAGCCATCACGAAGTCCTACACCTCGCAATCACGGCCGCCGCCCCTTCATTCAGCGCCATACCCACATCAGACCTCGTCATCATCGGAGAGAACCGACATGAGCTCCAAGACGCAGCGTCCGGCGTCACAGAATGCTTAAAAGAACTCATTCATCTGAGGCTAGCCCGCTGGCTGCCCATCAGCGCCGTCGCATGCACCGCCCTGCCCCTGGTCCTACATATCCTCGACGTGAAGCTCTCCGCCTCGTCGCGTTCATTCGACCCGAACACGCAATCGGCGCTGAAGCAGCACCGCCTCAACATCCTCATCGAAGCCATGAAGACGTACCAGCCGCAATACGACGGCGTCGACTGGGTCAGCGAGACGATACGGCACATCGTCAACCTGGCACAGATAGATTCGGCAACTGGGGAGGCTCCTGCCAGCGCGAATGAGGGCGGCGCCGTGATCGCGGACTGGACGGACATCCTCGCGTCGCAGCCCAGCTCATACCTCCGTCTGGCCTTGACAATGGACCTCTCGCTCAGCAAGGGGCGTCTTCCCGAGGACGGCGACTTTCCGGTCAGCCTCCGCGGCCTGTTCACAGGCGGTTTCAACCCGCTCAAGGCGCTCCTCGAAAGGAAACGGAACGAGAGCAGGGCGGGTCTCGGCGCTCTCGGCGGCCTTGGATCTACAGCGTCGATGATGGACTTTGAAACAGGCACGCTGCGGCCCGGCCTCTTCCGCATGGAACCGGGCACGGTGACGGTCATCCCCTCCGACGAAGACAGCAACTCGCCTACGTCGCAGAGCCAAGACAGCGCGACGGACGGGACCTCCCCGCGCGGGACCGGCGCCGGGGGCGACGTGAGCATGGCGGACCGGCCACCCTCAGAAGGAATCGACGGGCTGGCCGCGGAGGTGCTGGCGGCGTTCCCGCTGGACGACCAGTCCGTCAGCGTGGAGGGCGACTTTGACGGCATGTATTTCGACGGGATGCCCGGGCACGACGGGCCGAATGGTTGGATCGAGACGGCGTGGGGGGAGCTCACGCACGGCGGGGATGACAGGACGGATCGGGATACGGCGCGGGTGTTGCTTGAGGCGCTGCGGGAGGGGGACTTGGCTGAGTGTGCTGCGTGATGCCGGATGTCTATAGAGGGTATGACTAGAATGATGATAATGACTTGACCATTGCATACGTCAGACTTTGCAGTAGTGTCGCCATGAGAGTGAAGATGCGCGGCCAACCAAAGAAAGGGTCCATTACATGCACGTCTTGCGGTCGGCATTCAGCGGCCAATGGCAGTTCCTCAGGAGAGATTATCCGGCACATCAGTTCCCTTATCTCATGCACGAATTCCCCCCGAGACGGAAACATACGAGATCTGCGCCGTGCAGGGCGGAAATGCCCGGGGAACCTGGTTGGGAGTGCAGTCTGGGAAAGCAGACCCGTCCCCCGCAACGTGAGGTTCTCCAACCCCGGATTACCCATCCCCCACAAACTGGTCTTCCCCGGAGCTAACCCCGCGATGTCAAGGGCGGGGAATGGGCCGGGAAGATGTCCAGACCAGGTGACATGAACGTGCTTTGGCGAAGTCCAACGGTGATGAGTACATATAACGCGAAAATGAGTGCTCAACTATACCCCGTCATGTCTGTCGGGTGGTCCATTTGATCATTGACATTCTTACAGAATCCTGGGTAAACTCCCTTTACCTGCTCACGATGGACGTTGAAAAGGCCGGCTCCATTGCCCATGAGTCCATCAAGGAGGATGTATCTCAAGAGCAAAAAGGTGCTATCGAGCACCCCATGCCGGAAATTCTGAGGTCTCTCTCGGCGGCGGAGTACAGGAAGACCGGCAGGAGAGCGACGCTCAAGATGGACATCATCATCATGCCGACGTTGATGATCACCTTCATCCTCAACTTCCTCGACCGCAACAACATCGCCGCGGCAAAGCTGGCCGGGATCACGGAAGACCTGCACCTGTCAGAGACGCAGTACCAGACATGCGTCTCGGTTCTGTTTGTGGGATATAGTAAGTCATCGCCGCATACTTTACAGAAGCAGAGGGGAATTCGGCTAACAACTGAGTACAGTCATCATGCAGATCCCGTCAAACATGATCATCGGCAAGATCAAACTACCAGGCGTCTACATCTGCTGCGCCATGTCGCTCTGGGGCATCGTCACGGCGGCGCAGACGGTGGTCAAGAGCTTTGCCAGCCTGGCGGTCGCCCGGTTCGCCGTCGGTTTTGTGGAGGCCGTCTTCTTCTCGGGCGGTCTCTTTTACCTCTCTCTTTTCTTCAACCGACGGCAGTATGCTCTCCGCGCAGCTTTGTTCTACTCGGGGTCCCAGCTGGGCAATGCCTTTGGCGGTTTACTCGCAATCGCAATTCTGAAGCTGGACGGCAAATATGGGCTAGGGGGCTGGCGCTGGGTGAGTAACATGCTTCACTCTCTCTTCTCTAATCCCGTGTGACTAACGCCAACAGCTTTTCCTCGTAGAAGGCGTCGTCACAGTCGGCCTCGCCCTCCTCTTCGCCTTCATCCTCCCCAACTCGCCGGACGGCATCAAGTCCCTCTCGGAGACGGAACGCGCATGGGTCAAGTTCAACTACGAAAAGGACCAGGGCCAGAGCGACGACCGCTCCGAAGTCTCGGCGCGGCAGGGCTTCATGTTAGCCGTCCGCGACCCCAAGACGTGGCTCATGCTCGCGACGCTGTACTGCATCTTCACGTCGGCCGGCGTGACCAACTTCTTCCCGCCGGTGGTCGCGACGCTAGGGTACTCGCGGACCGTGACCTACGCGCTGACGGCGCCGCCCTTCATCCTCTGCTGCGCGACGATGCTCGCCAACGGGTTCCACTCGGACCGCGCGGGCGAGCGGTACTGGCACGTCGTGGCGCCGCTGGGGGTGACGCTCGCGGCCAACGTCATCGCCGTGTCGACGCTCAACGTCGGGGCGCGGTACACAGCCATGATGCTAATGCCGGCGTCCTTCTACGCGGGGTCGACGGTGCTGCTGTCGTGGATCGCGGGGACCATCAACCAGCCGGTGACGAAGCGGGCGGCGGCGATTGCGCTGATCGTGTCGGTGTGCAACACGCCGAACGTGTGGACGCCGTACCTGTACAACGGGGCGCCGCGGTATTTCGCGGCGTTTACGGTGAATCTGGTGGCGGCCGGGGCGGCGATTGTGACGGCGACGGTGACGAGGATGTATCTGCGGAGGGAGAACCGGAAGATGGATGACGGGAGGGAGCTAGGTGTGAGCGGGCCGACGGCGGCGCAGCGGGCAAGTGGGTTTAGGTACATGTTGTAACTGGTAGATGTTGTGGGAGGTGAGCTCAATATAAGAACTGGTTGCATGAGTTACACGTTGAATCTAGAACAAAACACCAACTGACACGACAATATTACACTGGTGAGGTCGTCACGGTTGAAGACGGAGGAAGACAGCCAGTTGATGCCATCCCAGTGAAGCCCAGTGGGTTAGGGCCCCTGACGTGCCCCTCTCCACACTGGCTGCAGCGCCCTTCTGCCCCCTCTGCCAGTAAGAAAGAGGGGGTTGGTCAGTCAGTTCCTGCTCCTTGATTTCACCTCAGCTGCCCGTTTGCAGATGATGCTTGCCAACTACACGTGTTCGAGACGGCCTTCTTCAAAAAGCGATTAAAGTGCTTGGGAATGCTCAACTCGTGCCCCTCGACTACAGATGGATCGCACTGCTTCTGCCAGAGCATCGCCACTGAAAATTGTTCCGTACCAAACTCCAGGACAAACAGCCGGCCAGAAACGCAAACGGAGAGGCACTCATGTTGACGGCCAGAATGGGCCATCTTTGAAGATCAGGAATGCCTGCATGACCTGTAGAGAGTGGGTTGCTGTATTTCACAAAACGTATCCCAATACTTACTCCCTTTCAAGAAAGAAGACTCGCTGTTCCGGCCACCTACCATGTATCCGCTGCCAGCAGCACGACCAGCCATGTCAGTATATGCCGACAACAGCATCGCCGTGTCCGCCAGAGAGACGTCCACGAGCAACACCCTCAGCACCATCGCCAGTCGCAACGGCGACGACAATCTCTTTCGAGCAGCAGCACTCACACGGCGCCCAGCCAGATAGCCTTCACGACTTCTCACCAATTCAATCGTCACCACCGGCGAATGGGACCTCCAGCGAGACTCCCGACGGGCCGCTTCAGGAGGACCAGTACGGCCACTTCCATGGCGGCGCCTCCGACTTTGCCTTCCTCCACATGGCGAAGCAGAAACTCGCCCGTCTGCCGTCAATGTCAATTCACTTCTCCGACTACCCACTCGCCGAGTCCAGCAACTTGCCCCCGATCCTTCCTCCGAAGCCCGTCGCCGACAGACTGGTGCGGACTTTCTTCGACTTTGGCCTGACTACGTCGCGCTTCGTGCATGAGCCGACTCTGATGGAGTCGTTCGAGAAGCTCTACAGCGACGGCCAGGACGACAGTCTCAGCAACGACACCCTGGCCCTGATTTGCATGGTACTGACGCTTGGTTCCCATTACTCGAGAGTCAACAACATGTATTGCGGTTACTCTTCTAGGTATCTTACGTCAAGGCCCACCATACCTCGCGATTCAGACTGACCCTTACCGATGAAGCGTCCGATTTTACCACATGGCCGACCGCCAGCTCCAGAGAGAATCCAGTAAAATCACGTTTGCATCTCTCCAAGCACGACTTCTCGCGACACACTACCTGCTGAACCACTCGCGCATGCATGAAGCCTGGTCCTCGTTCGGCATCGTCGTCCGCCACGCCCAAGCCCTCGGCCTTCACCGCCGTTCCGTCGGCCCGTTGAGCAATTATATCACCCACGAGTATCGCAAGCGACTGTTCTGGGCCATCTACGTCAACGACCGAATCATCAGCAGCATATTCGGCCGTCCATGCGCCATACACGACGATGACATTGACCAAGACGAATGCGCCTTGGCCGACGACGACGACATCACCGCAACGGGCTGCCGAGTAGCCCCCAATGGAGAGTTCTGCTCTGCCGCGGCACTCATACACTATGCTCGCCTCTCCAGGATACTAGGCAAGATCCTCAGAAAGTTCTACAGTCCCGCGGCCCGGAACAACAGCATCACCCAGCTACACCAGTTTGCGGCCGAGTTCGAGAAGAGTCTGCTGGACTGGCAGGACAACCTCCCCGCTTATCTCAACTACGTCGCCCTGCCCCCATCAGCGCTATCTACAATGACCCAACGCCAAACGTGCACACTGAAACTGATGTTCGCTCATGCCAGTCTCCTGCTCTACCGCCCTTTCATCCTCTACTCCATGGACCCTGCCACCGGAGTCGTATCGAGACTCGAGCAGTGGGTCAAGAGGTGTCACGACAAGTCCATCGAAGCGGCCAGAGTGGTCGTCAACGAGTGCCGCTACCTCTGCCAGCGAGGCCTGTTCTCGAGGGCGTTCTGGCTGGTCAATTACATGCAGTTCGCCGCGTTGGGCACTCTATACATGTACTCTCACCTGTGGCCCGAGGCGACGCACGTCAGGGAAACGGCAGAGGAGGCCATGGCCGAGTTCCCGGTCGGTGTGCAAGGCGACTTGGTGGGGCAGCGATATGTTGAGATACTGAACGAGCTGCGAGAGGTGACGGCAAGGACAACGTCGACGGGGATGGATATGTTGGCGAGTGCATGTACTGTTGATGAGATGCCAGCGTTTGAGACGCCCTTGATGGACTTTGGCGGCCCGTGGTCGAATCTCTTCTTTGACACTTCGGCTATCGATGAGTACGTGGATGTCGAAGCCAGGTAGTCGACCGCGTAAAAGACTACCGCCGGCATTTTACTACTCTCGTAGCAATTGGAGTACAGACAAACGCAGTCTCGAAAGTGCTTTTCCCCAGCATAATATCCCGTATTGACATCATGAGACCCCAACTTTGGCGTCCCGAAGAATCTGCATGATTCCCACGGCTTCTCCGGGGAACGGTCCAGAATTACCGGATTAGGAAATCAACAACTTCCCCGGGCGTCAACCCCGCCCCCGCCTCCGGGCGATGATTCGGGGAACGCTGCTCATTACTGTATTCGGCAATCACTCGTGGCACCGTCTCCTTTAGCTGACCATTCGAGTCAACAGGATTCGAGTGCATAAAGACGGGAGATGCACGTAGCACTCCAAGATGGATGCATGTCAACTTGGACACAAAGCTGCTCGCTTCACACGCAAAAGTTTCCTGTTTACCATTGATACTTGTGTTGATCTACATTAGACGAGTTGTCAACATTTCCAACATGACTGAAGTCCTCGGTTACAGCGCCCCTGACATCCACTCAAAACCTGTCTTCTCACAGGAAAAGTCCGTGGTCCAACAAGATGAGAAGCTCTCGCTGCATGGGAACGGCGGTATCCTCGACGATGTCAGGCTACTCCAACCCGTTTACCCCGACACTCCCATCGAGGAGATTCAACAGAGATACTGGCAAGACGGTGTCGTCTGGGTACCCCTTCCTTCTCCGCGAATCCTCACGCCCATTCACTAACACACGCCCACAGGTCAAGGGCCTCCTCAACCCAGACATGGTCAACCAAATGCGCTCAGACTACCTCACCTTCGTCGACAACGGCACCGGCATGCTGAAGCCCGGCACCGACCCCGCAGACGGCATCTTCTCCGGCCTCGACTGGCGCGAGTTCCTCCTGCCCGGCGCCGTCCGCGTCGCCTGCGGCCTCAAGGACGAAGGCCCCTTTGTCGACAACGCCATCGCCAGCCACAGCGCCGCCTTCTACCAAGATTTCAAGGACAAAGTCGGCCGCGAGCTCGAGCCCTTCGTCGGCAAGCTCGCCGGCTTCGAGGAGTCCTGGTGTCTCCCGCGGTCTTTGCTGCGGTGCGCCGTGCCGGGGGGCGAGACGACGCCCGTGCATTACGACCAGGTCTTCCTGCGGGCGGGGCCGCCGACGAGCGTGACGGCGTGGGTGCCCATCGGCGACGTGGAGCTGGAGGGCGGCGGGCTGATCTACCTGGACCGCTCGGCTGAGATTGGGAAGAAGTATGAGCAGGACTTTTCGAGGGTGAATGCGGAGCTGCCCGACCCGGACAGGATCTCCGCGTTTAACAGGAACATGGAGAAGGGCGGGTGGCTGGATAGGAATGCGAAGAAGTTTGGGGAGCACTGGGCCCGCGGCTGGCTTGTGGTGAGTCTCGCCTTTTTTTGCAGACTTCTTGTGATTACTGACGATGGTGTTTCGTAGGGAGCGTACGAGGCTGGGGATGTGGTGTTTCATACCCCGTACGCCGTCCATGCTGGGGCGATGAACCAGTCGCCAAAGGGCCGCATTCGCGTGTCAACGGACTTGCGGTTCGTGGATAAGACAAAGCCGTATGATGAGCGGTGGACTTACATCGCGTACTCCGAGAACGATCCCAATGTTGCAAGCAGGCAGCCAAAGAAGTCTGAATGAGTTATCCATATTAATTGAAGAATATGTACATTTTCTTAGCCAACGCATGTTAACAGATGGACACTTTTCATTCCTCTTGGTCCTCAGGCTTCTGTCCATAAACAACATAACTTCCAACAACGTCAGCCATAATCCTCAAATCGCAGTTGACGGGTGACTTACTAATTCAGATAACTGTGAATGTTCCCAGCTTTGAGCTCTTTGCGAACCCCAGCAAGAAACACCAGCACCTCCTCCGGTTTCCACCCACGAACGCCGCAGAAGAGCTTCATCGTAAACCCCTCAAGCCCATCCAGCGTCTGCACCAGATTACACATGCCCACATCCCTCAAGTGCGGATCTCTCGGCCACCGACCGAGCGGCACTTTGAAGTCCTGGCGGCGCACGTTGCGGAACCCGGTCGTCCTGACCCAGTCCTCCAGCTTCGGGCCCGGGGCCGCCTCGCGGTTGAGCATCTTGCAGGTGTCCATCATCAGGTCGTTCCAGCGCCAGACCTCCGTCCCCTCCAGCGTGCCGTCGTCGCAGTCTAGCATCAGGTTGTAGTCCTGGAACTCGGCCCAGCCGCCGGGCTTGATGTTGCTGCACCATGTCATGTTAGACACGCTGGTTGGAGGGTGGAGGACATCATGGTAAATAACGGCGAAACATACTCGTAGATGTTTCTCACATATTTTGGCCAGTCGGCGAGCGATGCGGCCATGTATCGGCTGAAGATGAAATCATAGGGTTGGTGGCCGACCCACGTGTCTTCGAGGTCATCAACCTCGAATCTCACGTTCGGTGGCACCCTGTGCTAAGTCAGCTATGCGTCCCTTCCGAGGATGGGATTCGAGGAGTGTACCATTCCGGCTGGATCGCACTCAAATCGTTCCCAAAAATCTTTGGACGATCCGATGTGTCAGTGTGTGAGCAGCAAGGGGTTACTCGGAGATCATACCTCGGCGTTGGGAAAGAAGTCTGCCATTTCGATGGCCCCTGGGAGTCTAAGCAGTGAACAGAGTATGAGAGCGCTCGTATCTCACAAATACCAGTCCCAGTCCCACAGTCAAGAATACGTTGGATTTCGGGCTTCAGAGGTGCCAGGTAAAGCTCATAGCCAATTGCCTTAACCTCCATGCTATGGGTCAAGTCAAGACGATCCATCTCGCTCTGGGACAGGAAATAAGTTTCAAAATCAACGTCTTGACAAATCGGCGGGTACCTCGTCATTCGGAAAGTTATACGCTAATTATATCTCAGTAACATGTTCATCGCCAGCGATGTTCACTAGGGACTTACCTCCCGCACGGAATGCATGATAGCGTCGCCCATACTCGGTGGGGTAGTCAATAACAGATGAAGTTAATGACGCCGTATAAGAGGAGCTAGTCAGCGTGTCAGTAACATCACCGATAGTTGTTCAAAATCCTACGAGCCTACATTTGTTCGTCAATCGAGCGGCCATCAACCTGGCTCAAGTGTCAGATCTGAATACGACATATAGTTCACATCGATAGGTGACGAACGCTGGGTGTATCGTCCACCTCCAGTGGGACAGGTGCCGGGGCGTCGCCGGCTGCCGAAGTTCGGGATTCCGGGGACTGCGGGGGCTGCGGGGACTGCGGTGACCGAGGCGATTTGGTCGGCGACCGGCTCTTCGGAGTAGACTCCGGCACCCGGGCTCCGGGACTCGCCGTTGTATTCTCAGCCACTGCATCAGCCATTTTAATGCAAAACTCAATGTCTTAGAACAAAGTAACCAGAAAACTGGGCTGGAAATTTTCCCGAGATGAAGGAGGGGCACAGGGTTTTGTAACTCGCAGCTTGACTCGTTTTTTTCCAGTGGATGGCTCCTCTGCAGTTCTGCGGCGTTCTTGGAGAACGAGCAAGGGTTGTTTCCTCTTTCCGATCGACACCCTGGCCTTTGGAGCGGGGCATTGCGTGTTCATCATCGTGTTGTCATATCTTCTCAAAAATGACAGGTCAAATCGGGGCATGTCCGCCGTGCAAGTGTGCCAGCGGATTGGTTCTCCCCGAAAGCGAGTGCATACGGTTCACATCACACGGCTGGAGGGGGGTCTAGACCTGGAAGAAGAATCCCGAGTGCTTTTCATGCGCGCCATATCATCCTAGAAGCTGAAAATGTGCCAAAAGGCAAACCGCTGCAGGCCGCTCCGCAATGTCTATCTGCATGCTCTCTGTCCAAGTTGCTCCCGCTCAAATATCTTACAAACGCCCGAACACACCTAAAAGTTCCACCTGCTGTCGTCAAAACCACCGCAGTAGCCGCATCCGCAGTTGAATCCGAATTTATAATACAACACCGATGGATCTTTACCGTAGCTGATGGTCAGCTCGTCGCCCTCCTCGATGACCCATGCGCGGACCTCGAATATCAGTACCTCCTCCTCAGCATCGTATCTGTGCCCCACCTTGGGATTGCAGGAGTGATTGAAGCGAGCAGCGATGGGGAAGAGGCCGGCAACATCCCTACACGCCCCCGAACCCTTCTTACGTGTCGAGACGGTGTCCTTGGGGAGCTTGGATGCGAACCTGAGAAATGGGTTAGCAGGAGCTTTGGGAGAAAATGGAAAAGGGACGTACGCATTGGTATTCCAAACAGCCTGCGCCTTGGTCTCTCCATCGCGGCCGAAATGGGCATGCAGGTCATTGGCGACCTTCTGTTCGTGCTCATGAAGGTTGAGGACGGACGATTCCACATCTTCATAAGTCGCATGATAAAGGGCCTTCTCAACGAGGATTTGGTCTCCCTTGTCCAACTTTCTCGTGGCAAACGCACCCCAGCCGGCCACAGGAGAGCGCCGGATCTCGAAGAACTCGTTCTGAAAGATGATGGGCCTCTCCTCCTCAAAACCGTCTTCACCCTTCATGGCCCGCAAGAGCGGAAGGCCCGCGGGCTTAAGGGTCTCAAGGTCGTGACCGAATCCGGTACTGGTGATGTTAGACCAATCCTTCTTTTCATAGCCATGAATCTGACTTACATTATCAGCTCCACCGACTCATCATCTTCCTCGCTAGTCACGTCTGTGTCGCTGACATCGTTCATATCAAAGGGCGAGAGAATGTCGTAGTCTCCGTCGTCCTCGTCATCCTCGTCATCGTCCTCGTCATCCTCGTCGTCGTTGTCGTCGTCGTCGCTGTCATCCTCGTCGTCGGGTTCGCCCCCAACCACAATGTTACGGACGAGGGGAATCGTCCTCCAGGTCATATGCTTGCTATGCAATGGCTGGAGTTTCGATCCCACGGCCTCCGAGAACAGCATGAAGTCCTCTTTGAGGTCCTGTGGTTATGGTCAGCTCAAGAGGCCGGAATGGGTGTGCGCGCGTGACTAACCTTGAGCCCGATCTGCATTTGAAGAGAGATAACCTCATTTACCCTCATTGAGTCGCAGTCCACGGGCAGAATCGCGTCTAAATCCAAGGACTGAATCTTCTCGTTGGTGCGACCATCTCTCGAATGTGGTCTTGGAGGGTCATGGGCCAACGGCTCGCCCGTTGCAAGCGGCGACGGCAGCATCTTCGTGGGCTGAGCACAAGGCCGTGGTTCTCGACAGGTAGAAATGTTCGTTGTGGGTATAAATCTATGGGAGAGCGAACGGGATATCTGAATGGAAAAGAATGTGAATGATGATGTGTATCGAAATGAGTGCAACAATCGCTCGGCGAAGTCAAAAAAGTATTAATTATGTCTGAAATTGATAGCCTAGCTGTTGGCAAGCGCGATAATCATGTGCGTCTTTCCTGAATTCAGTGAGATATCGAGCTTCGGAAGGTAGCACTCTGGGTAGTCGCAGACAGAGGAGATCGGAAATGAAGGAAGTTGCTGAAGAGCTTCAAGTGTCGTCCCTGTCGTCCCTGCCGCTGGATGTCGACCGGGCAGTGATAGTAAATCTTATCAAGGCTTATCAGTATCACCCAAATTTATGGATTGCGCCTTCTGTTGAATGATATTGGTTTGAGTTTTGTTGTTGCCGTTGTTGCCGTCGTTGTCATGAAGCCGGTCCTATCTGGCACTGGTGACAGAATTTGCTCTTGAGCAGATTGTCAACGGCAAGCTGAAGCCACGAATTTAAGCCGCCAGGAAAGTCCAAGTCTTATTACGTCTGCAGGAGGTTCAAGAGCTGACGAAGATTGAGCGAGGTGTCTGTTCAGTCGGTGGGAAAGAGAGTGTCGTAAGATGAAGAGGCAATTGCGTGGGTAGAAGGAAGTAAAGACAAGAGGTGCCGTTGAACCTGCCGCGACTTCTGATATCCCCGAGTAAGTGCTACTGCGTTGAGGATTAATGCAAGAACTGAGGGCAACCAGTAAATTTGTTGTGTCTGTTTGGTGTTGAGGTGAGGTTGATCGGGTCCATTGGGTGGGTTGGCGATGTTGTTGTGTGTTTTGGTGGACAAAACACGGGAAGCTGCTGCTTTCCACAACTTCCGGGTTCCTAGTATCAGCAGTGTAATCGAAAGCCTTGCAATGGAGGAAGGAACCGGGGATTTGTGCTACGAGCTATAAAATCAGCTCGCTGATATCTCTTGCTCGTTGCCAGGCCGAATTATTGGCAGCTTCATCGATAAGTAGTTGTTGTGGCTGTTGCCTGCAGAGGTTGATCCACCACTGTTCTGGTCGGGTGGCGGTAGATCCTACGTGCTGATGTGCGTTGGAGTGTGTTTGTCCTTCAACTCTCTTGTCCGTTAGATATGCATGAGGATACTCCAATAGAGAAGTCCGAAAGCATGGCGCACGCATTGAAAAGGAACGAGGTTCTGACAGTATGGAAGGAAGTTGTGGTGTCAAACCCATAGGTGGATGTGTCAAAGCCCGCTTCACTCTTTCCATGGGGAGACGGAAAGGAGTTGGACATAGCAAACTGAGATGAGCACAGCAAGCTGGGAGCCTACCATGTGAAATCTCCTATGGCGCAAACGCCATGAGCTGAATCTGTAGAGCACATGCAACAATTGGTTTGACGTGGATACGGCACAACTGTAGAGAGCTTTGGATTTTCGTGATGTTTGGGCTCAACATCACTCATAGCAGATGGGCGAGGTAAGCCGCCTGAGAGCAGCAGCTGCTACGCCTCAAGGTTTGTCCACGACCAATTGGCCGTCCTGTCGATAAGACAAGCTTCTGCTGGAGATTTACCCAACTGACAAACATCCAAACTTCGGCAGCGCCACGTGCTTAGGCCCGCCGCAGCTTGGCTTAGGAATGGTGTTTGCAACCCATCAAATCTCGGGAAGCACTGCATGTACCCTAACATGCAAACAAAGGTCTCATTCCTTGATGTAAATTTTGCTGCGTGCGCGTTGTCCCGAAGTAAAGGAATTTTTGGTTTTCATCTGGTTCTTTTCGTTTAAGAGACAGAGCTTCGCCTGCATGGCCCTGTAAACTCCAAAGAAGAAGGATGGCAAACTGAAAAACCCGTGAAAATGCCAGACATCCTCTTCAGTATTGACTTAACATACCGGTCAGACCCTGGAATTCGACACCGTCTTCGCGACTGAAATTGCCCGTTCGATTAGTACAGTCTCTCGAGGCCGTTGTCACGATGAAGCCAGCCCAGTCACGCTCCGAAAGATCTACATGCGAACAGAAAAAGAAAATTGAATTAAAGCATCTTCTCTTGGTCCTCGGCTTCTTCGCAGACGGGCTCTGCCACCATGATCTCGCCCCGCCAGATTTCCAGCAAGTTGACTATCGGGAACAGCAATACCAGGATAGACAGGAACTGCCCGAATTCCCACCTCTCCTCGCTGTTGTCAGCAAGCTTGTAGCCCTGGGGCCCGGATCCAAAGACGGACGAGGCCATGAAGGACCGCACAGCGGCACCAATCGCCGACGCCGTCATGAGGGCCAGGCCGCCCATGATCATTGGCCTGGCGAAGCGTTTCCCCCGCGAGTGGATGTACCAGCTAGCGCCCAAGAAGACGAGAACGTTCGCGACGATGACGGCGATCGTGCCCGCGTAGTCGATGAAGGAGCCCCCGCCGGTGGTCCCGTTGAAGGAGGACCATACACAGCCGACGGGCAGCTTGGAGTCCTTCATGCCCTTGCCCAGGCTCTGCAGGATGACGCCGCCGTATGTGCAGTTGAGCGCGAGGTTGACGGTCATGAGACTCTGTCGGAGAGTACGGAGTAGCCAGTCCTGGCGGAGAAGCTGACCGTAGATCAAGAGTGTAGCGTTGTGGACGGCCATGCTCATGTTGGAGAGACACCAGATGATGAAAAAGTGGTAGGGGACGATGCGATTTGTGGTGGCGAGCCCGAGGATGGAGATGGCGATGCCCTGGAGGATCTGCGTATCGGAGTAACCGTTCAGAAGCTTGCGGCGGATGCTGGAGGGACGTTCCTTCCGCTCGAACAAGACGATGGACCAGCTGAGGAGAAGGGCGATGGTGGCGGCGATGGTGAAGGAGAGCAAGACGGCCACTCCAGCGATACCGGCATTGCCAGCGACGGAGATGGTGGCGGGGTCGACGGAACAGTTCGGGGGGCTGAAGAAGGACATTTTGGCGAAGTGCGAGTGGAGGACTCGCGTCTAGAAAGAAATGAAGTTGGGTATCGAATTCGAGATTGAGGTTTGGCGAGCGGGAAATTCGGAGATTCAAGGTGCAGTACCGTGATTAACGACTCGCAATTGCAGACGATGTGGTCGTTTCCAGCCCTCTGAAAATCATGGCATCATTATCGACGATTCGGTTTAATTGATTGATTGATTCAATGAAAGACTGACGGCCCTGTTTCGCGTACCACTAGGGAGCGAAGTGGTGTCTAATATGATGGAAGAGAAAGCCTTCGTGCGTGAGGCGCGGCGCATTAATGTGTATGGTGAGGGTGGGCCTCCCCTTTTCTGACTGGACCCCACGGCGGCGAGGTTCAGCGGGTATGACGTACCAGTAAGCGCTGCAGCTTTTCGTCTGAAACGGCCACCCGCTGAGGAAGATCCCTGGAGCCACTGGACGACTGGCTGACGGGTGCTTTCCAGCGGCCTCTCAGCGGCCGTGTTTGCGTTGCCGCTGGTGGCTGTGCCCCACTCAAGCCACCCGCTTCCCTTGTCTTGGTGGTCGCAGATCCCCTCGCATCCCCCGCCTCGCCATCTCACCATCCGAATCCATCCCGGCTGCCTCAAGGGCCCCCTGTCTTGGGCCACAATGCGAACCACCGGCGCTTTGCCTGGTGCCTGGACCCTTCCTCCACTATCAAAAAGGTCTTTTGTGTTTTTGTTATTAGTATTTTTTATTTTTCGGCTGATTCGACCGAACTCGCTGCATCAGGGCTTCGCAGGGAATCGAGACATTGAAGCCACACGAAGGGAGGCATACAGTTCGTCCTGAAATAGTCCGACGACACTATCGCAGGCCGGCCGGGTATCGTCGATCCGGGGAGAATGGAGTGTCACGGACACTGAAGATCGTCATCAACCTCGTCGTTTCTTCTTCCGCTAGCCACGAGTCGAGCGTCACATTTCGCATGCCGTGCCCTTCTACATCGTTCCTGTTTGTCGCCTAAAGGAAGTCAGCATCCGTCGCGGAGAGTGAAAAAGAAGGATGAGGGCGTCAAACTCATGTTCTATGGTGCTTGAATCGTCAAACACCTGACTTGTGACAACTTGCGACATGCAAACCAGCCTCAGTTTGTGTGACGAGATCGCAGCGATGGACATCTCCGATGGAATTGCCGCCGCTGGCTGTGGTCCAGCTTCAGAAGCACATTGGCGACGTCCGTCTTCATCTTGACGAGCTCCTTCCGGTTCTCAGGTGTCGCTTCGTATGTCGTATTAATACTGCAGAGAAAATGTTAGGCAGGCACGTCCATGCGAAAGCATCCGACTCCTTCTGTTTTTTCTCGGAGCACCTACAAATTAGATACCGCCACACTGATATTCAGCATGATTTTCTGCGTCGCGAGCTGTTCTCTCACGTCGGTGAATTCTTTGGCTTGCAGCGTCAGCATCGTCCTCTTCCACAAGCCCAGCTTGCCCCCGGAACGGCCCTCGGTGGCCTTCTCCAGCTTCTCCTCCAGCAGACACAGGCTTTTGGCATATTTCTTGAGGACCGTATCAAGGTCTCGAGCTGTGGACGGATGAAGGACTCCTTTGGCCGTGTCGTCGTTGCTGAGGTAGTAAAGCAATGTCTCGAGGATCGACAGCACTTCTTGCAGATCAGCCGAGAGGGTCGTGAGCACTCGCGGCGCGTCGGAGATGGCGTCAATCTGCCGGCTCACCGCAGCGCTGAGCTGGACAGCAGCCTCCAGATGGCCCGCGGTACTGCTAACGTCGACTGCGTCCGCCATCCTCCCGCGCACATGTCTGTCGAGGCTTCTTCGATTGTGTGAACGATTACAGAGGACAACAACCTCGCTGCGCTCGTCTTTTCGACGAAGACGACGAGGACCACACCAACCCTTAAGTAGCGAAGGCGCCGGGCGAAGCGGGTCCGCGGCGCAGGAGGCACAAGAGACCATCATGCCGGACTTCGTCCCCTGAAATGGCTGGAAATGGGTCGCTAACTCGGTGTTTTACAGGGTTAGAGCAAGGGTAACAGCGGACACCACAGCTAAATCGCTTTAGCCTTCCTGGAGTCCCATCTGCTCCAGACGCATCCAATGGCTTCCTTGCGCTCCGACTGAATGTGACGTACAAAATGGTACTTTTACCAAGGAAATGGGGACGAGTAGCCGTCATATGGTAAGCCGCATCTCGGGCCATGATTACACTTGCGAAGGTCTACTTTATTCATCTTCTTTCTAGGACGACAGAGTCGCTCTCTCTCTCTAAAAGCGTGGATGGTATCGAAACAAACAAGGAAATCGCTCGTTCAGGTGTTGTTACAAACAAAGGACAGCAACAAAGGAAAATCATGGAACGTTTAGTGTTGGGCGGGCGCATTGCTTTCGCCACCGTCCTCCGGGACCTTGCCCTCGGGCGGCGGTAGTCTAACAATGAGCAACAAAGTTAGCGCGATCAAGCAGAACGCTGCGACACCCAAGTAGGGCAGGCCGATCCAGAGCCCTCCCATCTTCATGCCCAGGCTGAACAGGCCTGCGAGCAACGGCTGCGCATACGTCTGTCCAGCAGTCTCAACCAGCGAGATGATGGAAAACAGCCGGGTGCGATGCGCCGCGTCGACGTAGACGTTGCTGACGCTCTTCACGTAGCTGCCCCAACCGGTACCCAGCGACAGGATGGCCAGGCCGCCGATGAAGGATCCAACCGTTGGCGATGCGGACATGCTCAGGGAACCGATCAACAGCGCCACGGAGGACAGGCGGGCCAGGAAGAGGTCGCGTTGGTGGTCGTCCGACAGGCGCAGCGACTTGGGCATCTTGGTGGATGCGAGGAGCCTCGAGAAGGCCGGCAGGATGAGCACGATCGAAAGCAAGACGCCCGTGCCATACAGGGACGACAGGTAGCCTGTCTGCGACAGCGAGACGTGGTATCGCTTCGAGGCGAAGATGGACATGAACTGCAGCGTCGACAGCATGACGGGGTAAGAAGTGAGCATCGCTACAAGCAGAAGTATGAGGGACGGCGACTTGAACAGCGCCAAGGACTCCTTCAGGCGGAGGATTGTGTGCTGTATGGCCCCAAGCGCGGGAGACTCGACCTCGGGCTCGTCCTCAATCGGGTCATCGGATACTTGGGCAGCTGGCTTGGTCTCGGGAATGAGGTGGATGGTGAATATCAAGGTCGAAAAGAGGCCAAACGCCAACCCCATGACGGGCCAAGGGCCGGTCTTCTCCATCATCCAGCCGGCGATGGCGGGGGCGCACAGGTTGCCAATCATTGACACCAGGTGAACATGCATGAAGCTCTTTGCCCTGGTACAAAAGTTAGTATCTCTCGACGATCGACGGAGTAAGACTCGAAGACAAACCTGTTCTCGGAAGTTGTCACGTCGGCGAGCATTGAAAGCACGATGGCGCTCAGAACCGCATTTCCACCGCCAATCATGAGCATCGAGGGGCCAAACCAGAGGGCCTCCAGGGGAATCACCCGGGGAAACGCGCAGACCGTAGCAAACCAAGCTTGGTCCAGTGCCATGCCGAAGATGGTCAGGGAGAAGACCATCTTGCGGCCGAGGCGATCAGCAACGATACCCCAGGGGAATGCACAGATGGCGCCGATGGAGGCCTGGAGGGCGCTATACACCGCAAAAATGTACGCAACCTTGGACTGGATGGCGTCCTCCTTGCAGAGGCTCTCGTCTATGTTCTCGTTGCTCAGGACGTCATAGTAATGGCGGCAGACAATGTCCTCGACCTTACGGGTGGTGGGGATGGTCCACAGCCCGCCGGCGGCAGACCCGAGCAGGATAATGGCGCAGAAGATGCCGACGATGACGTTCGGGTTGTGGACCTTGGGAACGTGGATGGTGTTGGCGGCGCGGATGAGGGAGTCGGTGCGGCCACGGCCGGCGCCGGGACGGCGTGGGCTGCCATCGCCGGCGATGAGGGGCGTCGATTCGGTGGGCTCCTCGTCTACGGAGTACCTAGACGGCGCGGCGGGTTCGTGGTCCCCATTGAAGTCGTCGGATTGCTCGGCGCGGCGATGCATCTTGGCTGCGGTGTAACGGTTCCGTGGGCTTGGCTGTGGCGCTCCGATGCTCTCTCAAGAACGGGGTGTAGTACAGAGAATAGGTGCGAGTCAGTCCCTTGATCCAAAAGGGACTCTCAAAAGGAACGAAGGGGAGGGAAGACAGCTCAAGAAATATGACTGAGATGGCATCGCTGGGGCAGGGCAGGCAATGATGATGGTGTGGTGACAAGACGCAGAGTGCAATCTTATCCCTTTCCTGACGTGATGGGACCCCGACGTTCAGACACGCGGTCTGAAACTGAAAATAAGGCACTCCCTGCGGCAACGAAGTGCTTCTCGCTCTGCCGCCGGAGCTACTGCTGCAACCTCGACGTATCTGCGACTCGCGAGCCGTATGCGTTTGCCGCGGAGCCGTGTGTTGCGTACCTTGGCTTGCGCAGTCGTGGCAGCTTTTCCTCAGGTCTTTTGCGTGGCACGATAAGAAAGGCACACGACACGATGCAGCAAGGGGGCCAAAAGGTCCAATGTCCTGCCCGAAAAAAGCAGGTTGAACGAGCGGACGAGGAGGTAATATTCCTCCGTCTTACTATGAGATGGGCTCGCGAGTCGCTCTCAGGGCCCTGCTGGGCGGACCTTTGCGCCAAAGTAGGAAAAGACAGCAGACGGGGCAGACGTATGTGCTCTGTCGTCATCAAATGCATCAAAAACCAAGCAAGAGAGGGAAGGAGAAATCTGGCCCGGCTATCGAAAATGATTTGCGAGGAAGCCTGCGAATGAGCGGCCAAGAGAATGTTCCAAAGAAGGCAATGGGTGAGCTGTGAGAGGCGGCGGCACACGACAGGTTCGCCGCTGCAAAACAGCAACCAGAGCTACGCAATGAAGAGGTAATAGGGCTGCATGAATTTTGGGGGCGTCAAAAGTCCCGACCGGCTGGGCGGCGGTAGCAGCTCGATGACACTTGACACACTGCCTTGTCGCTGCTGCTGTTGCTGTACCTGGAGCTCTCTTGCCTATCTCCGTCTCTGTCTCTCTCACACACACGCAAGTCACAGTTCAGACACGCAGTAGAACGGGCGGGAGAGCTGCCTTCGACGACGAGCTGTTCCCTGAGTCGCCAGCCCGGCAACCTATCAGATGGGGGCGGCAGCGTTCCCAATTTCCAGGTTAGGCATGGTGCGACTTCAGGGATGGACAAGGAAGACAGTAAGACTGATCGCTGAGGAGGAGCAAGAAAGCTCCCCCTCGGGATTGGGGGAGCTCGGGGCGCCCAATGAGCGTGTTCGGACGCCGGCCGCCTCCCGATTGGGGATGTCAGACTCGGGACCTTGCTGTCTGTGTGTGTTTGTGTGTTGTGTGTTCCAGCAGTGTGTTCGGCAGGTATTTGGAGTGAGAGCGAGTACGTATTTCTCATCACGACACATCACGACACCGAAGCAGAGAGCGAGAGAGACGGAAACAGAGACAGAGCACTGACGTGGTTCCGCTTGCGTGGCGGCTTCTATCGACAGTCTCCCGCTGCCCTGTCTCATTGATTGCTCACGCCCATCGTCGTTGTCGTCGTCTTACTCCTCCGTCGTGTGGTGACCTAAGAGATACGCCAACGCAGGTCCCAAGTCCTCGGGCAATGGCACTTTTGCACCGAGGCAACCGGATGCCCAAAGCTGTTCCCCTCTTTTCCCTCCCCAATCTTCCCAATGACAGACAACAACAAGCATCAGAGTGGCAGAATCGTTGGGTAATGGGTAAGCTTAATGCGCTATTCGCAGCTCTGGACTCTCTCCTGCTGTTTGCCGACCCTCCTCTGCAAGAGGCAATGGACGCGCGTTGGGATGCGCCGCGGTTGTTGGCGACGACAAGAACCGCGTCTGCCTTTGCATTGGGATGTTCTCTGCGGGCTGGGACCAGCACCTGAGTGAAGGTCCGCTGCGAGGACGAGAGCGAAAAGAGTTCAGGAACTGCGTGTTGGCAATTCGGGGGACTGCCCTGCTACCCATCTGTTGGAACGGGGGGAGATTGGGACCCTTCGCCCCGGTTCCTCCCCTTCGTCTTTGGGTGGTTCACCGCGGCCGCGTATCGGGCATCATCCAGTATCCTTTTGCTTTCTCACTCCTCACTCCTCAGTTCTCTCTCGTCCCAGGTTCTTCCTGACGGGCCGGAACGATCCGCGGGTGCTGGGCCCCTCGACCAAACGGCGACTGAGGACAAGAGACAAAGCACCAACGGTCCCAAAACACGTGCAAGACACGTCCGAGGCGCAGACGCCCAAACGGCGCCTCCTCAGTGCTCCTCTGCCCTGGCCCCCCTCTCTTCTCGCTTAACTCTGTTCGGAACATATCAGTCTGGCCCGGCGCTCGGTGCAGGAGATGACCAGTCCACCTCCCGTACGACTCCGCCCAGCAGGCCCCTGGTCCACGATGTGATGCTTGCGGAAGAGAGATATGCTTCCCGCCAGGCACCTCCCGCCCTCGAGTGGGGGATCACGAAAGCAGAAGCCAACTTTTATCCACGGGGTTTGTTCACCGAGAGGGGAAGAACTCAGGGCTCGAGGTGTCAATGAACCGTAGACCAAAGTCTATTGGGAGCGGGGGAAGAAGCGGGAAATGCATTGATTCCCAGCTTTGGAATGGCATTTGGCGCAAAGGGGTCTGGTCTGGCGTGATGGCGCGCTTGAGTTTGCGCGCTCCTCTCCCACGTTGTCGTCCCTCGTCCGACTGCATTACAGTTATGAACGCTGAGTAACTGTCAATGCAAACCGAATCCAAATCCATCCAGTCGCCGTGCAGGCAGAAATTTCAGTTGTGGTGCAGGCAGGTGGGTGCAGGTATTCCCGAACTCTCGGGTTTTTCTCATTTCTCCTTCGTCGCTCCTCATATCCCACACGCACCCGGTCTGGGCTGCGCTGGCTGCGACGGTTTTCCTCTTATGAATGCTAATGCTACGGTAGATGTTCCCTGCGAGGAGGAGACAGAGAGAGAGAGAGAGAGAGAGAGAGAGAGAGAGCCCAAGTTCCAACTGCTCGGACATGGCCACCGTCTTGCCCGCCCGCTCCCAAGGCTGGCATGACATGGACTGCCCCCTCCATCTCTCTCCATCGTCTTTCCCAAAACCGTCTTCCGAGCCATTTCACTCGTCACCGGCATGCTCCCCCGATCTCCCGGACCCAATTCCGCCCAAAGTGAGCAGCAGCAACAACCGTCAGTACCCAGGGCCTCTTCGCGCCGGCTGCTGCTGCTTGCTTCCCTGTCCATCTACCAACAGCATAAACATTCGTCCGGGGACTGGGACTCTCGCTACCTTCCAATACGAACGCGCACATCCCTGGCGATAATGTAAATGAGTTTTGTTGTTGGTCGTCTTGGGAGGGAGAGCCGTAACCGTCATCCGTTTTGTTTTGATTCTCAGCGAGGAAAACAACGACCACCCTCCTCCCCGCGAGCACCTCCCTCCATCAAGAGGTGATGAAGTCTAGGATGTCCGCATCTCGCCCTATCGACCGCGTACTCCACGACGAGTGCTACCATGGTGCAGGTTGAACCTGGATACTGTCTCCTCCCCGCTGAACGAGTTTGACGTTGGAGATCATCACTGGTCCTGCGGGGGCCTTCGTCGTGTTGGCGCCCATCACCCTTCGAAGTCGGACGGAGGACCAGGCCGGAGGAGCAACCAGACCTTGTCGGTCCCCCAGCCAGCTGAGAAAGTCTCATGCTCCTTCTACTCCTCCTACTACTCTTTCAGAAGTCTGGAGGAGCGATTCCCTAGTCACACTTTGATTTGACCACACGTTCGAACAAATTGGATGTGGCTGGGTTCAGAAGACAGAAGACGTCGACCACACGTTCGACAGACGAGCACATCCGTTAGGCATCTTCGCATTAGCCCCCTCATACCGTTTTGCTCGTCTGTTGGGCCACACATGGGCAGACCCGCACCGCTGGCGAGGATCTGGGCGCTTGATAAACCTGCTGGTGGTGGTCTCGTTCAATATGTCGACGAGGTCCGGTTGGTCACAATCTTACCAACAAGCGAAACCCCCCTGTAGCCTCTTCGTGAGTTGGACGCACGCTTGTCCTGTGTGGCCAATCCGCATTTGCTCTATCGGGGAAAGTGAGGAAGTAACCGCCGCGTTGCCGCCTTCTTCCACTTTGATGTGCCTTTGTAGCAGTCCAAGGGATCTGGCGCAACATGAGCCAGGTTGCCGTTCCAGTGGATACGTTAGACCTTGGGGAGCCTCAATGGAGCCACCACCGCGAGATGTGGCGTTGGACATGACGGTATGCATGCCATCGTGCCATTCAACGTCTACGGGGACCGGTGAACCACGGGCCGGGGTGCCATAATATGGCAGCTCGTCCTGTCTATCCCGCCGGCAGGCACTTGGAGCGGAGCGTGGCATACGTATGGTTGGTCTGTCCAGCTTGTTCACGGGGTACTCCGTATGAGACGTTGTGAATTGGAAAGCCAGGAGTCACTGCAACTGCAAAGCCAAGACTTGCTGGAAAGCTGGGACTCGTGAATTGCTGCTTGTTTATGGCATGTCAAAACACGTCTGCAGCACGGGAATAAGAGATCGTCTGCTTGATGTGACCTGAGGGACAATTTGTATTGTGGTATTATTACCACTCTTTAGAATCAACTGGCTCTCCGCCCAAGCCCAAACCCAAGCCCAAGTCCAGCCCAATGTCAGACTCCGTAGTCCGATGCTCCACTTCAAGTACGGTCGAGACTCGAGGTCCTGCTGCTCGGGCGAGGTTCACAATCTATTCGCCATCTGAGAACATCGCTGATCCCTGACTGTCCTCTCGTCCAGGAGGCTCCGCCGCTTTTTGAGTTCTCACACTTGTCGTACCAACCAAGATCGACGAAGACTGCGAGACTCGGCCGAGTGACAGCACCACTTTCCCAGATGCCCACCCATGTCTGTAGTTACGCTCGTCTTGTTAGTGCAAACACACGGCCGGGCATTCTCCCCGATACCCGGAAGAGCGCAGGAGGAAGGCTAATGAGAGACGAAAGGACCT